TGGGGAAAACAGTTTTCTGGCTGCAAGGGGCTGAGATGTATATTTATTGTTGATTATTCTTGTTCCTCTATTTTTAAGGTCCCCATCATATTACACTGTTATATTTGAGCTAGTTCCTTAAACATTGTCAAATGTGATGTTCTCTTTGCCAGGACTTGCTGGTCCAAATGCTAAGCCTAATATGGAGCAAATGGAGCTTAGGCTTGTGCAGTCTAAAGCTGATTTGGAAAATCCACAAGTGGAACTCTTTGCAGAAGAAATCAAGAACCAGTCATAATTAAATATACTTTATTGTTGAAGAGAGAGAGAGAGCGAAGGGGGAGGGAGAGAGAGAGGCAGACAGACACAGATACTGAGTGTGTGCTCTTTTTCCACTGTTTCACCAGAAAAAATATGTCACATTTAATTAAGTAGATCTCTTGCTAAAAGATGTTATATCAAACTTTGACATATATTTGTGCAAGGTTTACTTGATGATATTGGTTATCCGAGAGGTCATGAGACTGCTACCTGCAATAGGCAGTCGACCTGTGAGGCAAACATTATCTCTTTTTACCCATGTCTGACACCAAGCACAAACTCCTCCCTCCCCTTTTTTTCTTCTTTTACCTCTGCACAACCCCCACACATCCAAGAGTGTGTGTGAGTTCATGTATGACTGAACTGATTTTGTGAGGGTAGGAGTCAAAGGAAGAGTGGAAAAGAGCATAACACATACAGTGAGTGAATTATGGCCCATGATGAAATAAAATCACATAAAACACACTTTCTTATAATCTATGATAAAAATAAAGACATTGAATAAATAAAACAAACTGCCTCTGTTATCCTGCTGTAGGCAAAACTTGCTGTTAACATCAAAGAAACAATATACTGGAAAAAAATACATAAGTAGCACAGATTTCAGTTATGATGGTGTATGTAAATGAGAAATGGTAAAAAATAATGTTTCTGGACATCCAATTTTTTTGGGATAGATTTTAAGCAATCAACAGGTGATGTAGTAACACCACGCTGGCTGCTTTTTAATTCAGTGAACATTTCCTGGTGCCCATTTCAAACTGGGTAAATTTGGGAGCCCATGTCATTTTAAATAGGCTGGCTTCGGAATTCAATTTTAGAGGGAGAAAAAAAGAATACACCCATTACCCTTCCCCAACCCAGTCCCAACAAGCATGTCACCAAAGTCTATTATTCAAGGGTGTTTCCTTTGAAGTCAGAGTGCATCTGCCTAAAAGGCAAGGAACCAACAGTCTGCAGACATATAAGCCAGATCTGTAAAATGGGATGTTCACACAAAACTCAAGTTATAGAAACCCAATAATATATAATCCCAATGCGTGTGCAGTCTCGGTTTTGAGCTCAGCGATGGCAGAAAAGCCGTATACTCCCCAGATCAATGGTGTATGTGGCACCGAGGCTGAAGGGCTTTGGTGCTCATGACACTGAGCCAGATAAGCTATGCTCAAATGCTTCTGGTATTTTTTTTTTAATTAAAAAAAAATTTAATAAAAACACCAGGTGAGCAATGGACTATGATACTATACAAATTTTTTTTAAAATAGATCTAATGGCACTCAACGGTCAATGTTGTCAACACCACATCAGCCACCTTTATTTCCCAGGGCATTACCTTGTACCCATTTTAGGCTGGGTCAGCAGGAAAGCCAATGTCGTTTTTGAAAAATTCCCTCTTGATTCAGCTTGACCTTGGGGCCGACAGGTGAGCGTCTTGCCTCTACACTGCCGTAGCTTCCACAAACATAACATAGCACATACATTCAAAAGAATGGGTCCCTTTTATGGGGAGGATGAAATCGGATGTGTTGGGTGCAGACATCACAGCCTTGCTGTAAACCACAACATAATGATTCAAGCGCCTTGTTAGGGTTAAATGCAGAAGAAGAGGAAAACTTGCACACAAAACAAAAACACTGATGGTGTCAGTAAAAATAACTCCTCGTGTGGGCTCTGGGACCTCATTTTTGGGAAATTATAAAAACACTTACTGCCCCTTAAGATGTGATTTTACAGAAGAATCCTTAGAATTCCTTGGACAGCCAAAAAAAAAAAAAAAAAAAAAAAGAAACCCAGATCTTCTGAAAGAGGCGAGGGTTAAAAGACAACTTATCACACACACAAAAGTTAAAAAGAGACAGTCATAATTTTTTTGGGTGGGGTTATGTTATGAGAAGATGGAAATTGGAACATATTGTGATCACTGGAAAGATCTGTGAACATGTTCTATTTTCCCTCTTCTCATAAGATGGCCGAAAAATGATGACTGTCTCCTTCTGATGTCTGTGATAAGTTGTCTTCGGGCTCCCGCTTCTTTCAAAACCTCTTGGTTGCTCTTTTTGGCTGTCCAAGGTTTTCTAAGCATTCTTCTATAAAACCACATCTCTGAGGCCTCTAGAAATTGTTTGGCCTGCCTACCGATTTTCCAGGATTCACAGCCATATGTTAAAACTAGATGTATGTAGCAAGCAAGAATTCTTTTTCTAACTCTCAATGACAAGGATATATTGCACAAGATGTTTTTCATTTTATAAAATGCAGTTTTTGCCTGTCCTATTCTGTTTCTTATCTCAGTTATGCATCTTCCATCTGATGTTATCCATGTGCCCAGATACTTTATATATTCACTGTATATTGAAAACAAATCAGGTGAAAGTACACATCCTTGTCGTACGCCCCTCTTTATGCTTTGAAATGTACCTAAACAGTTGTTAATTCTTATAGCTGCTGTTTGCTGCCAATACATATTCTTTATTATTTGTAGATCTTTCCCATCAATGTTTAATTTTTCTAACAGTTTGATTACTACTTCATGCTTCACACAGTCAAATGCTTTTGTATAGTCTATGAAGCATAAGTACAAATCAGTCATTACTTCTAAAGCTCTTTCTGACAATGTCCTTAGGATGTATATGGCATTGTTTGCACCTTTTCCTTCTACAAATCCATATTGTTCATCGCTGATTTCTGGTTTAATTTTGTTTCTTATTCTTCTCATAATTATTCTCAGTAAAATCTTAGTCATTTGACTCATAAGACTTATTGTGCGATGGTCTTCACATTATAAAGTGCCTGGTTTCTTTGGCAGAGCCATAAATATGGATTTTAAAAGGTCATTTGGAATATACCCACTATTATAAATCTCATTTAAAAGTTTAGTTATTACAATTTTGAAATCTCCCAGTGCTTTGATTTCTTTCAGTGAGATGTTGTCTGGCACGGGTGCTTTTCCTTTCTTCATATGATGTATTGCATCCTCAACTTCTGCAGTCATTATTGGTGGACCATCATTGTTGGTCTGCAGTTCTACATCTGGTCTATTATCATCATACAATTCCCCTATATACTCTGTCCATCTGTTAATTATATTACTATGTACCATTAATAAGTCACCATCTTTTGATTTCAAACATCCAGTGCTGTTAAGTGTCCTCATTTTTGTTAACATATTTATCTGTTGGTACATGGAATGTATATGGTTTGACTCCAATAGCCTTTGTCTAAAGAATTTTACCCTGCAAGGCAGCAAGGGGGGGGGAGAGGTTATGGCGCTTCTTACCCGCCGATGGCCATGTCGTAGAGTTTTGAGGTATTTTATAGAGTTAGCTGTCCCACCAACTAACTCGCCTCCTCTCAATGACCATCACCTGTTTTGGTCCACGGCCACTTATTCAATATATTCGTGGCTAACCTCTATATCTAGAGGCCTTTCCACCATCCGCCACCTGGTGGACGGGCCTAGTAGTAGGACAGGCTCCTACCCCAGGTCACTGGTCATAGCTGTATGAAAAAAAGACTTAAATATTGCTATGTGTTTGTGCATGTAAATAAATGTTCATGTACATACGCATGCATGCACTTAAGTGTGCCCATCTGTGTGTAAAACAGAGCAGACAGAATTAAAAGCAGGCCTAATTTCTGAGAAGATTAAAACTAGTAGAAGATCTGCTTGAGGGTAATTGAGGAATCCTTCTCTTCCTGCATAACTTCAATGAAAAAAAAACTGGTACTGACTTTGAAAATTTGGAGAAAGAGGATTTTGTAGGTCGCTTTGTCATGTGTAGATTAACATATGTGTGTACTGGGACTGTATAGATGTTAAATATTGGGGCAGCAACACAGAAAAGTACTCCACAAAATTTAGCATTCAAATAATCTCCATCTGATTTACATTTGATACTCCTCTGCCCTGCCTGTAAAAGATGGTTCGGAGTTCAGTTTTTAGCTCACACTGCAGACTTCATTTATCTTCTTTTTCTCTTTCTTGTTCTTCAGCTGGTTGTTCATCCACTTTTGGACTTTGGTCTTATTCCAGAATTTGAGGTTTGCATGCACATCCATTTTACAGATCTGACTTATTTTTGTGCAGACAATTGACTATCTAACTTTGAAAAAATCTAATAAACATGTAATTTATTTAAATATGAGGTTTCTAAAGCCGTAAATCATTTTGGCATGCATGTAGAAAATACTGCTTGGTGGTTATATTGTTTTCAAACAAACACTTCGCAGCTCGGTAAACCTTGCAAATATATTTTTGGCATTTAAAACTCATTTCCAAAATGAGCACACCTGATATCAAACACAAAGAACTCAAAAGGAAGTTGAATTTGAGCGGTCCGCATTTTATTACCAGTCAGTGGTAAATTAAAAACCTTTACTCATCACGTGCCAACTGGGCTGCTGAGTTTGTCACCAATTAGCACCTGATGCATTTCCTGGGACTCCTGGGAGTTAACAAATGTTATAACAGATATTCAAATTCTGGTTAAAAAGAATTCCAGCTTTAGTGGAAATAATAAAATATTACAAAGTTTTCTGTTTATGATTTTAAATTTCAACAAACAAATGCGACCACACAGGTAAGTTTAGGGTAGTATTGTACTCAAAGACAATATGAACAAATTCGATCCATGCCTAGTTTTGTCCATTTCCATACAGCACTCGTTTGTTTCCAGTTAAGTCTTGACCCTGAGCTCATTTTACATACTCGAGCCTCCATCAATGATGAACTCTTGTCCGGTCACAAAACTGGACTGGAAGAAATATAATACACATACTATTATATTTTGATAAAATGGGTTGATTATTTATTTGCGAATCCTTTGGTAGACTGAGTTTTGACTTTTAAATCTGATGCATTGGTAATCAGTTTAATTAAGCCCTAAGTAGAAGCCCCTTCTAAGGGAGTATGTTTATCTCATCTCTATTGAGACTGTGCTGTAGAGCTTTCTTTCCTTCACCAAATCCATTAACCAGAAAGGTGTACCAGACTAATAATGAAACTTCCCAGCAATGAAGTGATCCTTTTTGATTTAAGTAAGTATATAAGACCATTCTCTCAGGCATATAATTCTAAACTCATATTTTAAGACCAACTGGTACGTGGTGAGTGATTTGGTCAATATCATGCCAGGATTTTTAACAGTCCAAATCAAATCAGAGAGACTATTTTAATTCAAAAGTAGTTGTTTGGTGAGACAGCAGTTTGTTTCCAAAGATCTTCAGCAGTTCTCTAGAAAAGGTCACAGAAAAAGGAGATCCCATAGCAGGCCTTGATATATGAGGTGGGGGTAACTAGACCCTTCCTCTGTATCTTTCCTTTTAAGACAATTCACAGACAATTCTGGAATTATCTCATCCTGTAGGAGGTCCTTTGCAGAACGTCGCTTTCATGACAGTCTACATCAAAGAAACTTTTTTCTTGCCAACTCTACCACCTTGTGCCCTTTCCTACCCAAGGTGTCACTGATATCATGTGCCCTATTTTTGCTGGTCAGTACTTGTCCCTCTTTCCTGGCACTATGCCTTCTGCTATTATTCTTTCCAATCCACTGTGGTGCTTGATGTGTCCCTCACCAACTGGCTGCCTGGGCAGTAACCGATTAGCGCATGATGCATATCTTGAGACTCAAAGAGTTAATGTCTGCAAGATAGTCTACAACTCACATCCGTATGCTGCTTCAAGAATGATGCATGCTCTCAAAATGCTTATGTTGATTTCTTTACCTTAGACTTTTAATGCTGTTTAATCTTTGCACTGCTATGATCCTCCTCCTTTTGACTTCAGCTGAACAATCCCAACTGCTGTTGAAGCCTAGCAATTCAAAACTGGAAAATATCTGGCATCCATTTGTATGAGGTTGTGTTGAAGACCTCAGAGCTGTGCTGCTGCTGCTTCTTCTTCTTATGCTTCTTCTACTTCTCTTCCTCCAGTTAGTTCATTGTGTTGGGGTGAGATATAAGGGTCCCCTATGTGCTCCTTCCTGAGTTGCATAAGCTGGTCTTCAATTCTTAAAGGCTAATCATAATGTCATTGTTACATATTTTGCACAGTCTTCCCGTGCTCTGAATTGCTATGTGTTTTATAAATCCTGCCATTTCTGGTGTTTGAACTCTGACCACTGTCTCAACAGGCAAGCACCTAAACCCCTACACCACAGCAGCAGACCCCCTCAGAATATAAAACATCTACACTATTTCATGCTGCGTCCGTGGCTTAGGCGTTCCGAGTCCGACTTGTAATTCCAATTTACCACGATTGAAACCCACTGCTGGCTGCGTTGATTTTTATCATGATATGGGGGCGTTGCAGGTCGAAACAGCCTAAAATGGGTGCCAAGATGGCTGTACTTGGGAAGTAAAGACGGCCGGCGTAATGCTGACCACATTAGCCACTTAGTGCCGATGGTCTGTAAAAATATGGGCGCTCTTCCCATATACCCGATACTCCTAAGGGAGTGAAAAGGGATCTTTGCTTGCTTTTGCTATACTATTTCATTAGCGTGAAAATGAAATATCAGACAGGCACACTTACTGAAAAATTATTCATGGCCAAGTACAGATAAAGGCTTAAATATTATTTTGCTCAGCAAAAAAAAAAATTATTTCACACAGTAGTCTACCTCATCGGATGCCAGATAAATTACCAGATAGGCAATTTCATCTGCATCGGCCAAGCGGCCAAGTCTCTGACGTGATTTGAACTCTTCAAGGGTCTGGAAACAAAATATATGAGCATAATGGGAAAACAATGAATTGAGCGTATTTCACTGCATTTTGTCAGATTATTGTTGCATAAATTATATCAATGTATAATGAAGCACAAAAGAATGAATCCTTTCAACAACAAAAAACACAACTCACACGTGTGTTTTGCTGTGTGTTACCACAGTAGTTTTAGTCTGACCAGCATGTCCTTCTGTATGCATAGCACAGGTTTAAATGCACACGTGCACATATAATATCGTAATTCTTAAAATGTGTGTGTGCACACAAGCTCACTTGTGTGAACACCTTATAATACAATTATCTTCATCTTCTTCTTCCCTTCGTCTTCTACAGCTCTGGCTTATTTGTATGCAGACTGTTGACTCCTTGAGTTTCAGGCAGATGCACTCCAATTTCAAAGGAAACATGTCTAATTAGCTCCCTTTTAGAACATACTAGATGGGGGGAGTGGGTGTATTCTTGTTCCCTCAACAATGGGACCCCAGAATCCACACTGGGATTTGTTAATTGTACAAATCATCTGTTCTGTAAAGCTGACACATACTTTAATCTGTCCAACATTTATACATGATTATATGTTTATAAAAGGGTAGGAAGAAGTACCTTTTCTGGATCCCCTCGAGCAGCAGCTCTACCCCGCAGTGACGGTGTATCTACAGCGCCTTTATTGGTATAATAATAGAAACAAATCACAAATCTTAAAAATAAGGGACTTCAGACAGCATAAATAAATAAATAAATATATATGTTCCACACACAAGCACACAACAAGATTTTTTTTTTAAAATTGCAAATGAACGCTACTAAAAGGAATGTAATTTGGACATTCAAAATCTTTATAATCTAATGAGTGAAACTTTTTAAATTGCACACAAGATTATCTTAGGGTTCAACCAATCAGTTGACAGTTCTTTTGAATCTGGATCACTGATAGTTTTTAGATGTAAGAGCTTTCCTATCAATTAATCAAAAAATACACCATCCGATAGCTATGCATTTTTTTTTTAAACAATAAAGAGACAGGTAGGAATCATTCCAACATGATTATCAGCATCATAAAAGATAGTTTGTCAGGTGTTACTGAGATATTACTGAGCAGTTATATAAGTCAGCGGTTTTTCTGTACGAGGCCTTCAATGTCTCCAAGCGATTCTGGAGTCACCAGTCAGTGACCCTGACCTGGTGGTGAAGTCTGTCACAGAAGTCAGGCTGTTTTGAAACTTCCTGCTCCACCCACACTTGCTGGCCTGACAGGCATGCATCAACATACTGAACATTCATTCACCAATAAGTTTCTATAGCTTTTACCCCCTCACTCATTAAAAAAAAAAAACAGACAACAGAATGCTGCTCTCTTTGGTGCATGTCGAAAATGGGGTGGCCATTTTAAAACTGTCACTACGATGTGACAATTTTTGTCTGCACTATACTGTCACAAGCTCAACACTTTTGACAAATTTAACAACAATACTGATAGGTTAGAAGACAATGACATAGTGTCATTGTAATTCCTATCATGCTTTTAAGGTTTTCATTTGAAGCTTTTACAACAAAAGGTTGTGTCCCTTGATAGAGACTAATCAAAATGTTCCATTGTATTTCTGTGTGCCTTACCCTAGGACCCATAGTGGCGTAGTGGTCAGACAGTCATCTGCCAACCTGAATGTCTAGGATTCAAACACACATCGAGGTGGATTTCTTTAAAAACCGCCCTTAGCCCCCAGGTTGACTTAACCCAAAATGGATAATATTATGGGATGTAAAGGTGGTGGGCATGATGTTGACCAGAGCACTGACTGAGGACCAGTTAGTCTGTAAAGATATGAGCCTAACATCATTTGTCACACATCCTTACCTGCACAGGGCTGCAGGTGACACCTGGCTGGGGCCGCCGTCATGTGTGCCCTAATTATAACTTCTCTAGAGGCTGAATGGGGTATCTGAGATCTGCTGTCTTGGTCTCCCATCCAGATTTAGAACTTTCAATCTAAGGATGGTATGGTAAACCTTTAGACATCAGCATGGAGGGGACAAATTCATCGACTAAACATAAATGTAAAAAGGGTACTTTACTTTCAGCTTTTCTTTTCCATCTGCTGAGTTTTCTAGTCACAGTTTCTTGTGTATATAATTACGTAACATACCTGGACATACGCTGTTAAAGCGTATCTTATGTCCCACAAAATCAAGTGCCATTGACTTGGTAAGGCCAATAACAGCTGCCTTGGTTGCAGCGTAAACACATCGGCTTTGTTTGGCTGACAATGAATAAAGATTAAAATGTTTGAAAGCTTATCTCAAGTGGTTGTCTCTTGTCAGTTTCTTTTATTTGATGACATTAAAATAAAAATGCCAACCATTACTGACAGACACAGTATACTGCAAGTTAGGTACTATCTTAGAGACGCTAGTGATACAGGCAGGATTGTCAAGAACTTTTATATCTTTTGTGCGTCAGGGGTGTGTACTATCGCCAGTTCTTTTTATAACATACATGGATACCATAGGTAAGGAAACAAACTTTAATCATGAAGAAGATATTACAGAATTACTTTTTGCCGACGACCAGGTACTCATAGCAGAAAGTATGGAACAACCTAAATCAAATTAATAACAAAGGGGAGGAATATAATATGAAAATAAACACTAAAGATAATAAAGACAGAGACAACAGTGATAGGAAGACAGAAAGACAATTTAGAAATAATATTAAAAACCGCCTTAAGATAAACAGGAATTTAAGTATTTGGAAGCAATTTTCACATCCGATGGAAAACTGGACAGAGACATTAGCTTGAGATGTGCCAACGCTAATCAAGTAATGGGGCAACTATCTCTCCTGTTGACACACAAGCAGATACACTGGAGCACTAAAGTGAATGTTATCAGAACCATTTTTTTTTACCAATACTATGCTATCAGTGCCAAACGTGGACACTTACATCCTCCAATGAACGTAAAATTGTGACAACAGAGATGAAATGCCTTAGAAGAGCTTCAGGAGTTTCAAGGAAAGGCAGAATATGAAATCACGAAATCAGACAATGCTAGGAATAAAGCCAGTCTTACAGGTCATCAAAGAACAACAAATGTAGTGTTTGGACACCTAACAAGAATGCCCTGGTGCTATCTGCAACACAGCGAGCCACACTGAGCGAGCGGAAGACCCTAGGAAAATATGGAGTGATGGCATTAAGAACAGCCTTACAGAATGAAAATCAATCTTTAATAGTGCTCTTAACAGAGCTCATCAATGAATGTTATATCTTCGTTGAGGTACAAGGTGGAAGAGAAGAAGAAGAAGAACTAATACAGAACATATCCTTCATAAGAAATTGGACACTGACTGATTTTTGTCCTGTAATTTTTTTTTTTTTTTTATACTTCTTTTTCATATCTGGCTACTACTTCTGCGCTCACTCTTTGAAGAAGAAAAAAGTAGCTGGCAAGCTGTGTATGACTTATGACTAAGCTGCGATATCTACACCTTTTGGCCTAGCCAATCAGATTTTGGCCAACTCCTAGTCAATGGCTGGATATAATATGTTTGTTAGGAAAACAGTGGACATTTTTCATCCCCCCTTCCCCATTGGGCCCTAGAACCCAAAAAGGGATATTACCACTTAATTTAGCTGTGTTTTTCATTGTCTTGTCTTGTCTTGTCTTGTCCACAATTGCCTCACAGCGTAGTGGGGAGTCGCAGTTTTCTATCCTGGGCCGGGTGTGTTGCATGTGTTGTTGTTAGTCCGTGTTGCCTCAGGATCTCTGATATATTGTCTATCCATCGTACTCTCGGTCTGCCTCTTGCTCTAGGGCAGTAGTGTTGTTCGTTGTATGCTCGTAGAGGCAGTTGGTCGGTTTGCATTCGCATCAAGTGGCCAAACCACTCGATTTGTTGCTTCTTTTATGTATTGCAGGCATGGTGTGGTTCCTACAATGATCTAATGTTCTCGTTCCGAACTCTGTCTCTCCTTGTGACATTGGCAGCCTTACGTAATCATCTCATTTCGCACGTCGTGATCTTTTTCTCCTGTGCTCTTGTTAGGGACCAGGTTTTTATGCATTGGTAGCAGAGGGTTGGTATAAATAGCAATTTATCAGTTGTCGTTTTAGTGCCATAGTGATGCTTGGGTGTTTTAGCAGTGGGGAAAGTTGGTAAGTTACTGCGTTCGCCTTTTGACATCTTGCCTCAAGTTCCCTATCAATTCTTCCATCATCTGTGAAGATGCTCCCCAAGTATTTAAATTGCTGGACTTGTTTGAGGTTGTTCGTTGTTAACTTGAATAGTTAGTATATTAGGTGTTCTACTTATTTTTCAGAATTTCTGTTTGGTGATGCTGATCTTCAGTTTATATTCGTTGCAGACTGTGTGTAGCGCATTTACGTGGATTTGAAGTTCTTTTTCGTTTTTCATGAATTATTGCTTTGGTAGTTCTGCGAAAAGTATTTCGTTCAGTTGGGGATGTACTTCTTCAGGATCGGCGTATATGTTTCATTATAATGATCTCTTTCAACTAACTCTGTCTCATTGCTTGGTGTAGTTAACAGTTCGTTATCATTACATGGTTTGCTGCTGTTGTTATTCTGTCCATGTATATATTGAATAGTAGTGGTGATAGTACACAACCCTGTCTTACTCCTGTTCTTAGTATAAATTCGTCTGTCACACCAACATTTGTTCTAACTACGCTTGAGCTTGTTTGGTACAGAGATCTGATGTTGTCTAGTAGCTGACCTTGTACTCCATAGTCGTTCAATATAATTCCATAGTTTGGTGTCCTGTCTACCCTGTCAAAGGCTTTTTTTTTCTTGGTCAATGAATGCTATATTGAGTTGTTGGTTATATTCTATTGCCTTTTCACTAAGTTGTCTTAGGGTGAAAAGGGCGTCTGTGCAACTTTTTCCTTTTCCTAAATCCAAACTGAGCTTTACTCAGCTGTGTCTCTACAATATGTTTTTGTTCTTGTATCAAGTACTTTTGAATATAGCTTCCCTACATGGCTCAATAAAGAAATTCCTCTGTATGTGTCACACTCTCTTTTGTTGCCCCTTGTTTTTCCAAATTGGGACTATGATAGCTTTTTGCCAATCCTCCGGTGTTTTCCTTTCGTTCCATGCTACCGTGAATATTCTATGTAGCCATTTTGCTCCGGTTTTTTCCGCACGCTTTAATTGCCTCGTTCGTTATACCGTCTATACCTGCTGATTTATTATTTGGGCTCATCTTGATAACTTCTCAACTTCTTGAATTAGGATGCAAGGTTCTTCTTGTTCTTCCTTATAGGTGGAGTAGTATTCTTTAGTTGTGTATTTGTTGGATTGAGTAGTTCGTAGAAGTATTCCTTCCATCTTTCCTTCTTTCTGATAGCGTTAAATAACGGTCTTACTTCCGTTTTTATCATTAATAATGTTGGTAGGGTTTAAAACTTTCGTCCTTTCCCCTCTTCTCATAGAATGTACACTTTTGTAAAAAGTCTCTAGGTCTTTCCCTTGAAATTTTCACAAGTTGTTCGCCATATTTCTGCCATGAGTCCTCTTTTGCCACTTTGATTATTTGTTTAGTAGATTTTCTAGCACTTTTGTAGTTAGTATAGTCTTCTACTGTCTTTGTTTGTAGCCATTTTTTGATTTTTTTTTTAATTTTACATTTAAATTACATTTACATTTTTTAATTTTACAAAAATTTATGAAAAACATTGTTTTTATGAAGTGACCACAGAAATGCAGAGATTAAACTAAATACTACATATGGACCAGTCTTAGCAATGCAGATTTTAAGCTGATGCCTTTTGTTTGGTATTGGGTATGTAGCAGGAAGGCACAAGCATTAATTTGTGTATTATATGGGAGTTTAACTCACATATTTTCATATAAATACACATTATACTTGTACTTCACCCATCATTAACCCAACTTACCCACATACCATCACACCTTATAATGCACAAATTAACCTACCTTATAATACGCATACCATCCTACCTTACACCCCACACATCAATTCTTTTAACCCACACACGCCATTCCTTAAAACTCAAAAATTATCCTACCTTACACCCCACACATCAATTCTTTTAACCCACACACGACCATTCCTTAAAACTCAAAAATTATCCTACCTTACAACCCACACATCAATTCTTTTTACCCACACACGACCATTCCTTAAAACTCAAAAATTATCCTACCTTACAACCCACACATCAATTCTTTTAACCCACACACGATCATTCCTTAAAACTCACAAATTATCCTACCTTATAACTCACACATCATCTTACCGTATTACTCACACATCAACCTACCATATAACACACATCATTTTACCATTTTAACCACACATCATGCTACCTTATAACTCACACATCATGCTACCTTATAACTCACACATCATGTTACTTTATAACTCACATACTGTCCTACCTTATAACTCAAACATCATCTTCTTAGCCATCACCTACCTTTAATACTAGAGACAACAGATGCCATGTTAACAACACTGCCCCCTGTAACTTGCTCAATGAACTGAAAGATACAAAAAGCTGGTTTAGCTTATTGAGGATCACATTTGCTGCTGGGGATAACTTACAAGGGCTCCAGTCTCAACCCAAGATTATAGAAAGCTCTTTACTCGTTGCACACACTTCATTCCATAGAAGGTCCTACAGTGTGTCCTACAGACTTATACCAATAAGGGTCCTACAATGTGTATATACTATAAATTTCATACCAACAAGGGTCCTAAAATGTGTATATACAACAAATTTCATACCAGTGAGGGTCTACAATGTGTATGCAACAAACTTCATACCTGTTAGGGTCTACAATGTGTGTATGCAACAAACTTCATACTAGTGAGGGTCTACAATGTGTGTAAGCATCAAACTTCATACCAGTGAGAGTCTACAATGTGTGTATGCAACAAACTTCATACCAGTGAGAGTCTACAATGTGTGTATACAACAAACTTCATACCAGTGAGGGTCAACAATGTGTATATACAACAAACTTCATACCAGTGAGAGTCTACAATGTGTATATACAACAAACTTCATACCAGTGAGAGTCTACAATGTGTATATACAACAAACTTCATACCAGTGAGAGTCTACAATGTGTGTATGCAACAAACTTCATACCAGTGAGAGTCTACAATGTGTATATACAACAAACTGCATACCAGTGAGGGTCTACAATGTGTGTATGCAACATACTAGTGAGGGTCTACAATGTGTGTATGCAACATACTAGTGAGGGTCTACAATGTGTGTATGCAACAAACTTCATACCAGTGAGGGTCTACAATGTGTGTATACAACAAACTTCATACCAGTGAGAGTCTACAATGTGTATATACAACAAACTTCATACCAGTGAGAGTCTACAATGTGTATATACAACAAACTTCATACCAGTGAGAGTCTACAATGTGTGTATGCAACAAACTTCATACCAGTGAGAGTCTACAATGTGTATATACAACAAACTTCATACCAGTGAGGGTCTACAATGTGTGTATGCAACATACTAGTGAGGGTCTACAATGTGTGTATGCAACATACCAGTGAGGGTCTACAATGTGTGTATGCAACAAACTTCATACTAGTGAGGGTCTACAATGTGTGTATGCAACATACTAGTGAGGGTCTACAATGTGTGTATGCAACATACTAGTGAGGGTCTACAATGTGTGTATGCAACAAACTTCATACTAGTGAGGGTCTACAATGTGTGTATGCAACAAACTTCATACTAGTGAGGGTCTACAATGTGTGTATGCAACAAACTTCATACTAGTGAGGGTCTACAATGTGTGTATGCAACAAACTTCATACTAGTGAGGGTCTACAATGTGTGCATACAACAAACTTCATACCAGTGAGGGTCTACAATGTGTGTATGCAACAAACTTCATACCAATTAAGGTACTTCAATATGTATATACAACAAACTTTATACCAATGAAAGTTCTACAATATGTATACACAACAAACTTTATACCAACGGGAGTCCAACAATGTGTATTAACAATAAATTTCCCATTCAGGGTCCTACAATAAGTATATATAACTAACTTCATATAAAGGGTCCTACAATGTGTATATATACAATAAGCTTTATACCAGTAAGGGTCCTACAATGTGTATATACAATAAATTATATACCATTAAGGGTCCTTCAGTGTGTATATATACAATAAACTGTATACCAATAAGGGTCCCACAGTGTGTATATACAATAAATTATATACCAATAAGGGTCCTACAATGTGTATATACAATAAATGATATACCAATAAGGGTCCTACAATGTGTATATACAATAAATGATATACCAATAAGGGTCCTTCAGTGTGTATATAAACAATCAACTTTATACCAATAAGGGTCCTTCAGTGTGTATATATACAATCAACTTTATACCAATAAAGGTCCTACATTGTGTATATACAATAAATTATATACCAATAAGGGTCCTACAATGTGTATATACAATAAATGATATACCAATAAAGGTCCTACATTGTGTATATACAATAAATTATATACCAATAAGGGTCCTACAATGTGTATATACAATAAATGATATACCAATAAGGGTCCTTCAGTGTGTATATATACAATAAACTGTATACCAATAAGGGTCCTACATTGTGTATATACAATAAATTATATACCAATAAGGGTCCTACAATGTGTATATACAATAAATGATACACCAATAAGGGTCCCACAGTGTGTATATACAATAAATGATATACCAAAAAGGGTCCTACAATGTGTATATACAATAAATTATATACCAATAAGGGTCCTACAGTGTGTATATACAATAAATTATATACCAATAAGGGTCCTACAGTGTGTATATACAATAAATTATATGAATAAATTATATACCAATAAGGGTCCCACAGTGTGTATATACAATAAATGATATACCAAAAAGGGTCCTACATTGTGTATATACAATAAATGATATACCAATAAGGGTCCTACAATGTGTATATACAATAAATATATATACCAATAAGGGTCCTACATTGTGTATATACAATAAATATATATACCAATAAGGGTCCTACATTGTGTATATACAATAAATATATATACCAATAAGGGTCCTACATTGTGTATATACAATAAATGATATACCAATAAGGGTCCTATAGTGTGTATATACAATAAACTGTAAATCAATAAGGGTCCTTTAGTGTGTATATACAATAAACTGTGTACCAATAAGGGTCCTAAAATGTGTATATACAATAAATGATATACCAATAAGGGTCCTACATTGTGTATATACAATAAATGATATACCAACAAGGGTCCTACAATGTGATATACAATAAATTATATACCAAAAAAGGTCCAACAATGTGATATACAATAAATTATATCCCAATAAGGGTCCTACAATGTGTATATACAATAAATTTTATACCAATAAGGGTCCTACAATGTGTATATACAATAAATTATATACCAATAAGGGTCCTACAGTGTGTATATACAATAAGCTTTATACCAATAAGGGTCCTACAATGTGTATATACAATCAACTGTATACCAATAAGGGTCCTACAGTGTGTATATACAATCAACTGTATACCAATAAGGGTCCTACAATGTGTATATACAATCAACTGTATACCAATAAAGGTCCTACAATGTGTATATACAATAAATTATATACCAATAAGGGTCCTACAATGTGTATATACAATAAATTATATACCAATAAGGGTCCTACAGTGTGTATATACAATAAATTATATACCAGTAAGGGTCCTACAATGTGTATATACAATAAATTATATACCAATAAGGGTACTACAATGTGTATAGACAATAAATGATATACCAATAAGGGTCCTACAATGTGTATATGCAATAAGCTTTATACCAATAAGAGTCCTACAGTGTGTATGTACACTAAACTTTATCAAAGCAATGTTTCCCTATTGTAAATTTGAACAAAGAAGACACAAACCATAGATTGCATAATTTATTGCCTGGCATATTTTGCTGTAACTCGTCAAGTGCATACTACAGAAGCAAATAAGTGAATCCTTTATAACTGAAGTACAATTTCAACAACGATCAAACATAACTGCCTGTTTTTACTAGGGCAGCCATAACGACAGAACCATCTCTTTCTGTATACACAGTTCCAGGTGCAGGTGACGAATCACGGAAACTTCGAGAAATCTTAGCGTTCTGCCATTGGTTGACGCATAAAGGATTTGAAATGCGGTATTTTTAGTTACCATGTGTCCAGATTTTAGAAGATGGCATGCTATTGCGGAGAGGTGATCTTTGCGGCCAGTATTCTCATTTTGAATGTTATTTTGCATGGCTTGTTCCAACCATCGTGGAATGTGCTCAGAGACTCGTTTCTCCAGGCGTCGATCAGTTCTGCCCACATAAGCAGCTTCACAGCTACATTTAAACTGGTAGATGCAATCTGAATAAATAGTGTGTTTCTTTCGCAGTATAGAAGAAGAAAAAGAAGAAGAAAGACTTTTTAAAGACAATATGTTTTAATGTAATCAAATGAAAATAGGTATAAAATAAAGTGTGAAATCCAGGGAGAAAAGAGAAGTTACTGATAGTAGATTTTACCTTGGGAACAAACTGCGAACACATGTAATAGAGGCTTTTAACATTCACATTGAAAGAAAAGTCCCATGTCTTTTCATCGCAGTCTAACAGAGTTCCGTCATGAACATACCTTTATGAGTATTTTAAATACAAATTTTTCAGTGTTATAAAAGTACCCTAATATTATCAAATTGGACAGAAACAAATACTAAAATTCATCAAGATCAATCAGCATGTCTTTTACAAAACATCACACTCTTCATGGCACTTTACAGAACATCACACTCCTCATGGCACTTTACAGAACATCACACTCCTCATGGCACTTTACAGAACATCACACTCCTCATGGCACTTTACAGAACATCACACTCCTCATGGCACTTTACAGAACATCACACTCCTCATGGCACTTTACAGAACATCACACTCCTCATGGCACTTTACAGAACATCATACTCTTCATGGCACTTTACAGAACATCACACTCCTCATGGCACTTTACAGAACATCACACTCCTCATGGCACTTTACAGAACATCACACTCCTCATGGCACTTTACAGAACATCACACTCCTCATGGCACTTTACAGAACATCACACTCTTCTGGCACTTTACAGAACATCACACTCCTCATGGCACTTTACAGAACATCACACTCCTCATGGCACTTTACAGAACATCACACTCCTCATGGCACTTTACAGAACATCACACTCCTCATGGCACTTTACAGAACATCACACTCCTCATGGCACTTTACAGAACATCACACTCCTCATGGCACTTTACAGAACATCACACTCCTCATGGCACTTTACAGAACATCACACTCCTCATGGCACTTTACAGAACATCACACTCCTCATGGCACTTTACAGAACATCACACTCCTCATGGCACTTTACGGAACATCACACTCTTCTGGCACTTTACAGAACATCACACTCTTCAAGGCACGCCTAAAGGTCTCTCTTTCTCTAGCCCTGTGTGCCGATGCCTCTTCATTGTCTTGTATCCACCTTTGCGAAGGTCGTCCTTTGCCTCCTTTTCTGGAAACTGCACCCTCCATCACCGTTCTCTACAGACCACCATGGGGCTTGACATGTCCAAAATACTTTAGCTTTCGGGAGAAGATGTTGTTTATGAGCCAGTTCTCCTCGATGTTCAGGTCATGCAGGATGTCGATATTCTTCTCTTTTTGGTCCACAGTATTCTAAGAATCTTTCTGTAACATTTCAGTTCAAAAGCCGAAAGTGTCTTTTTCTTTGAAGACTCAGAGTCCACCACTCAAATCTGTATCAGTAAGTAGCCATGGAAAACAGTGTCAAAGTTCAAAACATCAACATGTTGGGTCAGGAGCCTAAGGATTTAGTACCTCAAGGGTAGTACTGTCATCCTGAACTGAGAAAGTTAAGATTTGAATTTTTGTCTCTGGCAGAAACAAAACAATTTCCTAGTGTCCATGAATCAAACTTAAAGGGCAAGTGATTTCATTTACACAACAACAAAATACCTCAACTTTAGAACGCAATCCTTTTGTGTGATTCTATTTTTTACAAATTATAATAAATTCTTCAGAATGACTTTTCAAAAGTGTGGGATCACGGAAGACCTTTGAAAATAAGAGGTCTTAGCTAACTGGTCTACAGTGAAAAGTTGAAAATGGCCTCTTTCATGCTCGTATCGTGCTTGGCATATCGTGCTTGACCTATATTTGTATAAACCCAGAGCTTTTTCTAGAGAAGAAATGTTCCGGTACTCACCACAAAGCGTCTTAACGGTGCCGGTATTCACCACAAAATGATTGTTAAAAAGGGCCAGTACTCACACAATAGTGTCCTTAAAAACGGTGCCGGTACTCACCACTAAGTGTTGTTTTTTCTTTTTTTAAAAAGTACCAGTACTCACCACTAAGTGTTGTTTTTTCTTTTTTTTAAAAGTACCAGTACTCACCACTAAGTGTTGTTTTTTCTTTTTAAAAAAAATACCAGTACTCACCATTAATTATCTTAACATAAGGTGCCAGTAAGCACCATTAAGTATCTTAACATAAGGTGCCAGTAATCACCATTAAGTATCTTAACATAAGGTACCAGTACTTACCATTAGGTATCTTAACATAAGGTGCCAGTATGCACCATTAAGTATCTTAACATAAGGTACCAGTACTCACCATTAAGTATCTTAACATAAGGTACCAGTACTCACCATTAAGTATCTTAACATAAGGTGCCAGTACTCACCATTAGGTATCTTACATAAGGTACCAGTACTCACCATTAAGTATCTTAACATAAGGTACCAGTACTCACCATTAAGTATCTTAACATAAGGTGCCAGAACTCACCATTGGGTATCTTAACATAAGGTACCAGTACTCACCATTAAGTATCTTAACATAAGGTGCCAGTTCTCACCATTAAGTATCTTACATAAGGTACCAGTACTCACCATTAAGTATTTTAACATAAGGTGTCAGTACTCACCATTAAGTATCTTAACATAAGGTACCAGTACTCACCATTAATTATCTTAACATAAGATACCAGTACTCACAATTAAGTATCTTAACATAAGGTACTAGTACTCATCATTAATTATCTTAACATAAGGTGCCAGTACTCACCATTAAGTATCTCAACATAAGGTGCCAGTACTCACCATTAAGTATCTTAACATAAGGTGCCAGTACTCACCATTAAGTATCTTAACATAAGGTGCCAGTACTCACCATTAAGTATCTTAACATAAGGTACCAGTACTCACCATTAATTATCTTAACATAAGATACCAGTACTCACCATTAAGTATCTTAACATAAGGTACCAGTACTCATCATTAAGTATCTTAACATAAGGTGCCAGTACTCACCATTAAGTATCTTAACATAAGGTACCAGTACTCACCATTAATTATCTTAACATAAGGTACCAGTACTCACCATTAAGTATCTTAACATAAGGTACCAGTACTCACCATTAAGTATCTTAACATAAGGTGCCAGTACTCACCATTAAGTATCTTGACATAAGGTGCCAGTACTCACCATTAATTATCTTAACATAAGGTGCCAGTACTCACCATTAAGTATCTTAACATAAGGTACTAGTACTCACCATTAATTATCGTAACATAAGATACCAGTACTCACCATTAAGTATCTTAACATAAGGTACCAGTACTCACCATTAATTATCGTAACATAAGATACCAGTACTCACCATTAAGTATCTCAACATAAGGTGCCAGTACTCACCATTAAGTATCTTAATATAACGTGCCAGTACTTATCATTAAGTATCTATTATGGAAACGCTGAAGACAATGATGCTTAAAAAGTATCTATACTGTGTACCATTACATACCACCAGAAGAAAAGGCCTGTACATAACAAAAGCCACTCAATGGGGGATGTCTAGATCACACCAGCCACCTTTACTTAACATGACATTTCCTGGTACCCATTTTAGGCTGTGTGATCCTGTGAGCCAAGGCAAATTATTCAAAAATCCAACTGTGTGTGGATTCAAGCCTAAGGTCTTTAGTCAGCAGGCCTAGTAATGTCTAGTAATGGCGTACTGCTTCTCCCCATTTGTCTACAATTTACTGAGTACATGGAGTCCTTTAAACAAATAAAGCCTTTGTGTGGGTTACGGGACCCTATTTGGAGGGTGGCAGAATAATAGACCCAACCAGTCCTAACCAGTATGCAAAAAAAGACAATTAATTATTGTATTTTTCACTATATGACTATTTTTTTTTTTTTGTAATCCAAATTTTTGAAGTTTGAACTTTGGGGTCATTTTATTCTTAGAATGTAATTTTTTTTTAATTTTTAAATAAATTTTTGTCTCTACAAAATATGCGTCATTTTATACATGGGTGCATTTTTTATACAAGGAAAAATACAGTAGACTTCTGCTGAAATAGGATGTGCTGGGCCAAAAGGGCAGACATCACAGCCCAGCTGAAAACCACAAACAACATGCAAGCCACCCTCTTAAGAGGAAGAGATAAAAACAAACAAGTTGTGCAAGTAAATAAAATCATGAAAAACTTACCCTGCACAATTAAATAAAATATCTATGTGGGGAATGGACTTGGCAAATTGTTCTACAGCTTCTTTGTTAGCAACATCCAACACTCTGGTCTCAATACCTTCAGAATCAGAATGTCAAACATGAGTTGAACTGAAGTGTTGGGTTAGAGTGCTAATTTAGAAGGAAATGTGACCTTAAAGTAAAGACAAACATGGCAGTTATTGCTGGGCATCTGTGAATTAGATATAATTTGATTTTTCCAATTTAAAAAAAAAAAGACGACAGTTTTGAGCATGTTTAATATGCTTTAGTAAAGATTTTCATACGTGGTCTATGGTCTGTGATGTTATTTTTCTTTTATTAAGTCTTTGTGGCAGATAAGTCCTGACTCGTAATCTACTATTTGCCAACACAGGGTGGTTCCTTGCTTCTCAGGCAGATTAACTCCAACTCCGAAAGAAGCCCCAAATTATTTGACTCTTATGACATGCTTCTTGGAAGGTATTGTGTCTACTCTTGTTCTTCCCCACAATGGGATCTTGAAACTACATAATTACAACTCTTTCAGTATAGAGGACAGTTAAATCAGTTATAAATCAAAGCAAGTTATGTTCCTTCGTACCCAGAGTTAAATCTTGAAAAATTAACCCTTAAACTGTGGCACTAAATTAAAACTCAGAGCAAGTTATGTTCCTTCGTACCCAGAGTTAAATCATAAGAAATTACCCCTTAAACTGTGGCACTAAATTAAAACACAGAGCAAGTTATGTTCCTTCGTACCCAGAGTTAAATCATTAAAAATCAACCCTCAAACTGTGGCACTAAATTAAAACACAGAAAGAACAACCCTGCAAAAGAATATCAAATCTTATATGAGTTAAACCAATACATTCTAGGTTAGAAGAAAAACGCTATGAGTAAATGACAGCGGCTTTCAAATTTAGAGAAAGAATCATTACCTTCAACACCATTTAACTCTTTCAAGGTTTCTCCATTAATATCTGTTGCAATTACTTTTGCTCCTTCCCTGGCTGCCATCTAAAAACATCATAGTAGTTTAAATCTACATTTAGAAAGAATCAAAAGAAACAAAAACTCACAAACAACAATACTGGTCATATCTAGCTAAACAACACAGACAAATGATTGAAATGATCAAGAGAACTGTTTATATTGCTCACTAATTGTCATTTTATGACACTGTAAACATAGAATTTGTAATATTGTATTTTTAAGCGTAATGCAAACAATAAACAGTTAAGAAAACTGGTCTTCCATGCAGGAAACCCAGGTTCAAATCCTCAGTAGGGTTATGAATCTTTTTCTGTTGGCAGCAAAAATAAAATCCTTACCTGCACAATCTGTGCGAACATCACCAGCCATGCAGCCTTAAATCCTCAGGCTCAAATACCCCCCCCCCCCCCACCACCCCCTTTTTTTTTCCTGCCTAAACAACACAAGTGCCACAAACACAAATTGTGTAGGTCTATACAGGCAATAATTGCCAGGTGATTTTTTTTTTTTTTTTTAGTTCACTATAAACAATATAAAAACATGAAATATTTGTAAGGTGGTGTTTTGAGGACAAGCCTTTATCATTTACAAAAAAAATATATATTCATAAGGATGTAACCAAGACAACGCACATGAAAGAGATGTAATGCAGCTGCCCAGTTATGAGAACTTTTCAAATGACAATAAGAGACAGCTCAGCAGTTAACAAAATAGAAAGTTACTTACAAGTGCAACAGCTCTTCCAATTCCTTGACCTGCAGCTGACAAAACAAAGACTTTTCCATTTAAACGACCCATAGTTGCTGCTCAAATTAAAGTGTATTCCAGGCGTAAAACTTAAAACTTGTCACCTGTTAGAAATAATCAGTACCAATAGAATATTTGGCTATCCTCCGAATAACGGTCCTAAATTATCGAGGCGAAAAATATACCCTAACAGGGCCTCAGTCACATGTCAATTGCGCACTTCCAGGGACTATAACGCCACCACCGAGCGTATCCCTCATGCCGCTCACGCGGCATGGATTGGGGCTAATCTAGATGGCTAGGACTCACGAGCTAAAAAAATGAACTAAACTGCAGGAGATGCAGTAGCTGCTGCTCGTGAGTCCCAGCCATCTAGTTTAGCCGCAATCCACGCAGCGTAAGCGGCGTGTGGTATACTCTCGGCGGTGGCGGAAGTCGTCGGATGTGCGGAATTTAAGACGACGGAAGTGCGCAATTGTCTGAAATTATACATACTATTAAGCCAGTTATTTTCTTACTTTTGCTGCTACCAAACAAATGTTGTTCGTAATAGCAATCTTAGCAGTTACATAAAACACCACTGGTTGAGCTAAATGTCCAGACTGTTAGTTTTTGAATGTGTCTGTATAGTGCCCAAGCTTACACAATGCCAGGAACAATCTATTTAATTATAACCAGAGTAGATATTTTGTATCGCAATATGTAACAGTTAGTAGTCATACTCAGGTACAGTCAGTGACCTATGTAGATCATTAGGCTGGCTGCGCAAATACACACGGTGAGGTACTGTTTAATGTGGCTTGGTATTCTGTCCTTGATTTGCATAGTGTGGCACAGAAACCGCTGAGAAAGCAAATATTATTCCCCTACAGTGGGGTTATTCAGCTAAGTTTACTCATCGGCCACAGAGAGATTGTCCCACGCCTGAGGCCAGAGCCCTAAGCTAGAAGAACTATTAATATAATACGGTTGGTGATGATCGGCATGCCACTTGATAGACCTTTGTAGGCCAGATTCGGGCCCCTTGTCCTGTGCTCGAGAGTTACAGTTCTTAGTTAAAATATAGATCAGGTCATCTGTCATCCTAACAACGAAGATCTATAATGAGAGATCTAGCACCCCTTCTCTTGCCAGGATAATATAGTCTCACATTCAGTACTTTTATTTTTATTCACTCCCTCTCAAGGATTTCGTGGAGAGTTCCCGGAATAGTCGAATATAATGGGGGAAGGGGTTAGGACCAGCTTTAGTTGGTGTCCATTTCAAACCCTAACAACCCTGTACTATTGGACTTTCCTTGGAAGTCTCTACGAAATCTCGGATTCCCCGAGATAGGATGAAATAAAATAAAAGAAACCGTACACTTTTTCCAGTGTTTCTGTTGAACTGTTTTCGGTTTATTTATTTCTGGCAGTAGACAATGGTATGCATTTGGTGCACATTTTTTTAAAGCATAACTTTGTTTTCCACACTTTTGTAATAGAGACTTAATGGTGAGTACCGGCACCATTTTAAAGCTATGTGAGTGTGAGAGAGAGAGAGAGAGAGAGAGAGAGAGAGAGAGAGAGAGAGAGAGAGAGAGAGAGAGAGAGAGAGAGAGAGTACAACACTTTTATTTTTCCTAGAAAAAAATAAAATGGATATTATTCTCCTTTTCAGACTGCACTTTTCCTGTTATATTGTTTTCATTAAACCATCATGTTTATTATTTTGTTTTTACATGTCTCTTTTTTCTTCTTATTGTCATTTGTTGATGAAGACTTGTTACCTCAGCATTTGCTGGACAGAAATGGCTACCAGAAACAAAGTACAAGTTACAGTTTTATATAAAAAAACATTACAATACTTAAAAGAAACTTACAACAGCAGCTTGTCAAATGTGTCCCTTGTCCTGCAGTAGCTGATAATGATAACAGTATCCCTGGCTACAGATAATCAGTTCCCAGCATTCACCTCGTGTGCCAGTTAGAGATAACTGGTCCCTATCAGCACTTGTCATGAGCACACACAATTTACGGGTCTTGTTTGCTTGCCCACTTCTGTGCAGACTGAAGCATCTCCTGCATTACGTCCTCTTCAGGGGAAAGGGGGGGGGGGAGTTTACCTTCATCTTTGTCCCAGGGCATGCGGTGTTGTTGATAATGAAAGAGCTAATGGACTGGTCAGCTCTGCTTTAGTTGCAGACACGCCTGTGGATCACGCCCATATTGGTAATACCCGAAAAGGAAAGTGACAATGTTTTTCCCTTGATGATTTCGGGAACGACTATTCGAGAATATAAAGAGTCCTGAAAAATAACCCGAGACATAAGACCTTGATTCTGGGACTCACCGAAAATCAGGGACGACTGGTCACCTTACCTTAGAGAGATGGGGCAGTCGATGGGATTATGGTAGCAACCGATCCAGATCGCTAGAATTGAGACAATAGTGAGTGACGTGTAACCTCACCAGGACCTCATAACAAGCGATTAAAACCTGGTGACATAAAGCGCTACCACTCGGATGACTCAATTCAGACTCCATGTACAGATCCTGCCTCGACCCGCCGGATCATGCTCATATAATCACTCAGCATACGCACGTGGGAATAGTCCTCTGACTCCAGCCTCATGAAAGCTTCTGTCGCCGCCATCACCTCCATCTCCTGCTGTTTAGTAGAAACAGATAATTATACAGGTGTAAGTCCCAGAAACCACATTAAGCTATTAGGCTATATTAGAGCACGACGTCCGCCGGTTGGGGCGGGGGGGGGGGGGGCTTTGCAATTTAACAAAAAATGTGTCTCACTTTGGGACGGAGACTTATAAACACCACAACCAAACACTACGAGTATACCAGACGTACGAAAGGTCTCGTCAACCAGAAAATGATGGTACTATTAACAGTGGAACGTGGATGTATATGTTAAAAGGGGAACTTAAACACCTATAGAGGTGTCTGGAGTACCGTGAAGATAACCCAACGCTGAACTCACTTAACGTTTCTTTTAAAATCTTAACCCTCCCCCGTATGGGTTTCAGGGCCCCATTTTGAAGAAGAAAGAACTGACCCCTAACAAGCATATTTGTAGGAAACAACTAATAAGGGGTGTTTCCTGCAAAGCCGGAGTGCATCTACCTGAGAGGCAAGGTCCGAATATTTTGCATACAAGTAGGCCAGATCTGTAAAATGGATGTGCACTCAAAACTCAAGTTCTGGTTCAAGACTGCAATCCAGGAGTGAACGAACCAAAACTTTCCCCTGGAGTTTAGAGCCGGTGATCGTTAAGATGAGGAAGAAATTTAACCCTTAGACTCACGGCTAATGTTGAATGCTGAATTAAGAATCGACATTACAGCACTTGGGACACTCCCATAAGTGTTCGTTCAACAGCAAGCGAAGAGTTCCAATTCTGATGGCATTAGTATTTATGATTGTATATCCGTCTTGCCTTTCATTTGAGCGTTGAGAGATCCCCTGGTAACTTCTCGCAGCGTCATTGTTTTCCGTACGCTTCACTCGCTCCCAAAGGGCCCTCACAACATCTAGCTTATCACATATCAGTTTATCACTCACTGATGCAGAATCTGCCAGTCTCACTTCTGTTCGTTTCATAACATACCGGCATCACCTAGACGAAATATCCAAAGAACATTAACTGCTTCTGAAGCGATGACTGACACTGCACGAAGCATGCCTGATCTCCGCCTTTCCCAACATGCTTTGTGAGTCAGTTATAATTACATGTGTGTACAGCTGATTCTCAAGCCAGTGGAAGACAGTAGTGAGTGCCTCCGTCTCCATTCTCAAATTAGATGTTGTGACATATGCCATATAATGTAGGCTTTCTCAGAGATAAAGAAATTAAGGAACAGTTCTCAGTTACGGTCTCTAATAAGTACCAGGTGTTGCAGCAGTTAGCTGAAGATGTCAACACAGAAGTCTGCTGGGATCAGATCAAAGGAATCTGGAATGAATCTTGCGTAGAAGTTCTTGGCAAGAAAGAAAGGAAACATAAAGCATGGATAACACCAGAAACCATTAAACTGATTGAAGATAGGAAAAGTAAAAAGGCAGAATTAAACAATAGCAAAACTAGAGCTGCTAAAGCTAGAGCTCAGGAGAAATACACAGAAGCCAACAAGGAAGTTAGGAGGCATATAAGGGCAGATAAAGTGAAATATCTAAATGATCTAGCACAAAAAGCAGAGACAGCAGCAGCAAAAGGAAACCTCAGAGAACTTTACAGTAACACAAGGAAATTAGTAGGTAAATATAGTCAGCCAACTGGATCAATCAAAAATAGTCAAGGAAAGGTACTTACTTACACTAAAGATCAAATAGACAGATGGGTTGAATATTTTGAAATGCTTCTAAATAGACCAGGCCCAGAGGTTCCCCCAGATATCCAGCCTTTAGAAATGGAACTGGATATCAACTGTGAGATACCATCCAAAGAGGAAATTAGGAAAGCTATAAACCTTCTCAAGGAAGGAAAGGCGACAGGCCCAGACGGTATCCCAGCTGAAGCCATCAGGGCCAACATAAACACATCAACAGAATTGCTACATAGATTATTTAGTAAAGTCTGGGAGACCGAAGAAATACCAGCAGACTGGAGAGAAGGATATCTTGTGAAACTGCCCAAAAAAGGTGATCTACAGGAGTGTGAAAACTATAGAGGAATTACGTTGCTGTCAGTTCCTGGAAAAATATTAAGTAGAATTATTTTGGAAAGATTAAAAGATGCTATTGATAAAATGCTAAGAGATGAGCAGGCAGGTTTTCGGTCAAACAGATCCTGTACTGATCAGATAGCCACATTACGTATTATAATAGAGCAAAGCATTGAACTGAACTCACCACTTTACATTGGATTTATAGACTATGAAAAAGCATTTGACAGCATAGATAGGGAATTTCTCTGGAAATTGATGGGGCACTATGGAATCCCACAGAAAATTATCAACTTAAGTAAAGGCAACATATAAAGACATGAAATGTCGAGTTCTTCATGAGGGAAAGCTAACAGATGCATTTGAAATAAAAACAGGTGTGCGACAGGGATGTCTTTTGTCGCCTCTCTTATTTTTACTGGCTATAGACTGGACTATGAAAACAGTAACTGCTAACACCAAGAATGGAATTCAGTGGACCCCTACAAAACAGCTTGATGATCTGGACTTCGCTGATGATATTGCTCTTCTGTCCCATTCACGGAATCAGATGCAAGATAAATTAAATATACTTAATGCGAGATCAAAGCAGCTTGGTCTGAAAATCCATAAAGGAAAGACAAAGATAATGAGAATAAATCAGGCAAATAGTAATGTGGTTTCTCTTAATGGCACCCCACTCCAAGACGTGGAGTCGTACACCTATTTAGGCAGTAATGTAGATAAAGATGGAGGAACTGATAGAGATATTAAAATAAGAATACAAAAGGCTTTCATAGCACTAGGGAATTTGTGGAGGTCAAAAGAAAATAAAAGAAATACTAAACTAAAAATTTTTAATTCTGTCAAATCAGTACTATTGTATGGGGCGGAAACATGGAGAACAACCAAGGCAATTACTAATAAATTACAGACATTCATAAACTGGTGCCTACGCAGAATAGAGGGAATAAAATGGTATGATAGAATAACTAATGTAGAACTTTGGGAGAGAACTAAACAGGCTCCAGTTGATCAGGAAGTGAGGAAAAGACGCTGGCGTTGGATAGGACACACACTGAGAAAACAGGAGAACAGCATTATTAGAATGTCTTTGCATTGGAACCCACAGGGGCATAGGAATACAGGAAGGCCAACAAACACATGGAGAAGAGAGCTGGAGAACGAGGTTAGAAAGATTGGGAGGACATGGGGAGAGCTCCATGCAATGGCGAAGGATAGAACGACTTGGCGTGAGTTGGTTGAGGGCCTATGCTCCATTGGGGGGTAGAAAGGCAGAAGAAGATATCATATTCCAGGCTTTGTTGCACTAAACGACGTCCACTCGCTTTTGCTATGTAACTCCCCATGCACTTCGTTTGCCTCTCTTATTACCCTTAACTAGTAATCTCCTTGTGGGAAGCAATTTTTCGTTATTTTGAAGCCCTACCCTGGCTCTTGCCATGGGGACGCAATATAGCCCGACCATAAATATGGTCTATTGGCTGAACGTGGTTTCTGGGACCTCTCCACGGGTGATCCTCATCCACGTGGTGGCACTAGTGTCATCGGGTGTTTATCGCTTGTGTGATGTCCTGGTGGGATAGAAAGTCAGTCAGTCAGTTTGCCTCTCAACACAGAGCCATCTCTCTATATAGATAATCACATCACCTGAGCGGGAACTGTCATGAATCATTTGTTGTACTTCTGATTCAAACAGGAGATGCTTCTTGTCTGCAACTACTCTGAGATATGAGTGAATGAGATACAGCCCCACCAGGACTTCAACCCCACCAAGCACCAAGCGATAAACACCAGGTGACACAAAGTACCACAATGTGGATGAGGATCACTGGGGAAGAGAGTTATAGAAACCCCTTTCAACCGTTAGGTTATATTAGCGGGGTTGGACCTTAAAATAACGATAATTTGCATCTCGCATCGAGACGACAGATGGTATGCGAAGATATAACTATACTTGCAGAGCTTTGAGCCATTCTGCAACAATATAGGCGTTGCTAGTTTGTATTGCACGTATACTACCAGTGTATCTCTAGTACATCCCAGAATTACCCGCATGGGTTCAATTACCCGCATGGGTTCATTCTGTATGCGTTCGTTTCATTAGCTGACTCTTTGATATGGTAAACATTCCAAGCCTATAATCTATTAAGACTCATGACCAACCAAACAACTCATGTATCAACCGCAGTCGACGTGAATTAGTTATGACATCATCATCGTCAGGTGCTTTCCCGACTTGCCGATAATGCCTCTCCACAATTTGCGATCTTCTGCAGCATGTATCAGTTCATGTGTTGACACACCTCCATGTCATGCAACAAGACTGTCAAGAATCTTCTCTCTTTTTCGTCCTCTAACCCTCCGTCCACATATCTTTCCAGTGGTCACAACATGTTTTATTTTCCCTCTTCTTATAACATGGCCGAAAAATTATAATTATCTCCTTTTGATGTCTGTGATGTTGTCTTCGTGCTTCCACCTCTTTCAAAACCCCTTGGTTGGTCTTTTTGGCTGTCCAGGGTATTTTAAGCATTCTTCTGTAAAACCACATCTCTGATGCCTCAAGAAATTGTTTGGCCTGCCTACCGATTGTCCAGGACTCACAGCCATATGTTAAAACTGGATGTATGTAGCAAGCAAGAACTCTTTCTCTAACCATCAATCACAGAGATACATTGCATAAGATGTTCTTCATAGTTACTTATTATACCACTATACGTCCTTTTTAGGACGTAATTTTTTGTTATTTGAAGCCCCACTCTGGCTTTTGCCAGGGGCCGCAATATAGGCAGGCCATAAATATGGCCAATTGTCTGAACGCGGTTTCTGGGACCTCTCCACGGCGATCCTCATCCACATGGTGGCACTTTGTGTCACCGGGTGTTTATCGCTTGTGTGATGTCCTAGTGGGGTAGAAAGTCACTCACTTCATAGCTACGACAAAGGGAGACTATTCACGATAAAACAGCCAGACTGGTCTTTATTATCTTTATGTAACAAGACACGTTTTATGATTTTTGTTCACGTTTTTTGCTAAGTTATACATAATTTTTATCAAACCGCTACTGAAGCCGGGGAAGTAAACTAAATGTGCTAATGTTTTGTCTGGTCTTGGTTAATTTCACTGTCCCGCTTGGCGTAATTTCTTCCTTCACGAGTGTGAGTAGTAGTCGATCAGACCTTGTACTCGTACACTGTTCAGTGAGTGCAGTCAGCTGTGTGTTTCGGTATGGTATCACGTTTGTGTATATAGTCATGATAATTTTGTTTTACTTATTATATACAAAGGCACATGTAGCTACGCATACATACGACAGTCAATACTGTGTACATTTGTAAAACAACAGTAGCACAAACCAAAACAGCCGACAAATGGCAACAGCTGTGGCATGCACATACGTCGTTTAGCCTATATACTGTTCACGTTAATGTATTGTTCACGTTATGTACTGTTCACGTTAATGTGCTGTTCATGCAATAGCAGTAGCATTAGCCATCTCCATGTGAGACCCAATTTTTCGTTATCAAGAAGCCCCACCCTGGCTCTTGCCAGGGGCCTAATATTAGTAATATAACCCAACCTATGGGTTGAACAGGGTTTCTGGGACCTCTCCACCACATGGTGGCACTTTATGTCACCGTGTGTGTATCTCTCGGTGTGATGTCCTAGTGGGATAAAACATCAAGCAATCTATTCACGCAATATAAAATATACTTACCTAAAAACAAACAAGATCAGTAAATATATGTACTATTTGGACTATACATCTTAGTATCTTTAAGAGCCACCTAGATAAGGGGCCTGTTAAAACAGTCAATCTTTGTGGATAAAACAAAATGGAGAGGGGGGGGGAGGGGTTTGTCATTAATTTTTTCCTAATATTTGCAATATTTTATTTTAATAATAGTAATATGGTTACACATTGTTCTTAATGAAATACATTTAAAAAGTATAATCACTATACATGAGACAAAAACTAAAATTACTTACCATAGCCTTCCATTACAAACACTTGGAAACTTACTGACCTTTTATCTTTAACTCTTTCAGTCAGTCCATGGCTGTTTGTGTCTTACAGTTTTGCAAGGGGAGGGGGGGGGGTTAAATATTATAGGGCTAATTTAATTTAGACCAGGTGTAGGTAAATTATGGACTGTGGGCTAAGACTGGCCCACCAATAAATTTTTACTAGCCCACAAGGCCTGTGTAGAAATTACTGTATAATCTAGCTCACGAGCTCACAAAATAGCAAACACACAAAATCATACGTTAATATTTAGAAAAAAAAAAAAAATCAAAATATAAGCATAGAAAAAAAGAGAAACTATACACTAATAACCAGAAACTGATGTCACCATATCTTTCTAATCTTATCCCACAAAAATATTGACTTACGAGGAAATCTGGCTGTTATGTTTATAAAGGATTTTTTCTGTATGGCCAGTGACCAGGTTGGAAATTCTGAATTTGACTTGCAGACCCTAAACAAGTTCCCTGCCCCTGATTTAGACTGTTATTTATAAACATTTTACTTTTATCTTTCAGTTTTTAGACAGGAGGCAGTAGTTACTTAGTACAGAACCACACTATGGCACTACGTTTTAGGCAGCGACGTACTGCAGCTCAGATATGTCACATTCTTCACAGAAACCTGGCACCTAGACAGAAGAGATGCATTTTGACAGGAAGCAGCATTGACCGTAAGTGAACTTTTGTACAAATTAGAGACATATATCTGCTTGTACACCCCACTGTGAGGGTGGTGGAGGGAATAGACCCACTGCCCTCGACAAGTAGATACAAAGAAATGACTGATGGGTTTGCTGGAATCGGATGTGTTAGACCAAAAATCACAGACATCGCAGCCTAGCTGTAAACTACAGTACAGTATAACCCTGCTAAATACATATCGATACCTGCAGATAGGTTAGATAAGTGTTTATACCTGCAGACAAATTTGTTGAGTGTTTGTACTTGTAGACAAATTAGATTAGTATCTCTACTTGCACACAAATTAGATAAGTATGTGTACTTGCATAGAAATAAAATCAAGAAAAAGAATATCTATGAAAGATAGGATCAGAGAAACTCTTCAACAGGGCTATTCAACTGGCGGCCCAAAAAGGCCTAGCAAATGGCATGCGGATTACCTGCGAACTGTATTGTATTAATGTTGTTTCTACTCTGGGGCTTGTTCTTCTGGCCCGCGACCATCTTCATTTTCCTAAGTCAGGCCCCTCAGCAGACTTAGTTGAATGGCCCTGCTCTACAACAACACGCTGTGTCTATGGTTGAGGCAGGCAAAAGAGAAAGAAGCAAAAACTTATATCTTCCTCGACAACCGAAGTTGTAAAAGAAGTGAAGAGAATGAAAATCTGAACATTGAAGAAATCTGACTCATAAACTGCAGTATCTTCTTTTTTTTTTCCCCCGCCTGAAATAAGTTGTCCATATCAGCAATTTTGTCTCTTGTATCAATTTCACTGTCGTTGTTAGTTCATTCAGTTGTTCATTGAGTTTTGTTTCACTGTTGTTCTTTCTGGCCAAAAGGTTTGCCTTAATGTGTCGAATTCGGTGCAGTCCTGGAGTACATGCTCTGCTGTCTGGGGCACCTTTCCACAGGTGCACATGGCTGATACGCCTATCTTTAATTTTGTGTACATGTGGTTACGTAATTGGATGTGCTCTGTTCTGAGGCGGAAGATAATGACTTGTTCTTGTCTTTTCATAATAAAATAGTCATCTTGTGCTGGGGCTGGTGGTTTCCTGATCGATTTAATGATTTTTTTCTTTTGGTGGTATGTGACTGGTACATTCGGCTGCTCTTTTGTCGCACCTTCCCTTGCCAGTTGATCAGCTTTTTCATTTCCAAGCACTCCACAATGAGACAGTATCCACTGCACTATGACTTCGCTGAAGGCATTACCACATACTGTGAGCCAAGATTGGTATTTAGCAGTTTCTCTGTTGCTATCTCTTTTTCATTTCCAGGCACTCCACAATGAGACAGTATCCACTGCATTACCACATGCTGTGAGCAAAGATTGGTATTTAGCAGTTTCTCTGTTGCTATCTCTTGGGGGTCCTAATGGAGCAATGGATGAACGAACGAACGAACGAACGAACAAACTTTATTTTCAAAGGGTTACAAATTGGGCACGCAGGTCCGTCTGACATTCGGCCCTTCTAAGTACTCATTTTTCAGAGTACCAATACCTGTTATCAATAATGCATGTTATGGATTTAATAAAGAAATATAAATTATAGTATAATGCATACACACATCATGTGTACACAATCGTACACACTCACACACACACGTATACACACTCCTATGTTCTCATACATGCGAACTCATATACAGACATACATGATACATACACACATGCATCTACATACATATACAAGCAAACACATACACTGACATAAATGCACAAACAGAAAACACACACACATACATTTATGGATATACACACACACACATACAATCACATACTTACACAGCTACATTTACATTCATACATTCTCATACATACAAACATACATAATACATACATGCACCTACATACATATACGCACACATACACACATCCACATGTGCAATACAAGACTCTTAATGTCTATTAGCCTCTTTTGCTCAAGCCTACAGGTGGTGGACCCTGTTCTTCCCAGCAATCCAGTTGAAGGTTAAGGTCTCAACCTCCAGCAGGAAACTGGGTGGGACAATAAACGAGGTAAAGGCGAAAGACGAATGGATGAGCCTACTCTCCACAGTCTACCCTAGCAAAACAAGGTGCTGAAGTCAGAGGCAGCCAGCCAGGAGGCGCACTACAGCAATCAGGATGCCACGCACATACTCCATGGAAATATGTCTAAAGCAACTGCAGTATGACTTGAAAACTAAAATAACCTTTCTATGTTTAACTAACAAATATAAAACATGATCAGTCATTTTACAATTGTAGAACCATTGAGGAAGAGATCAGACCACCTATGGATCTGTTATCTAGAATGCTGTGCTGATAGTCTTTACCAATCAGTAGCCAACCACTCATCAGTCCTGGGAAAGGCTGCTTTTTGAATACGTGTAGATACCATTTTAAAAATATCTTTGCTGTAACAGTTTCAGTTTATTTGCAAGTTTTATCATGGTTCCACAGCTGCTCATGGCCTTGGAGATGATCAGAGGCAGATCCAGCAAGTGGCTCTAGATTTTGCACAGAATGAACTAGCTCCAAATATGCAACAATGGGATGCAGAGGTTAGCACTGTTTACAGTCATGTTTGAATTCTCTGAAGACAATGGGAAATTTTAGGATGCACAATTTATGTTAATTTTTCTTTTTTCAATTTTTACAGTGTACTTCCCTTTTTTTTCTTTTATCATCACATTGTTACCAAGTTGTAGTTGGTTAAAAAAAAAACAACACACACTATCTTTTATTTCTCATTTGTCTGAATGAATCATTTTTTCATCTTTCTGCTGGCTTTATCTACACAGTTCATCTGACTCTTCTTTGCCCTATCTGATTTTCCACTCTGATATTCTGCCATAAAAGGTCTTATATACAGTTGGTCTTTGCTGCATTGTTCCAGATGACCAAACCGATGAATGGTAATTGATATGTAAATAGTGTAGATTACATGTCAAATATGTCAGAGACAAAATATACAAATTTCTAGGACATCAGGAGCTTCTTTTGGGGTGGTGAAACGTCACAAGCTAGCTCGATTTGGGCACCTTGTGCGACAGGATTCAATTACAAAGACTGTGTGAAAAAGATGAGAGCAAAGAAAAACCTGGAATGACAATATCAAGAAATGGACAGAACGGGACTGAGTTATCATACACTTATTCCTCAAACAGAAGACAGAGAAAGATGGCGGGTTTTGTGTGTTAGTGCTTCCATCGATACACCTCCCCGACCCTAACGGGACAAGGGAAATGTTATTGAAGATTTAAGTTAGCCTTTGACAAGCTAATTAGCCTAACTGAATAAGCAAATCAGTGTATAGTATGGTTAGCCTCTCACAGACTGATTAGCATGAACAGATGACCAAACCAGAGTATAATGTGTAAGCAGTGTTACAATTTTGCTGGCAATTTCTTGATTTATTACGCACAAACGTAGTTGGTGCTGTGATTGCCTACCAGCACAGATGTTCTGTGTTTGAATCCTCACTGGTTTCAAAGGTGTCTGAAATGTCTGCTACATGTTGACCATAATAACACAGTGACTGTATCTACCACATAACAGAGATGAGCTGGCTTCATATCTACACATTTCCCTGTGTGGGTTCCACGGCACTATTATAGGGAAAACAAGAATATACCCACTGCCTACCCAAAAGCATGTCGTAAAAAATCAGAGTGCATCTGCCTGAGAGGCAAGGAACCAGCAGTCTGCATACAAATGAGTCAGATCTGTAAAACAGATGCACACGCAACACTCAGGTTCTGGAACAAGACTGCGGTCCAGAAGTGGATGAACAGCCAGAGTTTACAGCTGGTGAATGCAAAGAAGAAGAAGAAGAAGCAATCTACAAATTAAAACTAAAAATAATCTTTTGTCTCTCTGTTCCACCTCTTTTCTAATGATGTATAAGGGAAATGTTTGGGAAGGTAAAGGTGATCTAAGGAATTTTTACACATCCTGCATCAAGTGTCAAGCTTCCGTTCATCACCAATAATGTATAGTGTATTCTTTTTTTAATTTAAAAAAAAATTCCTTTTTTTTTTTTTGTTCACCGGCTCTAATCTTCGGCAAAAAGTCCTAGTTTGGACTGTGGCTTTGTGTCAGGGTCTGCATGTATATCTATTTTACTGGCTTATTTGTGTGCAGCTGGTTGTTTCTTGCCTTCAGGCAGATGAACTGTGACTTCGAAAGAAGCTCCTAATTATGGACTCTTGCGACATGCTTTTTTGGGGTCGGCAGTGGGTCTATTATTATTTTCCCCAGAAAGGGACCCCAGAACCCACATGGGGAAAGGAGCACTTTGGCTCATATTTTTATAGACCAGTCGGCCCTCGGGAGGTGAAAGGGCGACATCGCAATGGCTGCCTTTACATCTCAGGACATGATCTGGTACCCGTTTTGGGCTGTGTCAAATAAAATATATATATTAGGAAATATTTTACTAGCAGATGTTTTAAAGTTGAACATTTGTATCTTAGTTTTGTCATTCCTTGTGTTTGAGGGTCGCGACATGAATCACCCGATCGATATGTTTCATCAGGCCCTGGGAAATGTATTTATTTGTATGCTTTACTTTGTGCTTGACCGCTTTGCCAAGGAGATCCCTTAACAGGGAGGAACTGAGACTGGTTATCATGTAAGATGGCAACTCATGAACTTTTTCATTTATCAGCAGGACATATAATGATTATGACGTGCATTTGTAATATCACTCAGCAGAATGTCATTCTCGTCAGAATGTTGCTCGAAAGTCTCTCTTTAAAGCGTGTAAAGGAAAGTCTCCACGTCTTTCTCTATAGGGCATAGAGACCTTTTTTTATAGCCAATCGGCACAAGATGGGTGTGTGGTCAGCATCCCATCGGCCGCCTCTACTTGCCGGAACTGCACCCGGTACCCAGTCAAGGCTGGGTCGACCTGGGAGCTAAGGTAAAGTTTCTCTTTCTCTAGCCAAACCTCCAGCCTTGTGTGCTTTCATAGCTAATGCATCTTCAATGTCTTATTTTCACAATTGTGGAGGTCTGCCTCTACCTCATTTTCTGGAAACTTTACCCTCTATCACTGTTCTCTCCAGGCCACCATAACTTGTAATATATATTCATTTTTATTAATTGAACTTGTGATTGAAAGAAACATAAATCATTGCTATTTTATCTCTCCAACTTTCAATGCATACAGGAAATCTTTCCAGTTGAGTCACTGAGGAAAGCTGCTAGTTTAGGCTTTGGGGCTGTCTACTGCAGTGACCAGTTTGGCGGTACAGGACTAAGTCGGCTGGATGCCTCTGTGATATTTGAGGCTCTGGCTACAGGATGTTGTAGTACAACAGCATATATCAGCATACATAAGTATGTAACTGTTACATTTATGGTCTCTACTTTTATACAGTAATAGCTATCAGCAAACTTAATTATGTAACAGTGTGTTACATTTGTAGTCTCTGTTGTAGTTATCATCATCATCATTATCAAGTGCCTTGCTGACTGTTGTGGGTGATTATGCCTGTCCACACAATCTGTGACTGTCAACAGCATTATCAGTTCATGAAAAAGAGGATAATCAAATCAGCAAGCCACCAAAACTGGCACAAGATGATTACCATACTATAGGCAGACAAGAGCAAGTCCTTATTCTACACCTTCGAACAGGATATAGTCCACTCGCAGTCTCATGTACATAGAGTTCAAGATAAGCGTTTCAGCCATGTGCATTTGTGGATTAGCACCTGAGACAGCAGATCCCATCCTTCAAGACTGTCCCAAATACAACATATGAAGGCAAAACTTTTGGCCAAGAGAAACATCGGTGCAGGTCAAACTTTATGGGTCGCTGACTGAATTACAAAAGACAGTGAAGTTCTTACTAGAGACAACATTGCAGATATAGATAATCTTTTTCAATCGATGAAAGAAGAAGATGTTCATGTGCTGGCACCCCTCACATTGTCTTCCTCCGTCTCTTTTTCCACAAGTCTTTCCAGTGGTCACAACATGTTTCAGTTGCCTTATTCTCATAGGTTCCCAAAAAGAATTGTCTCTTTCTAATGTTTGTGAAAAGTTCCAGCCCGCAACTTTTTCAAAACACCTGGGTTGCTACTTTTGGCTCTCCAAGGAATTCTAAGAAATAATCTGTAAAACCACATTTCCTAGGCCTCAAGAAATTGTTTGGCTTAACATCTGATGCAGTAAAGCTCACAAAGTATGTGGACAGCTAGCCCCTTCCTTACGGCATAAGACAGTCCCACAAAGAAATGTCTCATACAAAACATATTCATTGCCGCTTTGGGCTATAAAAGAAAATTAGAAACCATGGAAATGAGATGTCTGAGAAGGGCTGCATGATTGACCAGAAAAGATTGAAACCAGAAATGAGGTCATGAAAGAACAGGTCTGCACAGAACCAATTATAAATTACATACAAAGACAGCAAACCAAATGATTTGCCTGCTTAGAGAAAATGCCTTGTGACATTGAACCATAAAAGAGGCATACACCAAAAGAGAAGAAGAGCTGAGAGCACAAGGTAGACCAAAAACAGGATGGAAAGATAACATCAGAGAAACTCTGTAACAGCATTATGTGTCTAGGGTCGAAGTGCCAGAAGATCAAGAACCAGAACTTTATATCTCCCTTAATGCCTGAAGCTGTAACAGAGAAAGTCCATCTTCTTCTTCGTCATCATCTTCTTCTTTGCATTTACCAGCTGTAAATCCAGCAGACAATTCTTGTTGCTCATCAACTTCTGGACTTTACAGTCTTAATCCAGAACCTGAGTTGTGCGTGCACATTTGTTTTACAGATCTGGCTTATTTGTAATGCAGACTGTCAGTTCCTTGTCTCTGATGCAGGTGCATTCTAACTTCAGAGGAAATATCCCTAACTGGTAGACTCTTACTACATGCTCGCTAGGGTAGTAGGACCTGGTTACATAAGTATATCAGTTGGGAAATTTAAAGTAAAAGGAAGAAAGAGATGTATTTCTGGTTGGCTTACCTGTATGAATGGGACAAGACAAACACATTGACCTGATCTGTGATTCTGGTGAATCTGCAGAATTGCAAAACATGACATCTTATGCTAATGTCAGGCACATGATGCTGTTGCTGAGAAGCATGTCACTGTTTGTATGGGCCATGCTAAAACTGCCCATAATGTAATTTACTTATAGAAATGTAAGCAAAGTAAAATTAACTTATTCTTCTTAGCATTCGCCGGCTGTAAACTGCATAAAAGTCCTCGCTTTTTGTCCACATCTGGATTTTGGTCTTATTCCAGAATTTGAGTTTTGTGTTACATGTGTTTTTTTGGCTTATTTATATGCAGATTGTTGATTCCTTGCCTCTCAAGCTGATGTACTCAAACTTCGAAAGGAAACATCGCTGATTAATCACCTTGTATGATATGCTTATTTTAGTCCAAGGGGTCTGTTCTTTTCCCGCCGAAAATGGAGCCCTGGAACCCACACAGGAAGTACAGATAACAATAAAGTGTCTTTAGGCTTGACTTCACACAGGATGTCTCTGCTGTCATATTCAGTGCCAGCATCTTTTCCTTGCCTCTTGCTTCACCGGAATTTGTTTAGTTCTTTCTCTGAGAAGCAACACATGTGAAGACCTTAAACATGAGGATACTACTGATTTCTCATGGATACAATGAAAGTGTAATTTATATCATCAACTGAGCAGCACAACATGAAAACCATGCATGAAAAATCCACACTCACTTCAAAAACCAATATAGAACAGGAGTTGTGAACATCAGCTGCTAAAGAATATGAGTATGAGAAGATTGGAGCACTTATGGGCATGCCTGACATGCAATAAGGATGGTCCTATAGTAAACAATCATCTGTAGTTCTTTCCCTAAGCTCCACATGAGTTTAAACTAAGGAGACAATATATCTGCCATGTTGATGGCACAATGTTAGTAAGATTGTCTAATTATTCATAGCAGTTTCTGTCATAATCACAACCCAAATCAAAGCAAAATGTGAAACAATAAAAATTACATTGTGGTTGTATAAATAATTATATGATATATAAATTTGAAGTAATAAATAAATATATAAATATATATAGTCTGAGAACTTAGTTAACACTATGTATCCCAATTATAACACTGAGAGTTTAACCGAATATTTTTGAAACATTACCACTACTTCCACATGAGTGTGGCATCTGTGGCTTAAGCAAATCTGACTCGTAATTCCAACATACTGCGATCGAAACCCACTGCTGGCTGCATGGATTTGTATCATGGTATGGGGCGCCAAAGGTCGACCCAGCCTTAAATGAATACCAGGATGTATGTCCTGGAAAAGTAAAGACGGCTGGCGTAATGCTGACCACATTACCCACCAAGTGCCAGTCTGTAAAAATATGGGTGCTCTTCCCATATGCCCAATGTGCCTAAAGGCGTGAAAAGGGATCTTTACTTTTTTTTCACTTACCACATGAGTAATTCTGCAATACATTATGTGTCATTTTCAACGATAATAAAGACGTGTGTGTGTATTTTTATGTTTCTGATACATTTGTTTTGTTTGTCCGTAGCATGTGTGCCTGGATGATTGACAAGTTTGCTAGTGATGACTTACGATCAAAGTGGATTCCTAAACTGGCATCCATGGAAGCGTTTGCCTCTTACTGTTTAACGGAGCCAGGTCAGTGACTTCCTGTGTCTGTTCTGAGGCCCCAATTTCGGGAAAACCGAATAGACCCACTGCTTCCCTCCCTCTTACAAGCATGTCCAATGAGTCGACTAATTAGGAGTGCTTCCTGCAAAATCAGAGTGCATCTGCCTTAGAGGTGAGGAACCAATAATCTACATGAAAACACAACAGATCCGCAGAATGAATCATTATCATCAGTTTCCACTTCTGCTCTTAAGCGTTGTGGGAAGGAACAGTTTGCGATCCATTTCTTGATGGGCAGTAGTAGCCATTGTCATACTGTGTCAGTGTAGAAGCTCTTTAATGTCATCAATCCATGTTCTTCTAGGGCGACCTCTCGCTTCCACTTTAGAGCTTTTCATGTGAGAGCCTGCTTTGGTAGTTGTTCTGGCTGCATTCTTACTAGATGACCAAATCATTTGATCTTCTATTTCTCCATGAATTTGCTGCCTGGTGTTGTTCCTACAGTCTGTCTGATAATATAATTTCTAACTTTGTCTCTGACAGCTTTTCTCAGAGATCTCATTTCACAGGTGCTAATTTTGTTAATGTTAGCCTTTGATAATGTCCAAGTCTGGTACTGGTAGCACAGTGTTCATAAGAATATGCTGTTTATAATCTGTTTCTTTGCACTCATACTTATGTTAGGATGTCTTAATAATGGTGTCAGTTGGTATATAATTGGCATCTTGTTTTGTTTTTCCGATCTATTCTCCCGTCCTCCAAGGATATACTTCCTAGATATTCTAATTCTTTAACTTCCTTTAGACAAGAACCATTCAACCTGATATGTTGCGGACTAGGAATTCTGCTGACCTGCCTTACTTCAGTTTTAGTAGTCTTTATTTTTATGTTTTATCTTCTGCATGTTGAACTTAGCCTGTTCACATTTTCTTGCAGTCTGCTCCCCTCATTTTAAAACAGACAGGAAACTGTAGTAGCAGCACATGATGTAGAAAATGCTTACAGCAGAGTTCAGTATAGTATCTTGATGACTCTGCTTATGGAGAAGGGAGTCTGTCTTTGGTTGGTGAACTCAGTAGCAGCTATTTTGTATTCTCTTCAGGTAGCTCTGTGACTGGGTTCATGGACCTCTGAACCAAATGTTATATCCCCAGGACTACCACAGGGATCTGCAATTTCACCTCTGCTTTTCAGTGTTTTTACAAGTAAGATTGCTGACCTGGAAACACCTGGAGTTGGCAGAATATTGACATTTGCAGATGATGTTTTGCGTATAGACAGGGGAGAAATCAGAATCAAATAGCTCTAGATCTACAGGTGACAGTAGATAAGGTGATCGGCTGGTGTACAGAAATGAGTGCTGCAGTCAACCCAGAAAAGGCAACTATCCTGTGGTGTTCTTTGGACAACAGGATTGTTGGAGCTGATATTCCAAGCCTCAAAATAAATGGCAGGGATATCAAAACAGACGGCAGACTGCTGTAGCTGGAAATCACCTGGGTTGTATGAGTATGATTCATCCTTGCATTGCTGACTATTGCAGATAGGCTTAAGGTGATGCAGGCTAAGTCATACCTCAGAGTAGCTGCAAAGAGCACCCTCTTAATGAAGCTTTGGATGCAGTTAAGGGTCAGAGGCTGAAAAAGGGAAAATCTTGAGTGGCTGAAGCACCACATGTACACAAAATTCAAGATAGGCCATGTGCACCTGTGGAAAGGTGCCCCAGACAGCAGAGCATGTACTCCAGGACTGCACAGAATTTGACACATTAAGGCAAACCTTTTGGCCAGAAAGAACAACAGTGGAACGTAAACTCTATGGACCATTGAATGAATTAACAACAACAGTGAAATTTATACAAGTGACAAAATTGCTGATATAGACAACTTATTTCAGGCGAACGAAAGAAGAAGAAGAAGAAGTGGCTGAAGCAGAAAACACAATAAGACAAGTATGCATGCTGGAAAAGAGTGGGAGAGGAGAGGAGTGTACCAGAGGAAAAGTCTGACCTGTGTAGGGTCATGATCACATCAGGCCGGGAGTGCAGAGAGTGGCCAGCAGATGAAAGTCCAACAGTCGATTCACGACAATTCTCGTCCAGGTGATCTGATTATCTATATAGATGGTTCTGTGTTAAGAGGAAAAGAAGTGCCTCGGGGTTCGTAGTAAAAGCCAATGGAAAATCTTTAGTGCAGGACAGCCTAGCTAGTGCTTGCCTGCGGATCCGAAGGTCATTGGTTAAAATCCGCCTTGAACCTGATATTTTTTTTCTTTCAAAAAATGACCTTTCCTCCCAGGTCCACCTAGCCTTACATGGGTGCTAGGTAAAGTTCTAAGAAGTAAAGACGTCCAGCATGATGCTGACCACATCAAACATGACAATGTTTAAAAAAAAAATATAGTTCTAGCACTAAAGTTAGTTGCATATCCTTTACAGGATGTAGCAGAACCAACCCTAGCATTTTTTAGCTGTTGTCGTTTTCTAAGCACATTTACGTCCACTAGTTTGCCATTGCTTTCTGGACGGTCTGCTCCTCGATACCATCGTCGAAACCAATGCAAGGCACAAGCTCCGCAGCTGGGATCGAACCCGGCAGCCCGTCATTACAAAGCGCGTTCACAATGCCTAAGCCACAGACTAGCACTATATGCCCCATATGTCTAAAGGCATGAAAAAGATCCTTTACTTTAGACACTTAACAGGACAGCAAAGCGGTTTAACAGTACAATAGAAGAGGTATTCCTATGAAGAGAAACCACACGCAGACACACAAACTGCCAGTTACTGGCTGTATTTACGACTTTTGCAATGTAGGCAGGGGATCTTTGAGCCTGAGGATTTAGGGCCACATGGCTAGTGCTGTCGCTATGGACTGTGCAGGCTAGGAATTTACTTTTGCTTCTGACAGAAAATCCACCACCTTGTCTAGGATTTGAACTAAGGTTTCTCAAATCCATCATTCCTAACTGTTCAGCTAGCCGCTCCTTGTAGAGAAGCACTCATGTAAAACATCTCGCTGTTCTACCCTTGACAGAATGAATGTTACAGTAATGTTCATAATATAAGTAAAGACAGGTTTTAAAATATTTCTATTTCTAATTGATACTTTCCGCTGAAGGAGCTGGGAGTGATGCAGCATCATTGATCACCAGTGCAAAGAAGGATGGTCAAGACTATGTCCTGAATGGAGCCAAGGTATTATTCGTTGTGGGTTGTGGGGCCTCATGTTGGGGGGTGGGGGGGGGAATATAAGAATAAACATAAACATAAGCCAGCCTTGCTAGCCACACTCACCATTGACATGGGCTGTGAATCCCATGCTTCCCTATAGCTCAATATAACACTATCATCTCGAAATACAGAAAGGTGCCAACAGCGGTATCAGGTATCAATTGGCCTTTCCATCTCTTTTGTTGTGGGAGAGTGTGTACAATTCGGAGGAGCAGATGAATCACCACAGTGGTGAGATTGATGTGGGAGGTGGGGTGGGGGATGACGAGGGGTTCTGGCCGATGCTCGAGGCTCCGAGAAAAGGCAAGACGAATGTTTAATCAGAATGCTACCGGCACCATTGCTATCAGAATTCTTCGTTGGCTGCTGAAGATGGAAACAGAGCGCTTATGGGAATGCCCCGAGTGTGTGATGTCGATTCTTGAATCAAATCAAAACAAATCTCTTCTGTTGATAGGTCCCATACATTTCATTTATCTTTTTGTTAAGGTTATAAACAGTGATATTGTAACATCTGCAGCACTTAGTAATCTAGTATTTGTGTATCTCTATATTGTTTTTTCTGTCCCTGACACTCTGTACTACATACCTGAAGACATCTGCACTGCCTTTATTTTCTTTACCATTTCCTTACTCGTCAAGAACCCTCATCCACACAGAATCGCAGGTTAATTTGTCTAGCCATAGGATGTCATGGCATAACAGTCTTATACCGTTGAACGGGCTGTCTGGGATTTGTTCCTGTTGGATTAGCATCCCAAAAGTGACTCTTTGAATCGCAGTGGTCCAATGTACTTTTTTTTTTAAAAACCAGCAGTGTCAAGGTTGGCTAGCTGGCAGTTGAAACAGTTTCACTTGAAGAAACAATAAGAAGAGAAATCAGTCTCATACTCAGGGAAAACGACAACTAAACAATAATGACCTAAAGGTCAGAAAAAGCAATTAATTTGTGTGGCAGTGCAAATAAACAAACCTGATGCTGAAAGGCAGAACAAAATTAGAGAAAAAGAAGAAGAAAAAGAAGGTATCACACCCTTAGGCCATGGTCTCGGAGCAGAAACAAAGGTGGCAAAATCCAGCATTTACATCCACATAGAAGAACAGGCCACAATTACAAGTAAGCAGATTTGTATATATGTCTTGTCTGTTTTAATGACACTGCTCATGCTTGTTCAGTCTAGTTCTGTTGGACTGTGTGGGATCATTTCCTGATAGAAACAACTAGCACGGCTGTGGGGAATCAAACCCATCCTCATGAACATGAGTATCACAGCTGTGGGGAATCAAACCCATCCTCATGAACATGAGTATCACAGCTGTGGGGAATCAAACCCATCCTCATGAACATGAGTATCACAGCTGTGGGGAATCAAACCCATCCTCATGAACATGAGTATCACAGCTGTGGGAAATCAAACCCATCCTCATGAACATGAGTATCACAGCTGTGGGGAATCAAACCCATCCTCATGAACATGAGTATCACACAATTGTCAGCTGTGAATTTTCAGAAGGGAAAAGGTGATGAGGAGAGGAACTCACTAAGCTGTCTCATACGTCACTTCACAGGCCAGTAGCAGTAATTTCTATAGGACACCTGTCATCTGGTTTTTTTTTTTTTTACTATCTTCTTCTTCTTCTTCTTTCGTTCGCATGAAATAAATTGTCTATATCTGCAAAGCCGTCTCTTGTATGAATTTCACTGTCTTTTGTAATTCACTAAGCGGCCCGTAAAGTTTGACTTCCACAAGTGTCTCTTTTGGCCAAATGTTTTGCCTGAAAGCGTTGAATATGGGACAGTCTTGAAGGATGTGATCTGTTGTTTCAGGTGCCAGTCCACAAGTACACATGGCCGATTGGCCAATCTTAAATTTGTTGTACATGTGGGAGCGAAGTCTATTGTGCCCTGTTCTAAGGCGAAGGATAATAACTTGCTCTGGTCTGTCCATAATATGGTAATCATCTTGTGCCAGTTTCGGTGGCATTCTGATTGATTTGATCATTCTCTTCTTCTGTTGATAAGAGACTGGTATGTCAGGTTGTTCTTCAGTTGCACCTTCCTTAGCTAGTTTATCAGCTTTTTTTTTTTACTATCTCTAACAGGCATTTATCAGTGGGGCTGGAAAATCTGATGTCTATGTTGTGATGTGTCGCACAGGAGACCAAGGAGCCAAAGGTGTGTCTTGTATTCTTGTCGAGAAGGGAAGCCCTGGTTTGTCTTTTGGCAAGAAAGAAAAGAAGGTATATTTTAAAATAATTCATTGTCATTCTGTTTTTTCTTCATCTTCCTGCTTTACCATATGAGTTTGTTCTTCTTCTTTTTTCTTTCACTGGCCATAAACTCTGGTGGAAATTTATGGTTGTTTGCCCACTTCTGAACTTTTGGTCTTGTGCTGGAACTTGAATTTTGCTGGCACATCTATTTAACAGATCTGGTTTATTTGTGTAAATTTCTTGCCACTTCTTCTTTTCTTCTTCTTCTTCTGCGTTCGACATCAGTCATGCTAAACATTGAGTCCCGTCTGGATCACAAATAGGATTGTTTAAGGTCACCACCGGTCCCCCATAGCTTCTCTTTCAATGTGGCTCCCTTGGGCCAGATCCACAGTCTTTGCTGGGAGAGGTTAAGGGCAGTACATCTTGCCACTCAGGCAGATATACTCTGACTTTGAAGAAAGTGTGAATTACAATGACCCATTTTGGAGGTGAAAAGAATAGACCAACTGTCCCAATAAAAAGTATGTAGTAAACGCCGACTGATAATAAATTGTGGGATTTATTTCAGAGTTGGAATTTATCTGCCTGAGAGGCAAGAAACCAGCAGTCTGCTTTCAAGTAATCTGCATCTGTAAAATGGAGGTTCATGCAAAGTGCACATTCTGGAACAAGTCTATTCAAGTAATCTGCATCTGTAAAATAGAGGTTCATGCAAAGTGCACATTCTGGAACAAGTCTATTCAAGTAATCTGCATCTGTAAAATAGAGGTTCATGCAAAGTGCACATTCTGGAACAAGTCTAGTAATCTGCATCTGTAAAATAGAGGTTCATGCAAAGTGCACATTCTGGAACAAGTCTATTCAAGTAATCTGCATCTGTAAAATGGAGGTTCATGCAAAGCGCACATTCTGGAACAAGTCTATTCAAGTAATCTGCATCTGTAAAATGGAGGTTCATGCAAAGTGCACATTCTGGAACAAGTCTGTAGTTCATAACCAGACGAACAACCACAACTTTTGGCCAGAATTTACAGTTGGTCAGCGCTAAAAAAGAAGATGTTACTGCTCATTCTTCTTCTTCGTGTTGGTCGGCTGTAAACTCCGGTGGAAAATTCTTCTTGTTTGTCCACTTCTTGACTCTAGTTCTGTTCCAAAAACTGAGTGTTGCGTGTACATCAGTTTTAATGGTCTGAGTTATTTGCATGCAGACTGTTGGTTCCGTGCCTCTCAGGCAGATATACTCTGACTTCGAAGTCGGATCTTTCCTTCTTCTTTCTCTCCCTATTACAATATCTGGTTTGAGAATGGAGGTGGAGGCAGTCGCTGGCTTCTTGCTGGCTTGAGAACCAGTTGTACAAACATGTCATTATTGTAACCGACTCACAGAGCATGTTTAGAAATGTGGAATTGGGCATGCTCCATGCAGTATGGAAAGCATTGCTTCAGAGGTCCTTGGTAGTTCTCATTATTTGGATATTTTCTCTCTGGGATGAGGGTGTTAATGGGTAAAGCAAGATTCCCCCTTTGTTATAAGAGCAAGTCAAAAGGGGTAAAGCAAGACAAGATCACTGTGCAGGAGACTAAGAATAGTGTGTTGTTGTCCATCAAGATGATGATGACCACTCTTTTTCATCAAGTATGGGTACGAAGATGACTGATGAGGTCGATGCGGGCCTGAAAAGTTCTTGGACAGTGAGGACAGGGAATGAGCGTTGTGCCAGGGAGGGGATCTCTTGCAGTTGCCTTTCTGCCATCCTTTTCTTAATCAGTCTTGCTGTTCTGTTTGCTTCACATGTAGCCGTGCCCTTGTGTAGAGCTGCACGCTATGCATTTCGGTCTTGAGAGGCAGCCTCCCAATTGGTGTCATTCATCCCAAATGCTTTGAATAAAGACGTCAATGTGTCCTTAAAGCGTTTCTTTTGCCTGCCTTGGGAACGTTACCCATTTTGCAGCTCACCATAGAAGAATTTTTTGGGAGCCTGTGATCTGGCATGCGTGCCACGTGACCAGCCTCTACGCATCAGTAGAGTTTGTATGCTGTGGATACTGCTAAGAATAGTATACCAAGATTTAAATGGTGTCATAAATTGTCACACAAACAGATGGTTATATGTGAGGAGAGGATCTGAGCACTTATGGAACAATGGTTATTTTTTAAAAATCAGTCCTGTTAATGTTGATTTAAACCTAGGACCTTAGTGCCAGATTTGCACCTAGCAACTGCACTAGAGTGAGTAATAATGTACCTGAACTGTTAAGACATTATCTTTCTATATTCTAGAGTTGCTTTTGATGCATAAGGCATTCACGAGTAATCTTTATTGCTGCTTTTCTGCCTATGCAAATTTACAATCCTTCATTTCCCTTTCTACTATCCTTCTGTAGGTTTCTTTAGGTCACTCACATCTCCTTTTTTTTCTTCCATCGGCTGTCCTCACCAAAGCAACATGTGGCATTCTGCAAACATGTCCAAGCCATTTCCATCTTCTTCCTTTGATAATTTTTGCCAGTGATGAAGTTTTTTTTCCTCAGCTTTTTATTTGTGAACTTATCTGACCAAAATATTCACAGTATTCTACAAAGACATTTATTGTGAAAAGTCTCTGGTCTGGGACATGATAATGGTTGTCATTACGCAGGTTGGCTGGAACTCTCATCCAGCAAGTATCGTGTCTTTTGATGACTGCCGAGTCCCTCAGAGAAACCTGGTCGGCGTTGAAGGTCAAGGGTTCAGCATTGCCATGAGAGGATTAAATGGAGGCAGGATTAATGTGGGTAAGTTATTATAAGCATCTGAGATTTTGACGAGTTGCAACCCAAGTTGGTCTCTGATAAGCATGTTTGGAAGGCAAAGGGTCAAAACCTTTGATGAAAAACGAGCGACTTCTTCTGATGACCAAAAGCCTTCTGTTATGCTTGCTACTCAAGGAGTTCCTATTGCATTTATTACATGTCTTATAACTGTTGACTTGATGGTATTTTTGTTTTCAGTACACTGTAGTATCACTATAACTAGTGATCACCAAACAGGCACTGAAATGTGAAATAGAAGGACTGAGGATACAAGGACACCCAGGAGAAAACCTAAGGCAGACGTTAAGGAGAGAGACCAGGGGTGCTGGACTGGTTTCCATATGTTAATGAGAGAGGTCAGGGGTGCTGGACTGGTTTCCATATGTTAATGAGAGAGGTCAGGGGTGCTTGACTGGTTTCCATAAGTTAATGAGAGGTCAGGGGTGCTGGACTGGTTTCCATACGTTGATGAGAGAGACCAGAGGTGATGGACTGGTTTCCATACGTTAATGAGAGAGACCAGAGGTGATGGACTGGTTTCCATACGGTAATGAGAGAGGTCAGGGGTGCTGGACTGGTTTCCAAACGTTAATGAGAGAGGTCAGGGGTGCTGGACTGGTTTCCATACGTTAATGAGAGAGGTCAGGGGTGCTGGACTGGTTTCCATATGTTAATGAGAGAGGTCAGAGGTGCTGGACTGGTTTCCATACGTTAATGAGAGAGGTCAGGGGTGCTGGACTGGTTTCCATACGTTAATGAGAGAGGTCAGGGGTGCTGGACTGGTTTCCATACGTTGATGAGAGAGACCAGAGGTGATGGACTGGTTTCCATACGTTGATGAGAGAGACCAGAGGTGATGGACTGGTTTCCATACGTTGATGAGAGAGACCAGAGGTGCTGGACTGGTTTCCATACGTTAATGAGAGAGGTCAGGGGTGATGGACTGGTTTCCATACGTTAATGAGAGAGACCAGAGGTGATGGACTGGTTTCCATATGTTGATGAGAGAGGTCAGGGGTGCTGGACTGGTTTCCATACGTTAATGAGAGAGACCAGGGGTGCTGGACTGGTTTCCATACTTTCATGAGAGAGGTCAGGGGTGCTGGACTGGTTTCCATACGTTAATGAGAGAGGCCAGAGGTGATGGACTGGTTTCCATACATTAATGAGAGAGACCAGAGGTGCTGGATTGGTTTCCATACGTTAATGAGAGACCAGAGGTGATAGACTGGTTTCTGTACATTAATGAGAGAGGCCAGAGGTGCTGGACTGGTTTCCATACGTTCATGAGAGAGACCAGGGGTGATGGACTAGTTTCCATATGTTAATGAGAGAGGCCAGAGTTGATGGACTGGTTTCCATACGTTAATGAGAGAGACCAGAGGTGATGGACTGGTTTCTATACATTGATGAGAGAGACCAGAGGTGATGGACTGGTTTCCATACGTTGATGAGAGAGACCAGGGGTGCTGGACTGGTTTCCATACGTTGATGAGAGAGGCCAGAGGCTCAGGCAAAAGGTTAACAGTAATACTAATGGGAGCTTTCATTCTCTGTTTAACATATTTTCATATTGTGTGTAGAAGTTGAAGGTCGAATACGCTGGCTTATGGTTGTTATTTCAGCATCGTGCTGGACTGGTTTCCATACGTTCATGAGAGAGACCAGGGGTGATGGACTAGTTTCCATATGTTAATGAGAGAGGCCAGAGTTGATGGACTGGTTTCCATACGTTAATGAGAGAGACCAGAGGTGATGGACTGGTTTCCATACATTGATGAGAGAGACCAGAGGTGATGGACTGGTTTCCATACGTTGATGAGAGAGACCAGGGGTGCTGGACTGGTTTCCATACGTTGATGAGAGAGGCCAGAGGCTCAGGCAAAAGGTTAACAGTAATACTAATGGGAGCTTTCATTCTCTGTTTAACATATTTTCATATTGTGTGTAGAAGTTGAAGGTCGAATACGCTGGCTTATGGTTGTTATTTCAGCATCGTGTTCACTAGGCGCAGCGCTGGCAGCAATACAGCATGCTAGAGGTCACATGAAAGTCAGGAAGCAGTTTGGGAAAACTCTGGACAGCTTTCAGGTTAGAATGTTTGCCACATTGAGACTTCTGTTGACTTTATTTCGAAAACAGTTAAATTCTCTGATAATGTCCACTTCTTATGTGAGTTTCAGGACCCTAACTTGGGGCGAGGATTTAGACCCACTGCTCCTTACAAGCATGTCACAAAATGCTATTAAAGGCGTTTTGGGCCAAAAGGTGCATATATGACAGCTTAGCTGTAAACCACAACTTAGTATATCAGTCACATTTTTAAGGGCAAACACAGAAGAAGTTGTGCTCATGTGAATTCTAAATTATCATCATCTAGATGTTATCTATCTGTGGACTATCTCTCAGTCTTTAAGAAAGAGAATAGGGGCTTTTGAGCTGAAATGCTATAGAAAGATTCTCAGAATATCTTGCACAAAGAAGAGGAGAAATACTGACATCTTAAAAGATCTGACCATCAAGGAATATTGGCTAATAAACAGCAACCTGTCTCAGAAGCTGAAATATTTTGGTCATATCAAGCGCCACGACGGATTGGAAAAAATTATAGCAGAAGGCATGGTACCAGGAAGGAGGGGCAGGGGCCGACCAACACGAAGATTCCTTGAGTATGAAAGTACATGAGACGGAAAAACTGGCGAGAGACCGAGTTTCTTTCAGACAGACAATGATAAGAGCGACGTTTTGCAAAGGATCTACTACATGATGATGATGGTGAGATGTTATCCTCCAACTTGTATCGCTGTTCTCCTCTTGCTGACTTGCTCTTCAAGTTCAAGCCACCCCCTTCAGCACTACTTTAATCAGTGCTAAATATAGGCAAAGAGACAAGCACTGTTCTTTGGCCACATAATGAGAAAAGAGACATTGGAGAACATCGGACAACTGGAAAGAACAGGGGTAAAGGCAGACCAAGAGAGATAATGCTGGATGGGCTGAAACAATGACATGGAGGGATATCATCAAGAGAGCTGTTCCAGGCAACCAGAGATCGTGATCTGTGGAGATGCTTGAGTGCCTACGTCAGTTAGCAGGGCACATAATGATATTGATAAGTGACAGCTCTATCTTTTAATGTGGCTGAATAGTTTCTTCTTCTGTTAGTGGAGCATAGGCCCTTAGCCAACTTACGTCAGATCATCATATTCTTTGCTATTGCATTCAGGCAATCTCATGTCTTCCCTGTGTTTTTGACTTCTCTCTAGCTCCCTTCTCCATGTTTTTTTTTTCATCTTCCTTTTTTCTATGCCCCCTATGTGTTTCACAAAGTCATTCTAGCTTTTTTTGCTCTCAGGCTGTCTTAATGCATGTCCTATCCAAAGCCAGCATCTTGTCTTCACCTCTTTGATTCACTGGAACTTGTTTAATTCTCTCTTAAAGCTCAACATGAGTGATTCTGTCATACCATTTCATTCCCTCTGCTCAGCACAAGCACCAGTTAATGTTTACAGTTTATTAGTAATTATTTTAGTTTGTTTTTTTTTCATGTTTCCACTCCATACGGCAGTACTGATTTTGTCATAAGAATTAAAAAAGTTTAGTCTAATATCAGGGTTTTTTTTTTTTTTTTGACCTCCACAAATTCCCTGGTGCTATGAAACTCCTTTTGCCTTTTGTGTTCATATTTTAATATCTTCGTTAATTTCCCCATCTTTATCTACATTACTGCCCAAAGAGTTTAATGCCTTCGCATCTTGGAGTGGGATATCTTCTTCTTCTTCTTCTGCGTTCATCCGAAGATGTAATTGTGTTGTGTCCGTTTACAGCATGGCTGCGATATTTGCACCTTTCAGCCAACAGGTTAGTTTCTGGGGACATGGCAGTCTCATTGTTGTGTGGGAGTGGGATATAATTAAGAGAAAGCACATTTGTATTTACCTGGTTTACTCTCATTATCTTTGTCATTTCCGTATAGATTTTTAGACCTAGTAGTTGAGTGGCCTTGCATTAAGTATATTTACCTGCTCTTCTGCTAATCCATTGTCAAAGCTTATGTGATCTGCCTCTGACACCATTTCTTTTGTATTTATAGCATGCACTGTGCTTGTTACTCACTACATCCAAGCATGCATTTTTTTTTCAATCTAAGCTCTTCTAGTGGTGTTACAGGGATATATTATAACTGATGGTAAGACATGATAATTTCTAGGCATTAAATCAAAAATACTCTGAAAATGTCCATGTGTGGATGAAGTGATCAATGATTTGCTTAATTTGTACATTTTATTTTCATTTATAATTCTTAGACTAGCCCAAAGATTGCCGTGATTGTAGAACTTGATTTTCTCGATAACTTCCAGAGTATTCTGGTGGTAAGAAGTGGTTAAAAGCATAAAATGTGACTAGAAAGCTCAACGGATTGAATGGAAAAGACCCGCACAAATACAACCGAACCCTTCAACCAGAATCTTCATCAGTGGAGAACTAAATACAATACAAACTGTACAAGAAGTGTAAAATAACATAGATAAATAACATAAAGTACAGACAGAAAGCTCAATGTTGGGAATGGATTAGACGCACACAAATAAAGTTCGTTACTTTGTTGATGAAGACTTTGGTCAAAAGTGTTTGGTTGTATTTGTGCAGGTGTTTTCCATTCTCTCTGTTGAACTTTCTAGTTGCATTTTATGTTATTGAACACCTCTTGTCACTGGCTTGGCTGCAGTCGTTCTTATTTATGCTGGTGGTAGCCTAGTTACCAGCATGGCCTTCCTAACCATAAAGATCAAAGGGTAGAGAACAAAGAGAGGCACCCTGGTCCTCCAGCTTGGGGGTTGATGTATGCAGTGACACCCCCACCTTTGTAAAATTTCATTTCATCATGAAACAGATATCTAAACCTTGAAATCGAATGGGAAGGCCGGGAAATGGAGCCACCTGCTACAAAACCTCAAGAGCTTGGAGTCACTTAGTGACAAAAACACTAAGAAAAGGCTTTGTTTATTGAACGTTCTAGAGATTAGAATGGAGTAAGCAGGTTGGATCTTTTTGCCCAGACTATGATCTCTTGGCTGGATCTGCACCACGGTGAATTGATACATGACAAGGCAGATCAAGGCCCTCAGGAACGCTTCATTAGAGAAAAAGATAATTCTTAGAACCCGAAAACGCTAGAACTAGAAAGGCTTTGTTTATTGAACTGTTCTTTATATGGCCATATTTGCCATTACTATCTTTGTATTGAAAAATCTTAAACAAAAGTGTTTGTTTCTTGATTATCCACAGTATCTGCAGTTCCGGCTAGCAGAAATGGCTACCCAGTTGGTAGCATCCCGCCTAATGGTTCGCAATGCAGCCACATCTCTGGACAATAAAGACCCTAATGCAGTGGCTTTGTGTTCTATGGCCAAGCTGTTTGCCACTGAAGAATGTTTCAAGGTAATGAAATATTCTCGTTGTGCAGTTGGGACAACCAGTACTTTAACATTTTATTGATATTGTGCTAGTATTTACTGAATCACTTTCAAGGTCTAAAGTTAAGGATCCTTTAGATATTTTCTCCAGGTTCTGTCGGTGTGTTGGGAAATGAGAAGGCAGATAGACTGGCTGGCTCTGCACCACATGGTGGTGAATTGATGTATACAAGTTATATATTGTGAGGGCCCTTTGGGAACAGGTGAATAGTGCGGAGGCGCATATAGATAATTACGGTCTAAGGAAAATGGCGCTGCGAGGAGTTACGATCAACACTCAGGGGAAGGATGAGACGGATATACAATCAGAGAAGTCACTGGTACCATTAGAATTGGAACTCTTTGCTTGCTGCTGAAGATGGGAGCTGGGCATTCCAGAGTGCTGTGATGTTGATTCTTAATTCAACATTCAGGTAAGGATCAGCTGTTATGCACTGGGTTTTATCTGATATGGTTCTCAGACTCTTCCCATATAGAGCTGCCGACCAGGAGAGTCACATAAAGCGAAAACTTCCATAGATCTAGCAGTCACCAAAAGATACTTAAAAATGTTACTCATTACCAGAACTTCAATTCTTGTGTGATTCCAGTACTAACCTATGGATGCGAGAGCTGGAAATCAACGAAAACTCTAGACACAAAATTAGACAGTTTTGAAAATAAATGCCTTAGAAGAATACTAAATTTCAAATGGTCAGATTTCCGAACCAATACACAAAATAAGGCAAGAATCCAGGCAAGAGTATGTGTCTAATTTTTATACGAAAAACGCCGCTGGAACTATGTCGGCCACGCCCTTAGAATGGATAAATCAAGACTTCTTACCAAGCCCTCATTTGGACACCACAGGGGAAAAGATCTCATGGAAGACTGGGAAACCCTACGAAGAACTATCATCAGGAAAGGCTCATCATGGGCCACTCAAACATCCAAGACCTACAACAGTCAACGAACCGTTGCATGGAGAGTCATGACCTCTGCCCTATGCCGCACTCGACACAAGAGGAAAGACTAACTAACTAACTAACCAGAACTCTTTTTCTTCCCATAGTCCATGCCTTGTGGCATTTGTAGTCATGTCTGTCCACAGCCTTCTTTCACATGTACTTTCTGTCAGTTCTGACACAGATGATCTTCCATGCCGTATGTCGTTGGTGGTCATGTCTATCCACAACCTTGATGATCTTCCATGCCGTATGTCGTTGGTGGTCATGTCTATCCACAACCTTGATGATCTTCCATGCCGTATGTCGTTGGTGGTCATGTCTATCCACAACCTTGATGATCTTCCATGTCATGTTGCCAAACTGTCGTTTCTTCTGTCTCAGTCTCCATCTGCCTCTTTTTCCCTTCAGCTTTCCCACTGTCCCGAGGTACTCGTTTTCTCCTTCTCATGACATGACACAAAATCTAGATGATCTCCTTCTGATGTGGGCTGTCAGTTGTCTTGATGAGTCAGTTTCTTTCAAGACATCTCCTTTAGTCTTTTTATCTGTTCAGGGTATTTTCATCATTTGTTTGTAAAAACATCTCCGCCACTTCCAAATAATGTTTCACTGTATTGTCCAACTGTTCATGATTCACTTCCTTGTGTCAGAATAGGATTTGTATACTGGAACTCACACAAGACAATCGATTTGCCAACGTTGGCAGGGAAAGTAGAACTAGTCACAGTCACAGAATGAATGTATTGGTTAGTAATCCTTCATCAGCATACAAAAATAAAAAGGCACTGTTAAGACTTTATAAGACCCAGGTAAAGAGCGTATCATGGATTTTCTGTCCAGGCAATGCAGGTTTTTCGAGGTAACAAGCAAGTTGATAAGATTAGCTGCTGCCATTCCTCTGGGTGGTGAGCTACTAAATAATAAAGCAGATGTGGTGAAGGCTCTGTGGGACCAAATGGACAGTGCAAAATAACATATAGGGAATCCAGACACTGAAAGATTAATTCAACAGGAGGTTGAGTAGAACGAACGAACGAACGAACGAACAAACTTTATTTTCAAAGGGTTAAGAATTGGGCACGCAGGCCCGTCTAACATTCTGCCCTTCCACTCTGCTCCTTTCATACAATGTTTCATTTTTACCTCATTTCATAGTTAATAGTAATAATAATAATTGATAATAATAATAATTAATAAAAAGAGGAATGCACAATTAAAAATTTGAGAAATATAGAAAAGAAACAAAAGAACAAAAAAGAGAAGAAGAAAAAAAAAAACAATATCTAAGTCTTAATTACAAATGCTGGAATGTGCTCTAATTTATACTGACATTACTTGAACGTTTGAAAGAGTATAATAATAAGCCTATTCAAAAAATGTAAGTCTTACAGGTTGCATAATATAAACATCATCAAAACCAATTAAATATTAGTTACAAATATTGGAATGCATTCGACTGACATCTTCAGTTTTAACAATAATAAGCTTCAGTTTTCAACCTTCACATCTTCAGTTTTAACAATAATAAGCTTCAGTTTTCAAACACCACCAAGTTTCATTGTTACCAGCTTTCGGATAAGAATAGTGTGGTCTATCATGTCAAAGGCCTTTTTGAAGTCTATAAACACTGCACCACATATCTTATCTTCGTTAATATTCTGATGCCAGTTTTCTATCATATTTGTTAAGGCAGTATGACAAGAATATTTTGGTCGAAACCCTGACTGGTTGTCAACAATAAGTTCATTTTGATCTAAATGTTGGAGTATTGTTTTGTGAATGTGCTTTTCTAGTGGTTTTGATAGGGGATGATAGTAGAGAGATAGGTCTATAGCTACTGGGAATACTACTGTCTAATGATCTAGATTTTATATGAGGATAGACTTTGGCAATTTTAAAGGCTGGAGGAAAGTAACCCTTGGCGATGCACTGGTTGTAAATGTAGGTTAATGACGTGCCGATAACTGATGCAGTACAACGAAGGATCCTATTGCTCACACCATCTAGACCTGATGCATTACTGTTTTTGAGATTAGCGAGATATTTAGAAACGTCATTGACTGACATCAAAGGCATGTCAGTGGGAAAATCTCTGGAGCATTTATTCTCACAAAATGTTGACAGCATGAATAAATCACATGGATAGCTCGGTATTGTAGCCTTTATCTGCTCTATGTCATCCTGAAAGTAATTGCTGAAATCATCAGATGCTATATTAGATGTTACCACACGTGTTAAAGTGTTTTTGTTTGTCAGTGTGTTAATTGCCTTCCATATATCCTTACTGTTTCTTTTATCTGATACTAGGTTTCTGAAATAGTTCTTTTTTTTCCTTTCGAATAACATACTGTACTTTGTTACGCAAACTCCGATATGTGACAGAGTTCTTATCTTTGTGTGCCCTATCTCGTTCTCTCATAATGTCGACTACTTCCTGTGTGATCCATGGTGATTTAGTCTGATGTTTCACACGGACCTCCTTAACTGGCACATGTTTATCAAAAACCCCAAGGAAAGTCTTTAGCCAATATTCCAGAGCATCATCCGGATCAGGAAGTTGATAAACATGGTCAAGAGGTGAACTTAGCAAATCTAGTAAAAATGCCTTTTGACTGAAATTTTTGTAGCTTCTAAATTTTATGCTTAAATGTTTGTGTTTTGGAATTTTAGTACCCTTTTTCGACCACGTACAGCAGACAGGAAAATGATCGGACGTTGCAGTAGTGGGAACCTTGCATTCCACTATATTTTCAGGACGTGTTGTATAAATGTGATCTATAAGTGTTGAAGATGATTTAGTTACTCTAGTAGGTTGTTTAACTAGTTGTTGGAGATTGTATGAAGTAACTATATTCTCCCATGTGTTGTTAGACTTTTGAGTATCGATATTGAAGTCCCCAAGAAGTATGATTTCTCTGCCTATAGTAATCACTGCATCCATCATGGCAGTGAAGTTTTCACATTGAAGGGGAAACAGAGGCATACTTTTAATTAGGTTGCATCTGGTACTGTTAGCATGTCAACTCTTCCTGAAGGAGGGGACGGAACACGTGTGGGAATATCCGGAGTTCAGTGATGTCAATTCTTGATTCATTCATTTATTCTGAAGTCGAGTTTTGCGTGTACATCCGTTTTTACAGATCTGGCTTATTTGTGGGCAAACTCTTGGATTCTTACCTGTCAAGCAAATGCACTATGACTTTGAAAGAAATATCCCTAGTCGCCTCCTATGACATGATTTGGGGGGGTGGGCCTTTTCTCTGTTCTCCAAAATGAAGCCCTATGACCCACACGGGAAATCATTTTGAAGTATTTTTGTGTATGTGTCTGTTTTTGTGTGTGGAAATAATCTTCCATCAGCTTTGTCAGTGAACTTATATCCTATGATATCCTTCAACAGATCTGTAATGATGCCATGCAGATATTTGGTGGCTATGGTTACCTGAAAGATTACCCTGTTCAACAATACATGAGAGACACAAGAGTCCATTGCATCTTAGAAGGTAGTCTTCACCTATATTTGAATTTGTGCTTGAGATACAGTGGAACCTCGGTTCTCAGACGACTCCCTTCTCTGATAATTTGGTTTCCAAACAACTTTTGGGAACAGTTCAAGAACCGGGTTCCACTGTGTTTGTATACAATTTGATTTCCTTGGAAAATTTCTCAATATTTTATTAGATGAATGATATAGAAATAAAAATAAATATACCAGGCAGCAAAATTGTTTAATCTGTTATTTGGTTTAGATTAACAGCCGGAAAGTTTTGCATTAATAAGTTTGTGTGTACAGTGGGTATACATACTTTAACAATGCCATCTATGGAATTGCCCTAAATTAGGTTGAAAATTTGTTTTTTTACAGTTAGATAAGACTTTGTTCTTGGCACAAGACTGCAGGCTCACCAGACTGGTGTAGCCGCGATGGGTGACCCATTCCAAACTTTTTTGAAGGTTGAACAGGATGCCTGGGATTTGTTCTGCTGGTCGTCATCAGGATGGAATTCTCGGAGTCGTAGGTGTCCTGACTTCAGGAAAGGGCTGGTTGGGTGAAAGATATTAGACAGAAGGAAATGTATCATGCTTTTTTCTTCTTCTCCTCCTCTATTTCTGTTCTGTCATTCAGCGTCAGGTTTTGAACAAGCATGGTGCAGGCATTAGGATTTGCTTCCATTGTGTCTGAGTGACAGGGCTGTCTCTGTGGTGCACTGTCCGGTAGTAGTTTTGACACATGTCCAAACCATTTATCTGTTGTCTCCTGGTGTGGTTTAGTGCTGGTTCTGTCCCAGCTTCTTTCCTGATATCATCATTTCTGATCCTGTCTCTCCTAGTTACATTTAGGATTCATCGTAGACATTTAATTTCTGTTGTTTCAACCTTTTTTTTGAATAGAGCTCTTTTTGTGTCCATTGTCACTTGTGTGTTCTGCAAAATTGGGGACCCTTGTTCAGTCTTCTTCCATTTCTTCGTGTCCACCAGCTGTAAACTCTAGCTGAAATTTCTGATTGTTCATCCACTTCTGGACTGCAGTCCTGTTCCAGAACCTTAGTGTTGCATCTGCATCCGTTTTACAGATCTGACTCATTTGAATGCAGACTGCTAGTTCCTTGCCTCTCAGGCAGATGCACTCCATCTTCGAAGGAAGTTTCCAATTAGTTGACTCTTAGGACGTGCTTTTGGGTTGGCAGTGGGTCTATTTTTGTTTTCCCTATAATAAGGTCCTGAAACCCACACAGGGAATCTGTTCAGTGTTTTGATTTGCTTTATTACATCTGTTTTCTATCTCTGCTTTGATTTATTCGTTGGATGATGTTATGTTCCCTGGACACTTATATCATGCCTGCTTGTACAATTCAAGTCAATAGTATTTAGAGTATGTTAAGAAATTAAAGTACTTAAACATATAGGTAACATTAGATGGAAGATGTCGGAGAGAGAAAAAGAATAGAATACAGTAAGCAAAGACTGCATTTTATGAAAGGAAGAACATTTTGTACATTGATAGATTTGTGTGTCTATGTTTCATTGTTTTTCTTGGTTTGTTTCTTCCTCCCCACCCTCGTGTATTTATTAAATTTTTTCATTTGCTTATGAAACATATACTACTTACAAATAATTTCAGCTGAAACTGTTTGTTGTGACTAACACTTTATATTTTTCACTCTATTTGCAGGAACAAATGAAATCATGCGGTTACTTGTAGCACGAGATATTTTAACCGAGAGATGAGTCAAAATCTGCCAACTTATATTTTAAGACTTTTAATCTCTAGTAATTGCCTTATCTCTTTCTACCTGATTAGTTCTACATTAAAGGGACCACATGGGGACCTGAAAAGCGAAAATAACATCATGGTACAGATAGAACTAAAGTAACGTTTCAGTAAAAAATGCACTACGGAAACAGCCATCTGCGAGAAAAGAATGTTATCAGGGTGAGATTATCTCTGGACTAACCAAAAACTCATGAGCTGCCTGGTATAAAAATAATAAAATTCTGCATTTATTTTGTTCTCCTGCTGGTTATTTCAATGTCGACTGTGAGAGAGTAGAGCGAGTGCATAAACTGTGGTTTGGCAGATTGAGTGAATGCAAACAACCACCGCAGTCTGCGGGGTTGACAGTATAACCCTCTTTATTGTAGTGGGTAGGCTTTAAGGAGGGAAGAGAGAGGGCAAATCAAAGCAGATCGATGTTTTGGATATTTTATAGACCAGTGTGTGGGTGATCAAAGCCACCTGCAGCCATGCATTTAACTAGAAAAATTGTGTTCTTCCTGCATGAGTTTCAGTGCTGCCCCCCCCCCCCAACGCAAAAATAAAGGGGCGGTAACTCTGGGGGGGGGGTGTTTGACATGCTGTTTCCTAATAAGCATGTCATAAAAGGCAACTAATTTAAGTTGGAGTCCATCTGCCTCAGAGGCAAGGAACCAACAGTCTGCATACACATAAGCCAGATTTGTAAAATGGCTGTTCACACAAAACTCAAGGTCTAGAACAGAATCAGAGTCCATAAGTTGGTGAATAACCAGCACTTTCCACCAGTTAATGGCCGGGGAATACTAGAAAGCAGACAAATTTGATTCACTCTGGGATTGAATACCAAACAATTGACTCACGAAGTAACCCGCATCAGAAAGAGACCTACATAGTGAGAGGAGAAAACTGTGTAGTGGGTAGAAAGTTTAAGCAGACCGGGAACAGATGAGAGGGAAGTGTGGAAAAGTACAAACAGTCTAAAAACAGGCATAGACTTTAAGAAGCAGCAGCAAGTGGTGGCAGGGGAGGGTTGTCGTCGTTTAGAACAGTAGTCCCAACTGGTGGTCGGTGGAACAGATTTAAGAAATCTAACATTTAGGTCTGCAGTATAGGCAATTTGTAATGCTGGAGTGCCCGGTTCGATCTAAGCTGCGGGTGATTTGGCAGAAGTATGAATGGATTGGTTTCGACAGTGGTACTGAGAGCTGACTATTCAGAAAGCAATGACAAACTACTGAACGTTAAATTTGCCTAGAAAAACAACAGCCAAAAAAAGGGTTGAGGTTGGTTCTGCAACATCCTGTAAATGATACGCAACTAATTTTTTTAAACTAATGTTCAGAAGGGAAACCTCAGATGTCTTTTTGTGTGTGTGCATGCATGCTTTGCGTGTGATTCTAATAGTTACCTTTTTTTCCAAATTATCACTTTAAAAGCTGTAGTGTAGACACTTGCCGCCAGATCCGAAGGCAATCGTTTCAAATCTGCATGGAGCCAGATTTTTTTTCAAGCATGACCTTAGCTCCCCAGTTGACCTACTCTTAAATGGGTACCAGGTAAAAGTCCTCAGAAGCAAAACCAGCTGGCCTGATGCTGGCTACATCACCCATCGAGTGCCGGTTGGTCTGAAAAACATCAATCTAGCACTATATGCCTAATACATCTAAAAAACATGAACAGGGTCCTTTACTTTAAAAGATGGTGGGCCGTGGTAGACCTTTAAAAATATGGACAGCCATGGTCTTGGGTGCAGTGATGTCAATTCTTAATCGTTCATGCCAGAACAGAACACACAAACAAACTGGACTGGATTATAAGTTTATTTATATACCCAAAATAATTTTTAAAAAAAAAAAAAAACCAAACATTTTTCTCCCACATGTGAAATTACCACCAGAGCAGAGGTTCTTAAGTCATATACTATGGATTCTTTCCTTTGCAATTATACAATTTAGGAATGCAATATCATTTTACTAGACATAAATAAATACATTTGAATAAAGAAGATTGCCTCTTTCTTTACAACTGCCTGTTTTACCAGGGCAGCTGCATTGTCTGATTCATGTTTTTTTGCTTACAAGGCTGAGGGCAGAGGTAATGAATCACGGTGGCTGGTAAAAAAAAAAGGTAGTTGCATTTGTTGCTGAATTTGTACTTTAGTTTAAAGGATTAACTTATATGCTTCATTTATGTAATTATTACTGTAGTATGCACCTGATGAGATCCAGCGAAATATGCCAGGCAATAAACTTTGCAATCTATTGTTTGTGTCTTCTTTATTCAAATTTACAACGGGGAAACATTGCTTTGGCATAAATATACAATTTATGTGCAGGAAAAAAAGCCCTAAATTGTATTGTTGCTCACTCTGAGCTAAAGTTTCCCCTTTGAAAAGTAGGCAGGATTACAAATACAACCACTAGATTTTCTGCCATCTGAACATAGAAATAAAGTGGCAAGAAGGCTTATTATGCTTACAGAAGCATGTGACTATAAAGAAGCTGAAAGGGTGCTGTGTAATTACTCCATATTGACCGAATGCCATGGAATGGAATGACACAGTCACATAGTAACTCAAACTTATTATAGAGTACTCAAACATCAAAAATAATTTCACCGTACTGGTCAGAAATTCTGACATGATAAAAGATCAATAAAGGCTGGCTAATAAACAGCATCTTTTCTCAGAAACTGATTTATTTTCATTATTTTCACCATATCAAGCACATACTGGAAAGAATAGTAGCAGAAGGTGTGGTGTCTGAACAGAGGGACAGGGGCCGACCAGCATGAGGATGGGCATGGCATATATGTGACACCTTGTGCAGGAAGCAGGGCAACTGGCGAGAGACCACATTTCTTCAAGGCAGACTGTTCGTGAGAGCAACGATCTGCAAAGGATCTGTTACATGATGATGATGCATCGTCATCAGTGAGACATTTGAGATACATCAGACAATACAAAAACTGTCTACTGAGCTCTCTAATCTCTCATTATGATCATCCTTCATGTGCCATTAGATGGACGTCACATAGGGCTAGCATTCTATTCCTCCACTCCGCTCTATTGCATGCAACTCTTTCAATTTCAGACATGGAGTTCAGCTTCTTGTTATGTTCTTCTTAATGTTTCCCTTTGACATCTTTTTCACAGACCAATTTTTTTCCCATTTAAGTGCTTGCTTTGTCATACTTTGTTCATTTCCTCTCAGAATGTGCCCAGTATATCTCCACTTTTTTTGTTTTACTGCAGTCAATAGAGGTATTTGCTCAGACTTCTCTGATCTCACTTTTAAAAACATTCATCCCATTTTATGGTCATGATTTTTCTCAGTTATTTTCAAATGCATTTAACTTTCACACCATATCTTTGGTAGTTCTCCAACTTTCGCTGGCAATTGTTAGATCAATACCCTGCATATTTATTTCTGAAGCTTACTGTATAGCCTCAGTGGTCTTTTACATGCGTGATGAGAAAAATGCTACAGAAAAGCATGCTTCTTCAGTCACATTAAATGTTTGTGTTAAACTATCTGAAGCAACAGCCCATGTTTACCGAGACCAATGACCTTTTACAGCCACTCATTGGAAGCCTGCCCATGTAACTGCAGCTGAGAACCCCTGCACTGCTGGGATTTCTGAGATGATCAATCCAATAATACTTGCCCACACACATTCATAGATGAAACAGCATAGCATAAATCTCAAACAATATATCTTTAAAAATTAAATTTAAAAAACTCAACTCCTGTATTCACACTGTGTGCCCCACTAGCAGTTTCCAAGCATAGAAAATGTGCACTAAACATGAATATATTGTTATGTCCTTCCGCACAACACAGTCTCTCCCTGTTGTTGAAAACTATACCTCATATATTAAATGTATATTGCCACATTCATAGAAAGAGTTAAATACTGGTTTACACAACCCTGACAGTTTATGACGTATATAAAAACAAAAATCAAACCACAATTCGGTGAAGAGATGTTTCAAGAGCTTTCTGAGACTCAGAATCCTACATGAAAATAGAAAGTTAAAGGTACGAAGAACAAAGTGGGAGTCAGCTTTCTTTCTGCTGTCCAATAACTGCCTCATGCCACCAGGTATCATAGTTAGAAGATAGGTAGCCGAGCTAGGATGAGCCCGCTTGCTTGGTCTGCTGCGATGTCGCAAAGTCATACGCTGGGACTCCTTTAATCCATCTTACTATAGGTCTCCCACTGCCTTTTGGTGTTTTGATTCTCACACTGTGAGCTCTCGCTGCCGATATCATTGGATTTATTCTCACCAAGTATCCAAACTATTTCAGTCTTATTGTCAGCTTTACAGAACGCAATACAATTTGTTTTACAGTCTGTTTTCTGTTAAAGTATTTTATTGTCCTTTGTTCTGTAAAGCTAGTCGGCTCTGTGGCTAAGTCGATGTGAACGCTTCGTAATGCCGGGGTGCCGGTTTCAATCCCAGCTGCTGGTCCATGTGCCTTGTGTTGGTTTCGACAGTGGTATCAGGGGGCCGACCGTCCAGAAAGCAATGGCAAACTACTGAATGTAAATTTGCCTAGAGAAACCACACAACAGCCAGGGGCTGCTGGGGTTGGTTCTGCAACATCCTGTAAAGGATGCGCAACTAACTAACCTTTTCTGTAAAGCTGACATTTACTTTATTTTTCCCAGTTTAATTTACTGACATTCTCACAGCTTTACTGCATGTCAATGAATTTTGATACATGGAAATAAACATTTCATGATATTTTCATGTTGGATTCTTAAAGAGTCAGATGAAAGGAGTAGAATAACCGATGAACCTATTACAGTGTGTGAATGACTGGTCCACAGAACAATTTTAAGTTATAAATAAAAATGTTTTTTTAAAATCAACCCAAGAACCTGGTTGACTTTTGTAAGTACACTGGTAAATACAAGTATTTCAGTAGTTTATCTTGTCCCTAGCAGATTGATTTGATTTGATTTGATTGAAGAACCGACATCACAGCACTCGGAGCATTCCCATAAGCGCTCCTCCCCATCTTCAGCAGCCAGCGAAGAGTTTCCGATACTCATGGTGCCAGTAGCATTCTGATTAAACGTCCGTCTTGCCTTTTCTCTGAGCCTCGAGCATCTGCCAGAACCTCTCGTCATTCCCCGCTGCATCAATCTCACCAGACTGTGGTGATTCATCTGCTCCTCCGAACTGTACACGCTCTTCCACAAGCCACCAACCACGTCTGCCTTATCATGTATCAGTATTCCACCAGGTTGTGCAGAACCAGCCAGTCTGTCCGCCTCTTCATTTCCCAACACACCGGCATACACCCGGTGAAAAAATCCAGACAATACTCCTCACCCGTGTCCTCATTAGCAGAATCTGCCCTATCCGCATCCACAATTGCTGTTAAACACATGGGAATTCTTAGCTTGGGTTTATCTGGAGAACCATATCAGTGTTTATTTTATGTAATTTAATGTTAATCTAATGTTTTATTTAATGTGTGCTATCTCCACAAAGCAAGCAAATATGAGACCCCAAACAGACATACAAGAAATCACCTCACTTATGAAAACAGCTGGTCCCTGTTGAAATGACACATTTTCATCATCAAGTGCTTGCCAATGGGTTATCATGACTCCAACACCTATGATCTTCAACTGCATGTATCAGTTCGTGTGCTGACACCCCATCCATGCCATGACAACAGGCTGTCAAGAATCCTCTTGCGTTGTTTTACTCTATCTCTCATATGGCCCAAAAAAAAAAGACTATCTTCGTCTGATGTTTATGATAAGTTGTTTTCAGGCCCCCGCCCCTTTCAAAGCTTCAGAGTTACTCATTACAAACTTTAACCAATCAAAAGAAAAAAATAGGGTGGATAGGAAAAGGATTCACTCCCACTAGGAAAAAAAAGAAAAACATCAGCTTAAAAAAAATTTATAAATATTAATTAATAAGTATTGACTACAAGTTTGAGAAAGAAAAAAAAATCACAAACTGTGTTCACAGCTGAAAAGATCATTAATAACCTAGAACATGTTAACAAATGCCCCCACGCTAACACGTACATTTACTGGAATCAATGACAAAGGAAGGAAACCATGATGAAGGCCTAACTTGGGATGATCTTGTCGGGATTCCCTAATGAATTACTTGCGAACCTTGTCTACATTGGCAACATACCAGTCGCAGGTCTCTTTGATTGCTGAAATAGAAACAAAACCATTATATCACCACACCACATATTTATAAGGGAGCCATCATTTATTTAAATACTGACTTACCCTAAGCTGTCTGTCTGACACGCTCAGTCTGGGTGACATCTTGTCTCTAAACCGTGTAATCAAACTTTAGCTAACTATTGAAAATCTTGTACAAATAGAAAGCTTAAATCAGCAACATTTTTGTTCAACCTAACTTCTTTTGTCCTACAGCTTATGCCGTGAAGTGTCGCAGAGAGGAGTTAGATGTAGTTTCCTGACTTTTGCTGGTTGAGTAGCTTGTGATAATGTGTTTTGTGTTTCTGTAGTGTCTCTTTTACTCCATCCACCCATTTCTTTCTGGGTCGGCCTCTTGCCTTGTAGCCTCATGTAGGCTATAACTGGGTTTACTCATGTCATGTTGGAGAAAACAAAACTGGAGGGGTATATGCCTGGCAAGAGAGGAAGAGAAAGACCAAAGAGAAGAATGGTGCAGGGTGTGGCGGATGGGACATTCTGTTTGTGATCGTGAAGTTTTCCTGAAGGGTGTTATGGGAAGCAAGGTTCTGCAAAGGACATGCCACTGACTGACTGACATGTTTTTCAAGTCTATCTGTCTATAGCCTGATGATTTCCAATGTTAGAAAATGTGTTTGTTTCAAATCTTCCAAGCCACGGTTTCTGGTCTCAGTTCTCCCAGTGTAAGTGGAACATATCTCAATCTGTTTCAGGAGTCTAAACAGTCTATTAATTTCTAGTCCATGTAAAATGATTCATAATATTAGATGTGTTTGTCTACTCAGTTTGTTTTAAAGTCTTTTAGTTCCTAGTCCTATAAAGTAAGTGACACTGACACAAAGTGCCACCATACGGATGAGGATCACCTGGGAACAGGTCCCAGAAATCCCCATTCAACACGTAGGGTTATACATAGGGCCCCCAACCACAGCCGGGGTGACGCTTCAAAATAACAAAAACATTGCGTCTCACATTGGGACAGAGTATATACATGCATTTAGTTAATTAGTTAGTTAGCTGACAGATTATCCTCACTGCACACTGGACCATTCAGTCCATAAGTGCTCAGATCCCCTCTTCAGCAAATCTTGCAGCGTGTAGCAGCTGGTGACACCAGTCCTATGCTGGTTTCCTATTCCTCTATAGCTTCTTGCACAGTGCTCTTGTCCGGCCACATCCCTTCTAGCTTGCTGTTGTTTCAGTCTGGTCATTGTTGCAGATTCAGTCATCACTTGGTTCTCCTCCTAGACATCTTACTTCTTGTACAGCATTCAGTATGTCAGCCTTGCCACAGTAGCTTAACCTGCAAGCCTATCAGCTTGCTCATTCCCTTGCACACCTGTGTACCCTGGCGCAAATATGAAACTGATATTTGTCAGCCCCGACTGCTTTAGATATTCTAATTACCGTCTTTGGACCCAGCCCTTCTCTATCTTCTTGAGTACACTAACTGAGTCCCTATATATAAATTTTAACCATAATGCAAGATACGTTTGTTTTCATTGTTTTTTTTTCTAGAATATAAGTTTACAGTCCCTATAACACGATTCCTAATGTAAACAGATGACTGCAGGTTGTCTTGTCCCACCCATTAGACCAGCCATTAAGGTTTTTATCTTTTACCTTCACTTGCTGTCTTTCCATCAATCTAGCCAGTTGTTACCAAGTTCTCAGATCCACTCTTCATAATATGTCCACAAAATAATGACTGGCTGTGTCTAATTTCTCGAACCAATTTACGGTTCTCATCTGACTTTACAAGGTTTATATGTTTTATAATAAATCACTGTAATATGTCAAATTTTCAGATTTCACTGTAATGTGTAAAAAAAATATCAAGATTTCATTTTAATATGTCAAATCAATAAAAAAAATTTCAAAGTAATCTGTCAAATCTATCCAGACTTCACTGTGCCAAATCTATCTAGAATTCACTGTAATCTGTCAAATCTATGCAGACTTCACTGTGTCAAATCTATCTAGAATTCACTGTAATCTATCAAATCTATCCTGAGCGGCAACTATGTTCATTGCGAGTAAAAAAAAAAATGTGCCAGCTTGTCCATCAGAACGAACACTTTCTTCTTCTCCTTTATATTCACAGACTCTACTCTAGTGGAAAGTTCTGGTTGTTCACCCACTTCTGGACTTTTAAGTCTTCTTTCCATAATCTGAGTTTTGCATGCACAACAAGCGTACAGATCCGGCTTATTTATATGCAGAATGTTGGTTCCTCACCTCTCAGACAGAAAGAAGCTCTATGACTGACTTTGAAAGACAACTCCTGATTTACTTTCACTATATGCTGTTTAGGGGTTAGTGAATCGATTTTTTCCCTCCCCCCTCTCCAGCCCACAATGGGGCTCCAGAACCCACACAGGGAAATAAAACACTTAAACTCATAATTAACAATCATAATTAAGTTCTGAGTGTTGTTTTTCCCTCTTTACAAAACCAAACAGACGACTGTTTCTCTACCCACCCTACATTGGTGTGGGAGCCGCTGTGGTGGAGCAGCTAGACTCTCGCTGAAGGTTGTGGATTCAGGTCTTGATGGAGCCTGACTTTCTTCAAAAATGACCTTGGCTCCCAGGTCAACCCAGCCTTAAATGTGTTATCAGGTCTAAAGCCCTTACTAATTCCTTATGTCCTTTTAAGGACGTAATTTTTTGTTATTTGAAGCCCCACTCTGGCTTTTGCCAGGGGCCGCAATATAGGCAGGCCATCAATATGGCCAATTGTCTGAACACGGTTTCTGGGACCTCTCCACGGTGATCCTCATCCGCATGGTGGCACTTTGTGTCATCGGGTGTTTATCGCTTGTGTGATGTCCTGGTGGGGTAGAAAGTCAGTCAGTCAGTCTAAAGCCCTGAGAAGTAAAGGCGGCTGTGTGACGTTGCCCACATTTCCCACCGAGTGCCGATTGGTCTATAAAATAAAGGTCTAGCCCTATGTGCCCATAGGTGTGGAAAAGGGTTGTTTAATTTTACTTACCTTGGTGTATTGGGGTGAATTTGAAATCTGGCAAATACTTTCTCAGTTTAGCATTACTTGCTGTCTTCTTGAACTGCCCATCTGATTTGGTTGTGTCGAGCTGTGCACAACTGGTCAAGGTACCAACATGAAGTCTCAACACAACTATCTTTATCTTTGGTTTCCTGTGAGAGTACTGTTCATCCCTTTCTTCTTCTTCTTCTTCAGATGGAATGTAAAAGCACATTCACTCTGTCAAAACACAGATTTATTTCAAAGCAGGTACCCAAGGGAGAAAAGTGCAATCTGGAGCAGCCAGACAAAAACATTTCACTGCAAAAAAACGTCTGATTTATCAACTTGGACCAGGCATGATCAATTTCGTTTTTCTTAGCTTGTGGAGCTGCTGAAGAGGAGATCAGAGTATCTATGGAGCTATCCATAGGGCTATGATGATAGTCATTACTAAACATCCAAGGGAGACGGTAACCAAAATGAAAAAAAAGCATGAGTGTATTCATTTTCAAGAAGGCAACATACAGGCTGCATGTTTAGATATTAGCCAGAGATATCTTTCATCTTCATCACGTGTCCTGCCCATAAGGCTAGATAGTATGTTTCTATCTCACACGATCACCAGAATCATGGATCAGGCCAGTGCTCTTCCTTGCCCCCATCCATACACTGAAGCTATTATGGTTTAAAAAAATGTTGCATACCTTCAGGAATATAAGGCTCATGGTGCTAGACTTACTATACTCAAAATATTTATTTCTAATGTCTAATTTATTTCTGCTGTATGGAGTGGAAATATGGAAAACAACTAAGACAATTACCCCAAAAAAAAAAAAACTACAAATATTCATTAACTGGTGCCTGCGGAGAATAGAAGGAATTAAATGGTATGACAGAATCACTAACGTAGAGCTTTAAAAGAGAACTGAACAAGTTCTAGTGAACTAAGAGGGGAAGAAAAACAAACTGAAAAAGTCCAGCTCTGTTCAGATTTGAACCCATGACCTTAGGATCTGCAGGTGAGCATCTAGGTGCACCATGCACTCCCCGAAACCATTCAGGCATTTATCTCTTCCTTTCCCTTGTTCTTTCTTCCATCATTTGACAGATGCTTGTCATACAAATGCCACGTAGACAACGTCATACTTAGAGCCAGGAAAGGTTTGACAGCACTCAAGGTGCTAGCAGCAGCTGATATTGAACAACGTCTACTTTTCCTTCTCTATCAAGGGCTTGTGCTTAGCGTCATTGACTATGGTCTCGGCCTCCTCACTGTCAGCAAAACCCAGCTAGAAAGACTGGACCGAGTACAGAATGAGGCCATGAGACTCATACTCGGCTGCACAAAAGACACCTCCTGCAACGCCATGCGTTATATCCTGGGTCTGCCGACTATGACAAGCAGATACAAAGTGGCACAGGTCAAGGCTTACATGAGGGTATCGGCAGATGTTAACCACCCATTACACAAAGCTATTCACGACACAAAAGGAACGCGTCTCAAAAGGGGCCGCTCTTGGATGGCAAAGGCTGAGGACTTAATCCAGCAGGTATGTGACCTAGACGTGATCAGCCACGGAAAAGAATGGACGAATACACCAGTAGACATGCATGGCATTTCTAAGGTTGTCATCACACTCGGAAGGTACTGCAGGGATCAAATTCCCGCGGCGGTAGACACAGAAGTAAGGGAACTGATAGATCAGCATTCAGACCCAGAAGATACCATCATCTACACAGATGGATCTGTGAAACGCGGATCAAGGTCAGCATGGGCATACACAGCGCAAAGAAAGGGGAAAACAATACATGAGGACAGCGGCGCTTACCAGACAACCACGTCAAGCATGACAATGGAAATAGCCGCTGCTTCTAGAGCTTTAGCATGGGTATCCGAGCAAACCGCCACACAGGTAGTAATTGTCTCAGACTCAATGAATATGCTTCAGAAGATAGCAACAGGCAGTATGCGCTCTGAATGGATAGAAAGCATCAGGAAATCGCACTTAACCTCCGTAACCTGGATCTACACACCGGGTCATGCGGGCGTGAAGGGAAATGAGCGAGCAGACCAACTGGCAAGCACTGCACTAATGATTGCAGGAAAAAGTATGGACAGAGCAGACATAGTCAACGCTGTACGAACCGGGCTAGTGGAGAATGAGGAATCCCTGACACTAACACGTTTGCGTGACATGGGAGTTAAGCATGGTGATGCACGTCTTTCCCGTCTTCGAGGCCGAGAAAGGAGACAATATAACCAGCTTCTCATGGGGACAATTAGTAGAAGTACTTTAGAGTGGCTGCTGCTTCGGAGAACTGAGCACGCATGGGTATGCCCAATGTGCAGTGACATTAATTGTGATAACAGAACATAAAATAACATCTTAGTAGGGAGTCGGCAGTTCGAAACCCAAGTTCAAGGTGTCTCCTTCGTGCCAAAGAACTGCATGGCTGTTGGGTGAACAGTCGTTAACGAGGGCAGGCAGGTCGTTGTAGGGGCGACGCCTGCTGGTGGATGTAATGTCCTAAGTCCCTTCCCCAGCTAATAATGAGGGTACTGCTGGGGTGACCGTTTATTAACCCTCATATAATTCTTCCGGTCAAAATGGACGCTAGGTACGGCCACCTTTTTTTTTTTTTTTTTTTTTTTTAATTTTTTTTTTTTTTTATTATTTTTTTTTTTTTTTTTTTTAAAGCCGTGGCAAATATTTTTCCAGACGGTGGCCGTTGCATTTTTGCTCCATTTGTAGACTGGAAGGATGTAGTTTCGTCGCCCAGCTTCTGAGTTGAGTGCATGGCGTGACACTGTGAGCTGCGTTTGTTTTTCGTTGGCACAGGAGCGGAGCATGTGTGGGGTGACCCGTTTGCTATGAAGCTGAAACTAGGATTACCAGATTACCAGATTTCTTCCATCAATCTTGCCCATGGTCATCAAGTTCTCAATTTCATTCCTTCTCACATCATATCCAAAAAAAATGAAGTAGTGTCTGTAGGAGCAATCAGTGCTTGGTCGTCCGCAAACAGCTGTTCTGTAATTGAATTGTGTGGCTTTTGATCTACTTCTTCTTTGGTATATTACAATACGGTACATCTCAAAACCCTGCCCGTAATATGCCGTATGCGAGAATTTGCCCTCTAACAAGCATCATAAAAGGGGACTAATTAAAGATGTTGGAATACATCTGCCTGGTTGTTTAGCTACTTCTGGACTTTGGTCTTGTTTCAGAACTTGAGTTTTGTGTGGTCATCCGTTTTACAGCCCTGGCTTATATGTATGCAGACTGATGGTTCCTCGCCTCTCGAGCAGATGCACTCTGATTACGAAGGAAAAATCCTTATTTAGTTGAATTTTACAACACACTTTTTTGAGAAGGGGAGATGTGTTGGTATAACCCCCCCCCCCTCCCTTTTAAGCCCCGGAAACCATACAGGGAAAGTTCGGGGAAAATATGAAAGTAGACAAACAGCCAGAACTTTCTGCCTGACAGCGGTGAACACGAAGAAAAAGATGATCATGTACAATGGACATATGAAAGGATACAACTACTTCTCCTGTGAAGTTCATGGCTTTTACTACATAGTCTGCTGCCTCTTTGATAGATACCTCATCCTCTTCACCAACTGATGGAGAGAGAAACAAAAAATGAATAAAAATTTAATTTCACATGGAGAAAAAAAAACAATAGCTTGGCATCTATTACAATGTGAACAATTGTTTTAATGTCAGTTTTAATATTAAAATGAAACTGTTTATTTCATTGTGAACAATTCTTTTAATTTCTGTTTTAACACTAACATTCAACTAAAACAACCATGTTCCTATAATAATAATAATTTTTTTGTATTCTCAGTCAACTCTTGCTGAGGCAACTGCAGATATCTCCATGATTGGTTGGATTTTGCAGCCAAAACTTTCAACAAGATGAGGTGAGTACATAGGTAAAGGACCCTTAATACACCAGTGGCACATTGAGTATATGATATTAAATTAATCTCTATAGACCTTTTGTCGGCTCTGTGGCTAAGTCAATGCGAACGCTTCCTAATGCCGGGATGCCTGGTTCGATCCCAGCTGCAGGCCATATGCCTTGCGTTGGTTTCGACAGTGGTATCAAGAAAGCTGACCGTCCAGAAAGCAATGGCAAACTACTGGACGTTAATTATAGACCTATTAGCGCTCAGTGATCTAACTGCCTTTGAAAAACAATATTGCAGGGCCCAGCAGAGTAAGAGGAAAAGAGGCAGATCAAAAATGACCTGGATACCGAACTTGACTGACTGGATAGGTTATAGGCATGCAATTATGAAGTCCATTGTAGTTATGTGACAATGATGATGATACTGGGTAATGTGGTCAACATCACATTGGTTGCCTTTACTTCCCAGCACATTATCCTGTTTAGTCTGGTCGAAGACAGACGAATGCTAGGAATTAAGTCAGTCTTACAGATCATCAAAGAACAACAAATAAAGAGGTTTGGACATCTAACAAGAATGCCCTGGTACTATCTACCACAGTGAGCCACACTGAAAGGCTACAACAGGTAAAGAGTGAGCGGAAGACCTAGGAAAAAATAAAGTGATGGCATTAGGAACAGACTTTCAGAAATGAACATCAATCTTAATAGTGCTCTTGAAAGAACTCATCAATGAACGTTACATCTTCCCCCGCCACTTCACTGAGATACAAGGAGGAAGAGAATAAGAAGTCTGGTCGACCAGAGAGCCTTGGTCAATTCTGAAAACAATCAATCTCAATGAGGACTCAAACCCAAGACTTGAGCCAGCAGGCTAGGACTAGCCACTACACCAATGCAGCTCCCTGGAATAGTGTAGTCAGTCTCAGATCAATCATCGTTAAAAGTCTCTTGTGAAAAATATTTACATCATACCACTGAAACATTCTGGGCATACAGGGTTGGTCCATAAAATTGGTGACCTTGTTGAGGTTGTATTATACCAGTAGCACTGACTCAACCAGAGAAATGAATGAAGCATTTCAAGAGCCCGTAAACCTGACTGGTCTGCAAATAATCTCTCTCCTGCTGATATTTAAACTCAAGAGTCAGGGGTCACAACCACTGCACATCAACAGCTCATATTATTAGCTAAGGATTTACTATATTTGTCTTGATTCTCTTAAACTTTCATACACAACAGAAAGAATGACATTTTTACCTGACAAAATGATGGGTGAAACTTCCTTGTACTCCCTGAGCACCCACAAGAACAGACGACCCAGGTCCAAAGAATATATAAACTGTCTACGAGGAGAGCCGGTGCCCCAAACGACAAAGGGGGTGTTATTTTCTGGGGGGAAAAACAGTTCAGATTAGATAGAAATCATATTAACAAAATTACCAAAGACAAACAGTTGCATATTGTACTTAAGGCATTATTGAACAGAACCATTGAAAATAACACAAATTTCTATCCGTAATAAAACTGGGAATACCCTTTTACAAAGCGCACCAATGAACACCTTCCCGTAAATTATACTTCACTTGGACACAGCAAACTACAAGAGGATCAAGATGACATGAGATAAAATAAATAGCGAGAACTTAGTAACACTGTAGTTTTTTTGCCCTATGTTTTCTGACTGACTTCAAGATCCTTTCAGATGGGGCCACTGCATTCATCCGTGTGCTGGAAAAATGATTTTTACCTTTGCCTGATTTATTGTCCCTTCAGTTTCTCACTTGGAGTCGGCAACTCCACCTTCCACCAAATTACTAACTAGAACGGAGTCTACCATGAGTTGGGATTAAACAAAATCATCATCATGTAGCAGGTCCTTTGCAGAACGTCGACTCATCACGGTCTACCTGAAAGAAAGTCTCTTGCCAGTTCTCCAGCATCGTGCACTTTCACACTCTAGGATTCACTTATATCCTGTGCAAAACTTTGTGTTTTTTTTGCCCCTGCCCCTCCTCCCTGGTACCATCTCTTCTGCTATTATTTCTTCCAATCCGCAGTGGTGCTTGATATGGCCAAAATGTTTCAGCTTCTGAGGTAAGATTTTGTTTATTAGCCAATCTTCCTTGATGTTCAGAATGTCAAAATTTCTTTTCTTCTTTATCCGTGTTATTCTGATATTCCTTCTATAGCATTTCAGTTCAAAAGCCATAAATTTCTTCCTTAAGAATGAGGAGATAGCCCACAACTCACATCTAAATGCTGCTATATGGATCAACTGGCACAAGTGGACACCACTGAGGTGTCCTCTGATGTTAGCAGGAATATCACAGAGTAAGGCACTCACTTACCCTGGCAATCAAACAGGTTGCCAAAGGCTAGGACATAGTCTAAAGCCTTGCGGATGTAGAAAGCAAGGTGAAACTACCACATTATTATCCCAAGAAACTTACCATGGCATTGAACAAGAAAGACTAAAAGATAATTGCATAAATTATTCACAACCCCCCCCCCCCCCCCCCCCCCCCCTTTTTCCCCCACAAATAGTGGTGTGATTACAAAAAGACAAATCTTGTCAAATCACAAGAACAATAAACTATTAACGAACAGAAAAAAAAACATTAACAAAGGAAGAAAATCTAAAATGGAAAGTTTCAAGGACAAGAAAATGTTCATACCTTTTGCTTCATAGACTTTACGAATGAGTCCTGGTAACACATGACCATCCTCAAGATTGAAGTTATCATAGGGTCCATAGACATTGGTAGGGATGACAGATGTGAAGTTGCACCCGTGCTGTAAGTGATACCCTCTGTCCAAAAGAAATAGGATATTTACTAGTCAATCACGGCTGCCACATTTCAATTTGGTTTATACACTGAAGGGTTTGTATTCATATATTTAAAACATAAATAGCTGTAGAAAAGAGACACCATCACTGAACATCGAAGTAAAATAACAGATACCAGAACAATTAAAATGTTTCGGTAATCTAGGCTACAAAAACATACACAGTGGCAAATGTCGTCAACAAGCTGGAAAAAAAAAATTTCTATCTAGAGAGATAACCAATAATAGAAATTCAACTTTACTATATGGTGCAGTTCCTTCTGTGAGTTCTAAGACCCCATTTTAGGAGAGAGAAAAATTATACGCCTACGGTTTACCTAACAAGCATGAACTAAAAACGTGGTATTATAGGTTTGCTGAAATTGGATGTATTGGGCCAAAAGGCACAGATATCGCAGCCCTGCTGTAAACCATAACAAAAAAGCGCTATTCACCACTTTAAGCGTAAACACAGTAGAAGATACTGTGCAGAGGGAGCTACTGTAGCATAGTGGTGAGCTGCTTGCCTGTCTGTCTGAAGGTCTAGAGTTTGAATCCACACTGGATCAGTATTTAAACAAAACTGACCTTGTTCCCAGGTCAACCCAGTCTAAAATGGGTACCAGGTTATGTTCTGAAAAGAAAGATTGTCAGTTTGTTGTTGCTGTTGTTGTTTGCATTCACCGGCTGTAAACCCCGTCAGAAAGACCTGCTTGTTTGTCCATTTGTGGACCTTGGCTTTGTTCCAGGACCTGAGTTTTGCATCTGTATCATTTTACAGACCTTGCTTATCTCCCTGCAGACTGAATGTTCCTTACCTCTCAGGCAGATGCATTCCGACTTCAAAGGAAGCTCCCCAGTTAGTCGACTCTTACAACACGCTTGTTGGGGATGCAGTGGGTCTAGCTGATTCTTGTTTTCCCCACAATGAGACCCCGGAACCCACATGGTGAGATGGTCAGTGTAATATTGGGTACTGCCACACCATCCATCAAGTGCCCATCAGTCTATAAAATTACGAGTCTAGTACCACACTGTCGTTACACTAATGGCACAATAAGGGTCCTTTATCTGCTTTATTGGCAGAACGGTTCTGTTGACCCACAGTAAACAAACATTGTGGCTGATCACATAGCAGCAAATGCTAAACAAAGTAAACTCACTTGTTTTGTACATCAATCATGCGTTTGGCAAAAGAGTAGCCAAAGTTGCTGTCATGGGGTGGACCATTGTGAACCTGTGAAAATAATATCTTGCATTAAACACACGAACAGTCTGAATGAGCACAAATATTCTATCAAACTAGAAAGTCACAAATTCTGACAAGTGTAAAATGTATCATGCATCATGTATCTTGCCAGGTGGTGCAGCTGTTTTGTTTTTCTCCAAAGAGCATGGTTCTTGGTGTTCTGAACCAATTCAACTGAAGATTTTTCTCAAAGCCACTATTTTAAACCATCCAGCATTATCTCTCTGTGTATGTGCACCTTTGTCTTATCTACCTCTAATCTTCTCAGGCAGGAAAATGTTTTCCAAGCCCTATTTTCTCATCAAAGCCTCTTTTCTCATCAAAGCCTCTTTTCTCATCAAAACCTATTTTCTCATCAAAGCCTCTTTTCTCATCAAAGCCTATTTTCTCATCAAAGCCTATTTTTTCATCAAAGCCTCTTTTATCATCAAAGCCTATTTTCTCATCAAAGCCTCTATTCTCATAAAAGCCTATTTTCTCATCAAAGCCTATTTTCTTATCATAGCCTCTTTTCTTTTCATATGCCCCATGTACTACTTTTGTCTCTTTCTTTCCTGTACATATAATAGTCTCATGAGCTTTTTTCCTGCCAGCCACTGCTAGTTATTTCTACTGTGGCTCTCTGTTGGTTCATTAGAAGTATAAACCAAGATTTGCTGCTTAAGCCACATCTTCACTGTCTCCAAGATATTTCTAAATTACTCTGTTCACACTTCACTATTAAATGCCATACAGTAAGTAGACAGTGTAGTGTAGAACAAAATGTACCCTTCTAAAATTGTTAGGAAAAAAATTCAACAAAATATCACACATGGGGAATGCTCTATGAGGTGAGAACTTCTCAGTGTGGCTTCCTGGGCTTTATTTAGAAAGAGGGGTGAGAACCACTCTTCCCCCCCCCCCCCCCCCCCCCCCCCCCCCCCCCCCCAACCCATCCAAAATCCTGTTGTAAAAGGCAAATAATGAAAAGTTTGTTCAAATTGATTGTGCTGGGTCAAAAGGTGCAGATAGTGCAACTTAACTGTAAACCACACCACAAAGTTTCCACTGTTCTTGTAAGGATGAACACAGAAGTATCTTGGTCATACATGCATATATTTGTTTCACTTCATTAGCTTCTTTTTCCTGAAAATCAATACAATTTACTCATACACTTGAGACATTACAAACATGTGTTACATAAGCCACATCTTTCCTGCCCTCACACTCCACTATTAAATATTATTAAGTTTAAAAAAAGTTGTTCACTACAGTGTAGAACAAAATATGCCCTTCAAAAAATGTTCAGTCTAAAAGTAAACAAAATATCAAATGTATGCCCCACTAAATGAAAACAACATAAACTTCTAAAATCAATCATATGAAAATAGAAAGTAAAATCGCAGATCATACCATTGTCTCATCAATTGGATATGTAGTCTTATCTGGAAAAATACAAGTTGATAGGCAGGAAACGACCTTCTCAACTTTGAACTGAAAGCTGACGTTCAACACATTGTCATTGATCTGGGAGTTTATTCGCTAATTTGGGAACAAAAAATAATGAAATCATAAGAAATTTGTTAGCCATTTAAATGAAAAAAAAATCAACTTCAAATTAGCAAGTATAGTGGTACCTCCGTAAACGTCCTTAATCCATTCCAGATCATTGGACGTATACCAAACAGGGTGTATACCAAATGAAATGAGGACATATACCATATTTCCCATAAGAGATCAACTGAGAATAATTAATCTGTTCCAGGGAAAGGGGGGTCCTATTGTTATTGGCAGATTATACTTTCAATTCTTCAGGCTCAAAGACCCCTTTGCCTACATCACAAAAGTGGTATAAAGGCAGTAATTAGAGGGGGGGAAATACATTCAGTGGGGTTGTATAAAATAACTTACACACTGCTTCATACTAAAATGTAAAATACAAAAGCAATTACATAAAATAAATGAAACATTATTCTCACATTTCCCTTCCTGAGAAGAGTCAAGAATTTATAAGGATGATGCTACCATAAGGAGGAGGGGAGGAGATGCTGTTGTTTGGAGGAACAATCCTCTTCAAATAAAACTTCAGGAATCTGATATGTTTTTTCTGTTATTCTTGTCTTCTGTAGGTCTATTTTCACCAACTGGACCTTGTTGAAGCTCATCAGATTTGAATGTTTCTAAAAATCGGTCAAAAGTTTGCCTTTTGCTCAGGATGTTTTGGAAATATGACACTGTCTAGTAATTCCAGACACTGCTTGTTTAGGTTTTTTCGGGGTAGTATTTCTCTGCAAAGTTTTTGACATCCATCAATTTGACAAAAATTTCCTTGGTTAATAAGAGAGGTAAACAAGGGTAGCGTGCTGTGTCATGACTCATTTTCACTCATCAAATTTCTAGTGCATGAATTGTTTTCCAAACAAAGGGTGTATACTAAGTCACATCTAATCTGGACGTATACCAAGTTGGGTCTATACCAATCTGGACGTATACCAAGTTGGGTCTATACCAATCTGGATATATACTAAGGTGGGTGTATATAAAAACTGGACATATACCGAGTTGTGTGTATACCAAAGTGGACGCATACCAAGTTGGGGATATACCAAACTGGACATATACAATGCTGGGCGTATACCAAAATGGATTTATACCATATACCAAAATGGATGTATACCAAAGTGGATGTATATTAGGTTGGGTGTATATTAAACTGGGTGTATACCAAGTTGGGTGTATACCAAAGTGGACATATACTGATTTAGGTGTATACCAAAGTAGACGTATACCAAGTTAGGTGTATACCAAACTGGACCTTTACCAAGTTGGGTGTATACCAAAGTGGATGTACAGCAAGCTGGGTGTATACCAAACTTTACCTTTACCAAGTTGGGTGTATACCAAAATGGATGTATACCGAAGTGGATGTATATTAGGTTGGGTGTATACCAAGTTGGGTGTATACCAAAGTGGATGTATACTGAGGTACCACTGTACATATATAATTATATTCTGATAAATTTATTTTAACATACGTATGTCTTTGTTCTTGAAAGTAGATGTTATGCTATCATAATTGACTTGCACACTGGGAATTCCCAAGCATTCTCTGTCCTCAATGCAGCAGCCACCCCAGAGCACCTCTACTAATTGTTCCCATGAGAAGTTAGCGATGATATTGTCTTCTATCTTGACCTCGAGGATGGCACAGATAGGCTTCCCCACACTTTACTCCCAAGTCAGGTCCTCGGATTAGCATCTGAGACATCATTGTCCACTCCCAGTCTAGTCCATACAGTGTTGATGATATCAGCTCTGTCCATACTTGTGCCAACATTCAGTGATATATTACTTGCAGTTGGTCTGTTTATTCATTACCTGCTACTCTGGTATGGCCAAGTGTATAGATCCAGGTGAGAGGGGTTAAGTTCAACTTCCTAATGCTGTCAACCCATTCAGAGCGGAGGCTGCCAGCTGAAATTTTCTGAAGCATGTTCAAGGAATCTAATTTAACAATGAATGCAGCTGCTTGTTCTGCTGCTTTTATGAGGGCTCTGGAGACAGTTATACAACCCTCACAACTGAATTCATTTAACATGGTTGATAATTTTCTTGGCACCAGAAGTCACTGTGATTAGACTAGTTGCAGCTGCAAATAAATTTTCTTTAATTCAGAAAGATACTTAACGCCCTATTAACCACATGTTAATTTCACAGTAGAAGTCAGAAAACCATGATACAATTTCCTAAGAATCAGTTTATTTGCAGTCATAAAACTTGACTTACGATGCAACTTAACTTAATATGTCTATTTTCGAAAGATATTTAATGTTTAAAAAAAATTAGGTACAGAACTACCTAGAAAAACGAATCACTGCTTTCTTTATTTCCGAAAGACAGCGGTAATGATTCATTACATTGTTGCTAGAAAATACAGAGAATCTGACAAAAGTGACACAACAAAATAAAACTTGACTAACAAAAATGACAAAGAAAACAGAATACACACAACCACAAAAAAACATGACTTACAAAGAAAACAAAATACAACATAACCTACAAATAGATCAGAATACAACAAAATACAAAAAGAACTACAAAGGGGAAAAATTATTTACAAAGAAAGCAGAATACAACAAACTAAAACTTGACTTAGAAATCAAAGAAATCAGAATACACATGACTTATAAATGAAACAGAATGAAAAAAATATGAGGTACAAATAAATCATAATACACAACAACTAGCAAATATAACTTGCTAAGAAGTCAGACTACAATAAAATAAAACATGACTTATAAAGAAAACATTACAACAAATAAAAAAAGACTTACAAAGAAATCAAGATTATACTTGAGATTTCTAAACAGACCCCCGACCATAGCAGCCAAGTGAATGACATGAGTGGGCTTGATCCTGGCAAACAAGGCCTCGGTGGATGCCCGGTCACTGAGAAACAAATAAACAATGATTGTTCTAATTTATCTCATTGCCATTATTTACAAGTGGTGATTTACGTGATTAATCTAATCATATGTGCGACTACTGATCTGATGTAAATCCGCTTCAATCGATGGCTAACTGTATTTCTAGAATTGGAATGTTTGTGTTGGCACTTCTGACAGCTGTCTTGTGCATTTAATGTGTGTGTATGTTACTGGTTTTGCTGAGACTGCAGTCTGTGTCAATATTTGGTCACAATTATTATCTTTTTGATTATTCAACTTATCCAGTACTGAACAGTTATTTCTTAAACTCATTCTACTCAATAAACTCATTCTACCCATTAAACTCATTCTAACCAAAAACTCATTCTACCCAATAAACTCATTCTACTCAATAAACTCATTCTACCCATTAAACACATTCTACCCATTAAGCTCATTCTACCCAATACAGTTGCTACTTAGAACGAATAAATATTGAGTCTAAAAGAGTTAAGCACTAATTCTATCAGACAGGAAGAGTTAATGTGGCACTTCAGAGTGGGATCATGTGAGACTGGATGAGGCATAAAGTGTGAAGAAATGCCGACTGTGCATAGATTTACCAATATAAATAACATTATATTCTCTTATAATGTTGTCCACCTTGACAACTCAACCACTAAAAGGCTTCTCTGTGTGGCCAGTCTTCTTCTTCTGCCTTTCTATCCCCCAATGGAGCATAGGCCCTCAACCAACTCACGCCAAGTCGTTCTATCCTTCGCCATTACATAGAGCTCTCCCCATATCCTCCCAATCTTTCTAACCTCATTCTCCAGCTCTCTTCTCCATGTATTTTTTTGGCCTTCCTTTATTCCTATGCCCCTGTGGGTTCCAATGCTTCCATTGATCTCCTTATATCATAGAGAGTTCTAACATTCCAGGTGCCAATTCTGGAGGTTTTCCTAGCTGAGAAGTACGTCAACGATCTGGACTCCTTACGGCTATCTCCACACTGTGTCATACTTCTTCTATTTGAAGAGCCTTCCCTCATCTTGGTTGGCTGGATTTTACTTGCTTCTCTTTTTGACTTTTCTATGGTTGGTTGGTTTTTGTGGCTATGGTTTTTACAGGATGAGGTAGCCAACCTCAAGCCCAACCCCACCCTTAGTCGCCTCTTACGACATGACTGGTAGGGTGCAGTGTCACTATTCTTTGCTTCCCGTGAGGGCCCCGGTGACACACGGGCGGTGGCCAGAGTACATATATTAAAATCAAGTTGTGAAACAGGTGCACGACTTTGCTCTCTGTTTCAGAAAGCCAGAAAGGAGCTGCTTCTGAATTATGGCCTTGTTCCAGAACTTAGTTTTACATGCACATCCGCTTTACAGATCATTGCTTATCTGTATGCAGACTACCAGTTCTTTATTCTCAGGCCAGATGCACTTTGCCTTAAAAGAAAACACCCCTGATTAAGTCACCTTTTACAAGATGATTGTTAGGGAGGCAGTGGGTCTATCCCCCTCCCCCAAAAAAGAATAGAAATTAATTTAAAATTCAAATTGTAAAGTTGGTGGGTGACTTAGCTGTCTGTCTGGGAAACTAGAAAGAAGTTGGTCAGTGGTGACTAAAATTTACGAAATATTGTGCAGTAGTTAATGAAATTGCTAGGTGGGTCAGCATCTAAGATGGGATCACCTTTAGCCTGTGGCTGCGATACAAACAGCATAGACTGTAGCTAATGACATAGCTGTTAAGATAATTAACATGCAGCAAGAGGCCATGTACGAAATCAATAAAGTCATAAAGATGCCAGCTGGTGATGTTTATGGTAATGTGTGAACAATGGCCCCCTTAATTTGAACAAAGTGTTCACAACATTTTGTATCAATTCACACACACACACACATAAGTATTATAAATAAAATGTTAAAGCAACTCTGTGGCTTAGAGGTAGGTGAATTAACTTCACAATCCATGATGTACCAGGATCAGCAACGTAGTTTAAAAAAAATATTCTTGCAGCATTCACACAGCAGCACGACACTCGCACCATATAAAAGACTACAGCCTCATCATGTAAAGCCCTCAAAAAGACAGTTTATCTGTTTCAGATATTTTGAGACACCAGCAAAAGCAAATATCTAGCTAAAGGCATCAACAAGAAGGTATTAAAGAGACTGTGACTTCTTTTTCTTATTCTTCCTCGTGTGGGTTCTGGAGACCCTATTCTGGGGAGAAAAAAGGGGGGGGGGGGTGTGTAAACAGACCCGCTGCCCCCATAACAAGCATGCCATAGAAAGCAGCCAATTAGAGATGTTTCCTTCAAAGTCATGTTTCCTTCAAAGTCATGTTTCCTTCAAAGTCATTTTTCCTTCAAAGTCATGTTTCCTTCAAAGTCATGTTTCTTTCAAAGTCATTTTCCTTCAGTCATGTTTCCTTCAAAGTCATTTTTCCTTCAAAGTCAAAAAAGTAAAGTCAGAGTGCATCTGCTACACATGAACAAACTCATAGTAAAAAACTCAAGTTCTGGAACAAGACCAAAGTCTAGAAGTGGACAAACAAGCAGAACTTTGACTTTGCCGGAGTTTAAGACGGCGAATATTTAAAAAGGATACTGTGACTACAGAAAAATCCATAATTTATAAGAATGTTACCTCCATCACCAAATGTTACTTCCCGCTTGATGTGTATGTAAGTCAAGGATTGATTTTTCTGTGTGCATGAACATGTCCACTCATGTAACATGAAAATGTATCAATGTTTGGTGCAGGGTCTAAAAGCTATCTCTATGTGTTAGGGCTCACATTCAGTTCACTACTAATCAATATTTCTTGCCTCTAGCTGACTACCACATTTTGACATTTTATAAATAAATTACAACACCTTGGTGGACAATAATTTATCACCATTATCACCAACAGCCATCTCCACACTTAAGGTAGGATGTTATCATCATCATGTGTCATGTCAATAAGCATAGACGGTCATGTTTTGCTTCTCTCATTACCCCCAAAATCACGGATAAGGTGAGCGATCTTGTCTCCCCCTCACCTAAATGGTTGAGCCATACAGGTAATTATCTTTGCCTTTCCTTTGCTCTTTTCCCATCGTTCTTGCCAGTCAGGATTTCACAACTTACAAATCTTTAGGATTATTTCCTTTTTCCCAGATTATTCTTTACAGGAGTACCTGGCAGACTGACAAGAATGAGGAGCTCTCATGCTGGAAATTCTCAGTAAGGTGACAGAAACTTTTCTGTCTGTGATAAAAAATAAACATCCTAACCTACAGTTTATGCTAACTATACTAGCCATAGCTGCCATGGTGTAGTAGCTAAATACCAACCTAGGGATCAAAAGGTCATGGGTTCAGGTCTTGACAAGGCCGGGCTTTTTTTTATAATGACCTCGACTTCAAGGTAAACTTAGCCTTAAATAGGTATCAGTTGAAGTCTGGGAAGTAAAGGTGGCCAGCGTGATGCTGACCAAATCACACACAAGTGCTGATTGGTTTATAAAATACAGATCTAGCATTCTATACCCAATATGCCTGAAAACCTGGGGAAAAGTCGTCTATTGGTTTTTTTTTTTTTTTTTTTTTTGTTTGTTTGTTTACATGAGCCATAATATCTTGAACCTCAGGCTCGAGATCCCACCCCTACCACCCCGTTCCTGCATCGCCCTAAAGAAGGTGGTAAATACAGACAGAAAGCAAATGGAACATGTGACCACTAGAAAGATTTGTGGAATGAGAGGTTGAGGAAAACACCATCATGAGATTCTTGACAGACTTCTGTCGTAGCACAGAGGCATGTCAGGACATGAGCTGATGATTGCTGTTGGAGATAGCAAGTCATACAAAGGCATGATCACTCACACCAGTCGGCAAGGCACCATGCTGGGGATGAAGACAGTCACGGCAGGTCATTTTTAAGACTGTCATTTTGTTTCAACTGGTTTTAAGCTACCATGCAAGAAACTGTCTTCTCCTCGTGTGGGTTCCAGTGCCCCATTGTGGGGACAAAAAGAATAGACCCACTGCCTCTCCCACAAGCGTGTCATAGACGTCGACTAATTGGGGACTTCCTTCGAAGTCTGAGTGCATCTGCCTGAGTGACAAGGAACAACCAAATAAGCCAGTAAAATGGATGTACATGTAAAACTCAGACCCTGGCACAAAGCCAAAGTCCAAATGAAACAGTTGAATAGATGCAACAAGTTTATGGGGATAATTTTTTATCTCGTGCACACATTTTCAGGTGGTATTCACGATTCAAAAGTAGTGTGAAAATGATTACTAATGCACCTAGACCTGGACGCCAAATTTCTGTTCGTAATAATGAACTCACTGCAAAAATCAGAGAACAGATACAAGAAATCATTGTTTTACTGTGAGGATGATGGCAGATGAATCTTTTGTTAATAGAGAGACCATTCATAAAATTTTAGTGCAAGATTTTGGTGAGAAAAAAGTTGCTTGCCAGTTTGTACCACATTCGTTGTCTGATGACCAAAAACATCAGCAGGTTGATTACCCAAGAGACATCACCAAAACAGTTCTCAGCCTTTCACTCTATTCCCCAGATTTATCTCCCAGTGATTACTTTCTATTCCCAAAATTAAAGTTACGATTGAAAGGATGCTTTTAATGACACTGATAACATCCAAAGAGCCGTAACATTTACTTCAAGGGCCATGACAACAGTTGAACTACAGTGGTTGTTCCAGTGTTTGTTAGATCGTGCCACTTGCTGTATCAATGCACAAGGGGCTTACTTTAAAGAAGATACATGTTATATCTTTCACTGTTGATTTTTAAATTTTTATGGAATTAGTCTCATTATTTAACTGTCGGACCTTGTATGTATATGTGTGTGTGTGTGCGCGTGCGTCTGTGTGTGTATGTATGTAGCTGTCAAAAATTAATACCACTGACTTTAACTGGGGCAAGTACAGAAATTCAACTAGTAGTAAAGTTCTATATTATGACTGATAGGATAAGAAAATGTATACATTTGCTCCAGCAGTGCATAATATGACAGCATTTAAAGTTAGGTTTCATTACAAGAATGCTACAATTTTTTTTTTTTTATTTTTTAAATTAGCCCTAATTTGCTGTAACATGAATGTTGATAACAGAATCTATCTAACAGCTGATAAGACTTACAACATTGCTGAGCAGCCTCTGGCTGAGCTTTTGGAACACAGGGCTCTCGTTTGAGAGACCCTGGTTCCAATTGTAAGCAAGAGAATGGGATTTGTTTCTGTCAAGAGAAAAATACATTTATAACCTGCAGTCTGTGAAGACTGCATTATGCCAGGTGGTCCAAAACCTTCAGGCTCAAGGTCCCCTTCCTCCCCCCCCCCTTTTAAAATTATATCCAAGAAAACTGTGCATGATGCAATGGCCGAATTTGATGCAGAAGGAAAATACCAAAATGAAGCCCTTATATTAAAAATTCTCAAAGTTTTTTGTAATCGATTTGAGGTATACAAAATGTACAGAATTGAACAGCTGAAATAAAAAAAATGGACTAACTTGAAAAAAAAAAAAAAACTTCTAATAGTACCCTTCTAAATAAGTAAAAAAGTAAAGTAAAGATCCCTTTACACGCCATTAGGCGCATCGGGCATATGGGAAGAGCACCCATATTTTTACAGACCAATCGGCACTCGGTGGGTAATGTGGTCAGCATTACGCCGGCCGTCTTTACTTTCTCAGGACAGCCCATCCTGGTACCCATTTGAGGCTGGGTCGACCTGCGACGTCCCATACCACGATAAAAATCCATGCAGCCCACGCAGGTTTCGATCGCGGTACGTTGGATTACGAGTCAGACTCGCAACGCCTTAGCCACGGACGCCGCTATTTAATTAAATAGGCAGAAGTAAAAAGTGAATAAAGGACCCATTTCCATACCTGTGTGTACTCTTGCGCACGTAAAAAAAATCCCTTGGCAGTTGAAAATCAAAAAAGAGTAGCCTAACGGCGCTGCCTGATCAAAATTTAGAGTTAAAAATCTACCCCAAGTATTTCAGGATCCTCGCCAGTGCAATAGAGTTCGTGCACTGCGCTGAGATTCTTCAGACACAGGCATGAGCTAGAAGTAGAACGGAGCACTTATTGGTTACACCTGTGTCAAGATGTAGATCCGTTGAATAAACATAAAGGGCATATATATAAAGGCATATACTTACGTTAAGTCTGCATCTTTGGAGGAAACAAAGTGCCATTCTTCATCATTACGCTTTCCTTCCCGCTCAACAGCAGCTTCAATACCTTTCCCAACAAGACCAGTTCCACCAGTAACGAGAATAATTTTTTTGTCTGTCATTTTCTTGTTTCACTGAAAATAACAAATGTACTGGCTGTGACAGACACATGAGAGTAACACCCAACACATGGGACACACCGAACACAGGGGACATATGGGACACACCGAACACACGGGACATATGGTCACCCTATGTAAACCACAATACAATGTACCAACTGCTTCAAGGTGAACACAGATGAGAAAAGTTAGGACACAGGTTGAGAAAGGGAGCCGCCGTGGTGTAGCATGTTTTTTTTTTTTTAATCACCTTGGCTCCCAGGTCGACCCTGCCTTGTGTGGGTACGAGGTGGAGGGAAAGTCCTATGAAGTAAAAGCGTCCAGTGTGATGCTGACTAAATCACCCACCAAATTCCCCTTGATCTTAACTCTTTGAGTCCCAATGAACGCATCACGCGCTAATTTGTTACTACTTGGCGGCCCAAACAGCGCATGATGTGTGACGGTTTTTAATTTACCACTTATCTGTAATTACACGCGAACCGCTCAATTTAAACTTCCTTTCCGGTTCTCAAGTGTGTAGTGAACACACGTGGAGTGCATTCGTTTGGGTCTGGTGAGTTTTTAACGCTTTAAATCAATATTTTTGTGGTCTACTACGTTACCAAACAATTGTCTGAAAACAATATGTCCGATCAGTCATCGTCTTCACGCCCATCAAAGCGATTTACTGCTTTACAATCATCATATTTGATAAAACAGTGGATCGATTAAAGTAATGTGGAGTTGGATAATGATAGTAGCGACGTGAAATTTCCCCAAACCGTTGAAGAGTCAAGTTTTGATGAGGATGTGTGCGTAATTTACCTTATGCTAAAAGGACAAAACTGACTAATTCTGCCATGGCAACACAAGAGAAGCACCTCGTAACGCGACACCAGCTAGTCCAAATGTCAGCCCTTCTAGTACTACTATCCATATCATCTAAAACCATATATATATATATCTATGAACAGGTTGACATGATTACAGTGCCTTTACAGTTTTTTTCTATGTGAGGAATTCAACTGTTTTTTAGAAAAGTCACTGTTTGTGCCACTGGAGAATATATTTTGACATGTTATGGTAGTGTTATTTAAATTGCTATGGAACAACTATTGCACATTTTGCTTTAATATTGGCTGTGCATACTTATAAGTGGTGTACATTCCTTTGTGATGCATTTTGGATATACTATATCAAGAATTTTGAGATCAGTTTCTGGGTAAGTGGAAAAAACTTGTTCATAATTTACTCACCTCTCAAACTAAGTCACTGTTTTCTCTACTAAAAACTAACTAACGGTATAATTGTTTGTTGTAGCAATATTATCCTTATCCATTTATGTTTATCCATTTATAAAGAAAAAATGATTTTGATTTTGACTAAAGTATGATACGTGCATATTGGACATCAGCTGCAGTTGTGTGGTTTGTTTTAAAGTGCTGCATTTGTTAAAAGTCAAAATCATATTACCCCCCCCCCCCCCCCTCCCCCCCCCCTGGGCCTCTGATGCAAAATCCCTGGGGAAGTAAAATATAGGTCTCGAAGGCGGAGACAGACTTTTCTTCAAAAATGACCTTGGCTCCCAAAGCCTAGTGGGTAGGTCTAGCCGGCGTTTATGCTGACCACATACGCCTGAAAGTCTTTATACAGCCTAAAGTTGAGAAAACATGAGCCTGAAAGTCTCATTTGAGAACAATATACAGTGCCTCACAACGGTTGCATTTCAGATTTCAGCAGTCTAAATTAAGTGAAAGCCTAAACACATGGAATACCTTTATTTTGACATGCACAATCGTCGTGTATGTAAATTTAGCTTCTCGACATTCCAGGAAGCGACAAAAAGCAAAAAGTTTTTGAAAAGCCGGTTATCAACAGCAGTGACACCAACATGACAACATGGCAAATTTTTTAGGTACTATCAGTGACAATGGCAAATTTTTTAGGTACTATCAGTGACAATGTAAAGTTAGTTTAGTAGTAAAGTGAACTAGTAGACCGGACATTGTAGTACTAAGAAAGAATATGGCTCTTCTGCCCTAAAACAAACACTCACCCTTGTCTCAACGCTACCAGCCAAAATCAGCTATATCAAACTGTACTGTGTAATCAAAAGCCGACGTCGACCTGACACGAACTGTTGAGAAATGCAACCGTATCAAGTACGGGCGGAACCAGTTTACCGGCAGGGCTGCCGAATTTTTTAAATTAATTTTTTGGGAGTTTCTTTCAGGCAGACTGTGGTGAGAGCGACGTTCTGCAAAGGACCTGCTACCTGATGATGGTTGGGATTAGTACCACATATCATATTGGTACCAAACACCGAAACACAAGCGCCGAAACATGGTTTCTTGACACCCCCCCCCCCCCCGCCCATTATTTGGTGATGCCCCAATAATTCCGTAGGCGTACTAAGAGGTACCCTTTCACCGTGCTATAGAAATTTTTTTCAGAAACATTTGCATTTTTTTCCGCTCACTTTTTCTTTCCAAGCTGCTCAGACGGCTTCCAGCGGTGTAGTTAGTTATCTTCCATCTTACCAATTCATTTATTGTTTGTCTTTAACATAACATACTTAACATAACCGTTGACCCATTAGGGTCGTGGAGGTGTATTGATGGAAGCACTGGCACATAAAACCCGCCATCTTTCTTTGTCTTCCGCTTGATGAATAACTGTATGATAACTTAGTCCTGTCATGTTCTCATTCCAGGATCTTCTTTGCCCTCCTCTTTTTCGACTACCCCTCAATGTTACTTGAAGTACAGTCTTTGCAATCGAATCATATCTCACCACGAGCCTAAACCCAGCTAGCTTGCGACGTTTCCCAACTGCCAAGAGAGGCTCCTGATAAGGGCGACTTGTTTATCTTAAAATTTCTTAACAGAGAGAAAACTAAAACCTACTACAAAATCGGGCGTGGTAAAAACTACAGTTTTTCAACTCTTGCTCGGTCAAATAAGGGTCAAATAACATTTAATTTGTGCGCCAAGTACCAACTTCGACAGCCCTGATCACCAGGCCGGTCCCTGCTTGGTGACGTCTGCTTCGTGGTGGGGTTATCTTCTCCTGGGGATCCAATATTTTAGTCAATTTATTGCCTCAGGATTTGGCAAATGGATAAAAGTTAAACAACAGAGCATATTTAATCCCGCAATTTAACATAAGATAAGCTTGAAATCATGCGCAGTAAATTTTATTCTTACAAAAACTACCATGAAAACATATTTTGCCTAAGATTACAGGTAGATGGAGATAGACTGATGGAGTAGTCGATGGAAATCGTTTGTCTTATTTGCTACTAATAGGACAGACCACGTTGCATTGTTAATGTTATATCATCACCATCGTCAAGTGTTAAAGGTGTCAAACACCTGTTGTCCTGTATATTTCAGGCTCTTGGTATTTTTTTATGTAGTGTTGTCTTCTTTTTATGCGCTTTCCTAATCATCCATGTGAGGACATTTATAAATAAAATAAAAATAAAATATACGGGTGTGTGTGTGTGTGTATATATATATATATAATATATATATATATGTGTGTGTGTGTGTGTGTGTGTGGGTCCTAATCCCCGTAAATGTCACTCTTCCGACTCGACTATAATGACTTGTTTATGAGACAGATAGTTAATGCTTTTGCCTAAGGTCACACCTGCAAGTGTTTTTTCCCCCCGGAAATTCAAGGTGCTGGTCATCATCATCATCATAAACCACCTCTGCCGTTAAGCGGCGTGTGAAGGAATAATTTGTGATCCAGGGCACACTGGCCATTTTCATGCCGTGTAGGCGTAGTGTCTTTAATAATGATGTCGATTTATGATTCGCGGCCGTCTTCTTGACTGTAGCTGATCTTCTGAGATGTGCCTGTGATGGTACTTGATATTGCTGCATTCTAACGAGATCTTGTTCCCACAATTTGTATGATAGCATTATTATGCACTCGATCTCGGATGGTTACAGACATCTCATCTCGGTTTATATAATTTCCATGTTTGGCACTGTTAACTTAATGTTGGCATCTGTCTCTTGGCACTCATGTTTGGATGTTTTAACAAATCCAGCTGCGACTCGCTGTAGCCCACGGCCGGTGTTCGAAACCAGGCGGTCCCGGGGTTCACCCAGCCTCTAGGAAGTGGGTACCAGAGTCAACACTCTGGGATAAATGGAGGAACGTCGCTGTAGCTATGGAGTTGCATGCGGACGTCAATACAGGCGGACAGTTTCTTATCAGCTGTCCATACTGGTGGCAGAGCACTTGTGGTTTATAACCGTGTGCAATGACGCTGGTTCACATCTCCTGACTTTACCTTTAATTTTTTTGTGAGTATATATAAGTGTACTTGCTTTCTGACATCTGGTTTCTATTTCTCTATCAATTCTACCAGCTTCCATTATTATACTTCCTAGATATTTAAATTCTCTAACTTGATTAGGACCAAAACAATTCAATGTAAAGTAGGCCAGGGTTTCTACTAACCTATATTGTTTTGGTTCTGTTCGCAACGATCTTTATGTCGTGTTTACTGCATGCTGAGTTCAACCCGTTAATGAGGTCTTGCAGTCGTCATTGTGGAACAAACACCGGTTACCAGCAAATAGTAATTCGTTTAACGTGGATGAGTCGATTACTTTGTCTGATGCGTGTACTTCTTCAAGATTATAATGATCCATGTCATCATTAGAACTTGCTTCTTCAGATATTATGTCTATATAAAATATAAAAAAGGGGAGAGCATACACCCCTGTCTCACACATGTGAATTGGCTGTGAACATATCTGATATGCCTTCTTGTGCTCTTACTGCACTTTGACTTGTGTGGTATATGGCTATGTTTCCTAGTAATTGCCCTTGTACCCGTAGTTATCAAGAACAGACCATAGTTTGTTTCTATTTACTCTGTCAAATACATTTTCCTGATCTACAAACGCAGTATTCTGTTGGGTATTGTATGCAATGGCTATCTGGCACAATTGCCTCTGCGTGAATATTGCATCTGTGCGTCATCTGCCTTTTCTGAAACCAAATTATGATGTTGATCAGCTATAGGCCTAACTCTCTGTTCTAGTAGTTTGGCATACATTTTCCCTACGTGACCCAGTAGTAACATACCTCTGAATGCTTCACATTCTCTCCTATTACCTTTCTTTTGCCATAACTGTACAATAAGTGCTTATTTCCACTCACCAGGACTTTTCTTTCTTCCCACGCTTTATTACCCCAGCGGATGTTAAAGGTGCCGGTACTCACCACAAAATCTTTTTAAAAAGTACCACACTCACAGTGTCTACCGCAGTAGCGCTGAAAAAAATGGTGTCTTTAAAAGGTGCCAGTCCTGTCTACTGACAAAGAAGTTTATCATTATGTTTAGTTTTCTAAATTTAGTTGTATAGTTATTATCAATGTTTCTGGGGGTAATTTAAATGATAACAATGGCTTGAACAGAGGTCTAAACATTTCCATCTTTAACTCAAAAGGGAGAGTATACAAAGATTAAATCAAGCAAACGAAAGTTTGATTTCTTTTGCTGAGATTTCATTTTAATATTGGTTAACAATAATTTCTTCCTATGACCCCTGCAATTAATCACGCAGACATGTATCTTGTACCTATTTTATTCCCTCCAACTGACATGTGATAAACATATTTTTATATACCAATAGGGGGTTTCTACCCCGATCTCTCGTAGACGCCTTATGTTATGAGAAAGTAAAATTCTGTCCCAGGATAGGGGAACAATTTATTTTAAAAAGCTCCATCCCAGCTGTCAACGGAAGCCCAGTATAACCAAATGGTTGAACGGGGTTTCTAGGGCTTCTACCCAAGTGATTATCATCCGAATGGTAGCACTTAGTGTCACTGGGTGTTTATCGCTGGTTGTGAGGTTGAAAGTCAGTCAGTCAGTCCATCATGGGACGCAATTTGCATTTTTATATTTAAGCTCCTCCTTCTTCCGGCTGTCATCGGGGGCCTTAATATAACCTAACGGTTCAACGGGGTTCCTGGGACTTACGCCTGAAAAAGTCTTTTTTCGAATGATGGCACTTTGTGTAATCGGATGTTGATCGCTTGTTACGTTGATATGAATCTAAGGTGTATTCCTATGAATCTATGGTGTATACCTAAGAATACTGTGTATGCCTATCACTGTAAGCTGCATGTGTAAGAATCTATTGTGTATGTCTATGTATCTAAAATACATGACTAAGAATCTATGGTGTATGCCTATGAATCTAAAATACATGACTAAGAATCTATGGTGTATGCCTATGAATCTGAAATACATGACTAAGAATCTATGGTGTATGCCTACGAATCTATGTTGTATACCTGTGTATGCCTATCTATGTAAACTGCATGTCTAAGAATCTATTGTGTATGCCTATGAATCTAAGCTGCATGCATATGAATCTATGGGGTATGCCTATTAATCTAAAATACATGACTAAGAATCTATGGTGTATGCCTAGGAATTTATGGTGTGTGCATGCCTAACAATCTATAAAGCATGCCTAAGAATCGGTGGTGACGTCTATGAATTTATGGTGCATTTCTAACAAACTGTAATATCCGCCTTTGAATATAAGGTGTATGCCTTATAATATTGTGTGTGCCTACGAATCTATAGTGTAAAACTATAAATCTATGGTGAAACTAAATAATGATATAATCATTACATTTAATTAGCCTGTACTACAAGAAAACAAACTATTAAGTTTTTACATCATGCACGACCAAACCGGACTAACACAAAACCACCATTTTTTTTTTCATTTTTTATTTCATTCAAAATCACAAGTGCTTTACATAAACATGCTCTGCAAATTCACTTTTAATAATTGAATAACCAAAAATTGTAATTTGCTTCACCCGATCTTGTTGCTGTTGTCATGTCTGTCCCCTCAAAATCAGCTTAGCATCACAATGGCTTCTAGGCCACATTTCAGATGCCAAATCAACAGAAACAGCCTGGCCCCAACTTTTTTTGTTTTTTTAAATTCATTGTTTTTCCTCTGCCTAATCCTATCGTTTGTTTTGGATTTAAATCGATTTACATATATTGCTCCAGCACCCATGTTCCATGCTTGGTATTCACCAATGTTACAGCAAACTTTATACTATCTAGGATATTAAGGTGTGGGAGGTAACGAGCATGCTGATGGATTAGCTGCTGCTCCTCTGGGCAGTGAGCTACTTTATGATAAAGAGTACATGGTGAAGTCTCCTAGGATCAAATGGACAGTGCAAGAGAACAGACAGGGAATCCATATACTTGAAGACTAATTCAACTGGAAATGAGCAGAGGTTCTGAAAGATTTTTAACACTGAGGGGGAAACATAGGCAGCTCAGATTAGACCATCAGGTGGGTTGCCGCTATGAACTCGCATGTCAGCAGCAGGTCTTTCATGGTTCCCCATAGCTTGCTCTGCATACTTTGCTCTTAAGGTCAGGTGTCTTTTCGAAGTTGTATGTAGAGTGGAAGAAGAAGTATTAAAGAAAATGATGTCTGTCCATTACTTCTCAATGTTGGAGCAACAGTCACATACTGTGCTAGATAAATTAAATGTGGTCTGAAAGAACTTTTATTTGAAAGCTTCTATAACAAAATTCTTAAAAGAAAAATCCACTACTGTTTACTCCCCTTTAGCAGCAGGAACCTTCTTTTTCTTCTTCTTCTTCTTTTTCTTTTTTCCTGTTTTATCCCCTCCTTGTGCAAGTTTTGAGGTTTTACTTTCTCCTCTATCACCTGCCAGCATCTCTTCTTCCTCTGCAGCATCCTCTTCATCCTCCATATTCAAATTTTCCATGGCGTCTGCAGCAGCATCCCCAGGCAAATCTTCAGCATCCTCTGCACATTCGGCAGCCATAGGTGCAGGCATACGAGTTAGGAAGTGACGACGAACTGAAAGTTACAAAAAAAAGAAAAAAAAGAAAAATTACCATTACATATAGTATATACTAACTAAACTAATGAATGACTTTTATAACACTGGGTACATTCCAAGTGACATGATGAAATCTGTATTTATTGCTTTACCTAAAAGACCAGAAGAAATTAAATGTAAAGAATTCCATACAATCAACTTAATAAATCATGTCACCAAATTACTACTTAGAATTATAATAAGAAGAACAAGAAGAATTATAAGAATGGAAATTAGTGAAGAGCAGTATGGATTTATAAAAGGTAAACAGACATACAAAAGGACTCATGTTTGTGCTTTATAGATTATCCCAAAGCATTTGACAAACATGAGAAGATGATAAAAATGTTGGAAGACATCAACGTAGATGAGAAAGATTTTAGAATAATTAAAAACATTTACTGGAACCAGCAATTAAAGTGGGAACCAGGTTGGGTACTTTTGAACAGATAAAGCAAGGAGTAAGAAATGTGTCTTATCACCAGACCCTTTCTCACTATATAGTGAAGTAATTTTGAGGGAAATCAAAGACAAAGCAGGAATAAAAGTGGAAGGATACAATATAAAAACTTGCGTTATGCAGACGATAGTTTTGATAGATGAAAATGCAGCTGATTTAAAACTGCTGGATATTGTGGGCATGGAGAGTGCTAAGACAGGACTTTTCCTTGAATATTAAGAAAACGAAAGCAATGGTTATATCAAAGAAGAAGATAATTCCACGTTGTGAAATCTCAATTGAAGGAAAAAGGCTTAACCAAGTCAATGAATTCAAATATCTGGGAACAATCATATCATCAGATAGAAAATGTGTGACCCAGATTAAAAGCAGAATATGTCAAGAGAAGGCAGCATTTTAGAAAAATATCTTATGCAATAAGTCGCTCTCATTTAATGTTAGAAAGAGGGTGCTAAAATGTTACATATATGGCAGCGAATCTTGGAATGTCAGTGAACAAATTAGGAAGAATTTGGAAGCAATAGAGATGTGGTTTCTGAAACAAATGTTATAAATACCTTGGATGGCCAGAGTAACTAACAACAATTGTCTGAAAGAAGCTAATGAAAGTAGATCACTATATTCAACAATAAGAAGGAGGCGAACACTGTTCTTTGGCCATGTAATGAGAAGAGAGGCATTGGAAAACAATGTGAATATTGGAAAGATGAGTAGAGGCAGGCCAAGAGAGATGATGCTGGATGGGCTGAAATGGCATATAGGGATATCATCAAGAGAGCAGTTCCAGGCAACCAGAGATCGTGATCTGTGAAGATGCATGAGCGCCTACGCCAACTGGAAGGGCAGATGATGATGATGATAGTATATAGTAAAAAAAAAAAAAAAATTTATGGTTCTTAATTCAAGAAGCTCCAATTTAAAAAAAAAATATAACAAATTATAGATGTACTGGGTTTATAATACATTATTTTAAAGCTGGATTTAGGATTACACCAAGTATTTTTTTTTTAAATCACTCGTCCAGGTGGGTCCAATTCCCCACAAATGTCACTCCTCTGACTCTATAGTGACTTGTTTATGAGTTGCATAGTTAATGAATTGGCAGAGGTCACACCTGCACATACCTTTAGGAGGTCAGGATAAAAATAGATTAACTAACAATAGCATTTTCAAAGGTTTTCCACTGAGCTAAATGGCTTTTTTAAAGCCAAGTCACCATCAGATTGTTTCTAGCCTCTCACAGGGTCACTGCATGAGTCACCCAATACACGTTTTTTAGGCCCCGGGAATGTTTTCCATTTACTGTTTCACCCTGTCATGTATAGTGACTTCTTCTGCCTTTGATTCCCCAATACAGCATAGGTCCTCAACCAACCTAGGGCCAAGTCATTCTATCCTTTGCTATATTTTGTCATATCTCTTTATATATGTGGAATATAATTTTTAATTCTCGACTATTAAATGAAATATGGGAACACTCACTTTTTTTTTTAAATGTACGTAGCAGTAAAGATGCATTGCACAGTTCATTTTATTATTAGATAGATATCAAATACCTTGAGCATATAAGAAGCAATTTTACTTGATTCCATCTCCAAAATGCATGCGATATAAATTATCCCCAGTAAACCTTTAGCAATGTGACTTCAGACGAGCAAAGTTACCTGCTGCACTTTCTCGAATATCCCACACTTTGAAATCCCTATTGGCACCTACTGCAAATACAAATGGATGGTCTGGGTTGGAGGCCACACAGTGCAAAACATCCTAAAATGAGACAGAATAGACATTATTAATAATACTACATTTGGCGGTTCACATATCTCATAATAAAGATGATAAGGCCCAAGTTCTAATCCTATTCATTAAATTAAAAAAAAAAAATATAGGATGGGGATAGAGTGGTAGTTTTACCAAGAAAGTCCTCGGAGTTAAATCTTCAACAGCAGACATGATTTGTTTTCTGGACCTGGGCTTTACATAGGATCTTGAAATTGTCAGAATTTTCTATGAATCACCTGGGAACTGGTCATTTCAACCCCCTACATCAAAGCTTTCCAAAATGTGTATCACAACACATTAGTGTGTCGTCTGTAGTGTGAAGGTGTGTTATGCAAACATTAGGTATTAAAATAATTAGCAGGCAACATCGCAGTTACTGGTGCTGGTCAATCTGTGTTACTACTGTTAATCATAAATTATAATAATGATACATTAATCTTGGAAATAAATCTTTACAAATAAATGAAAGGTTTTCATGTGACGTATCTGATATGAGGTGTTAGTTTAATTTCTGGTTTGCTTGTAGTATTGTGCCACAAAATTATATTTGTCCAAAAGGTGTGTACCCAATATGACAAGTTTTAAAAGCTCTGCTGTACATACTGCCCAAGAATAACTGATGGTCTGGCACCGTTCTCTCCAACCCGGGAGGCGCAAGGAGGTTAGAAAAGGGAGCATGAAGCAATTTTAAAATTGAGCACATTTGTACTTGTAATAACCTATTATATTATTTTTCAGTTTAATTATCCATTTAAAAAACTCAAAGGAGGTGTGGGGGGTCTTACATATACTCAAGGGTGTTGTACCATATATTTTTCCTCTTTCATCCGAAGATGTAATTGTGCTGTGTCCATTTACAGCATGGCTGCAATATCTGCCCCTCTCAGGCAACACATCCAACTTATGTGGCCATTTATAGATCGGGTTAGCTTCGTTACCATACAATAAAGGGAGGCGCCACCTGAAAAAGGTTGAAGACCACTACTAGTCTAGCATTTCATACCAAAATGGCAGATTCCATTAACTGACCTGCAATATTTAGACATCAAACTGATGGTACATGGATAGTGAATTAGACCTCCAAACCGCAACCAAAAGTTTTGTTTTATACTGCTTGATGTGGGAAAATATGTCAAGTCTCCAAGGTACACAAAATGTGTTTATGGCCAAAGGTTTCTTCAAAGTTCAGATAAGGGTGAACAGTTAATGCAGGGCTCTTATGCAGGAGATCCAGATTGGAACCCTCGGTAAGGTTGTAGTTTTTCTTCTGTTAGCGGCACACACAAATCTCAATCCTCACAGTCCATGGCAGTAGCACTAGCCATGCAGCCCTTAATCCTCAAGCTCAACTCCCTCTCTACCCGCCCACACTGCAAAAGTACTAAACAGAGGCAGTGACTGCAGTTTTCATTTTATTCCTTGCCCCATCCTCATAGTGAAAACAACAAATTGAAAATTACACAGTAACCTAGCATGCATGTCAGGAAAGTCAGCTAAAGAAGGTTCACATTTGATTGGCTAGCCATCCCCCCCCCCCCCCCCCCCCCCCCCCCCCCTTTCCAAAAAACCTTTGCTGCACAATCCAACCAATTATAAACACATCTCAAATTTGAAAATACACCTGGCCTCAAGTGCAGAGAAAGGTATGGGGGACCATGAAGGACCTGCTACTGACATGCGAGTTCATAGACCTGATGGTCTGATCTGAGCGTACAAAACCTAACGCAAAAAAAAAAAAGAAGACGAAGAAACACATCTACCAAGAGATGGAAGAAGAAAAAATGATTACTTACCAATTTTAAATTCCGGCTGAGAACAAGGGATGGTTTGCTATCTTGAATGTCCCACACTTTCAAATGTTTATCAGGTGATGTTGTAACCAACAGGCCGGGAATCTGAGAACTTAAGCTTATCCCTGTAAGAAATTATTTTAAAATAATGAATGCAAGAAGCAGATAGTACAAAGTTACCAAGACCCAATCCTTTTTCACTGTGAAAGGAAGCAGCAAGCCACCAATGTATTGTAATACTTTTGTATTTTTTTTAACACAGTAAATTAAAAAAAAATACAAATAAAAAGTAACTGATATTCTGTAGCAATTTTGAATAACCAACCTCTTTCAATTAAATGGTGGTTTTTTAATCATCTTCCTCTGTCTGTCCTGTCTCTCTTTCATGTGTACATATATACAGTAGTTGCTGGTTGGTTATTTTCAATGCAGGTACTATCAAGTCGAGTGATCATCCCCTCTTGACTGATACCTAAAGGTTTACCATACCATCCTGAGATTTAGATAAATCCTCAGTTGTATGATTTAAAAAAAAAAAACATAATGAATGTTCCAACTGTAAGATCAACAAAAAAGTACATACCAGTCACAGCTTGTTCATGAGCTGAAAGTGTGAACAAAGGCTTTGAATGTCGTACATCTACTTCATAGAGCAGACCTTTATCTGTGCTTACCTACAAACAAACAAAAAACAAGGAATATATTAACGTACAAGAAAGCCACAGCCATGTAACAGATTAATTAATCAAACTCGTAATAAAAGCAGTTAACATTAACATCAGTCTTGTTCAAAGACTGGTGATAAGTTTGTCTCACCATGTCCCTCCACTCTCCTTAACTTCTACTTCATCCAAGTCTGAAACCCAATGTCTTCGCATGTGATAAATGGCACTCAGAAAAGATTTTTTTTTTTAACGTACAAGCCTTTAAAGGACACACCACACACCAGAACAACCAAGAGCGATAGTGATAGTTCCACTGGAATGAGCGCCTTCCAACTAATGTCATTAGCGCTATACAAACTCGACTGGCTGTTTATGATGAATCTCCAATGCATACACATTTACATGACCGGAGAGTAATACTTGGTGAAGCAAGTGGGTGCTTTCTACGAGGTCAAGAGGTACAATGTTATCATCAATTCCTCATAGGAACAATCAGTAGGGGTACCCTGGGGTGGCCGCTGCATCAGAAGATTGTGTCCAATGAGCAGTGATGTCAATTCTGATAACATACTGATAGGTGAAAGAGCATCTGTACCACAATGGTAAAAGTAAATTAAATGCAAAGGACCCTTTCAGGCATATTGGGTATATAGGGCTAGACCTATATTTTATAGACCAAATGGCACTTGCTGGGTGATGTGGTCAGCATTATGCCGGCCGCCTTTAGTTCCCAAGACTGTACCTGGCACCCACTTAAAGCTGCAGCCAAGTGTCTAGCCGCTAGACCATGGCGGCTCCTACCAGAATGGTAAGAGAACTAAAAATGATAAATGAATACATCTTATCTAGCACGAATCAAAATGAAAACTTACCAAAAAATTAAATGGGCAAAAGTGATTCCATATGCATCTTTCCACCTCTCCATCAAATTCCCATTTTTTAACATTCTCCTTGGGACTTCTGCAGTCTACCACGGCAGCGAAGCTGAGGGGACAAATAACGACCATTTCAATTTTATCATATTTTTAAATATGGAAATAAGTAATGTTACTTAACAAACCCACACTGACAGTCTTTTGTAATATAATCACACAAACTGTATGATATCATATGTACATCCCGTAGAGATACAGTTTATCAAACAAATCAGCAAACATAGTCTTCTTGTCTCTAGTTTTGGCCTTCAGTGTGAGATTGTGAAGAGGCATCCGGAGCGAGCGAGCCTTGGTGTGTGCTACGTAGATACCAGATTCGTCCATCCATTGCCTACATGGGTGACCTATAGCACGACTTCTGCTAGGTGACTGGGCTCGCTGTGGTGGATTATCTTGACGTAGTCTTGACATATGCCTGAATCAGTTGATCTGTTGTCTTTTGATTTAGTTAAGCACTGGTTCTGTCTCAACTTGTTTCCAGACATCATCAGTTCTTCCTCTTCTTGTTACATTTAAAATTTGGCGTAGACTGTTGTTTCACCCCCCCCCCCCACCACTGTTTTTGAGGTTATCAGCTAGGCACTGTTATAATGGTTACCAAAAACAGGGGGGGGAGAGAATGCCTGTTGTCTCCACAATAAAGGCTGTCTACAGTGTACCAATGCTATCGTTTGGGAATATTATACGGTGTGACCCTAATTTCTTCAAGTGTGATTCTCATAATACTATTCCAAAACCATGAAAATGGTTTTGTTTTCAAATTTAGTATTTGAGGACCATGAAATTGTTAACTGCACCCATTAACCTCAATGCCATGGTGTTGTGAATAAAACTAAACAAAGAAAAAAATGACGACTTACTTATCAAAGGATCCAGTGAGGAGAGACTGAGACTCTACTGGGTGCCAGCTTACACATTGAACCTGAGAGACAAGCAAATTTTGACACAAGCTATCATTCATCTGTTGGTTCATCCGGACCTATATTGCTTTAGATCAACTGGTACTCGATGGGTGATTTAGTCAACATTACAATGGCCGCCTTTACTCCCAAGGGCACTACCTGGCACCCATTGCAGGCTGAGCTGAGCCGACCTGGCAGCCTAATCCATTTTAGGGAAGACGAATTTAGACTTCATGCAGATCTGAACTTATCTCCTTATCAAGCTGGCATGTGAGCATGTGGCCACTAGGCTATAAACACACTGGTGTAAAACTGAATAAAGCTAATATAATACCACTGATATTGCTCATTTTACATCTCAAAATCCCCAATCAGGAATTATAAATCACCAAGCCTTTAGTTTCAGGCTATTTTACAGTAAAACTCACTAATGTTTAGGGCCCCAATTTAGTGTACAAAACCTAAAAAACAATACGTAAAAATAAATGCCACCCTGAAATTCAAATTTCTGTTCTGGTGTGTTCAGATCATTGCTAATTCGGCCACAGAATGCCAAGCTGAAGAACACAGACCACAGAGCTAAGTGTGTGTGTGTGTGGGAGGGGGAGAACCAAAGAAAATATGGAATGGTGGCATCAAGAATAGCCTAAAGAAATGAACATTAATGTTCAGCAAAGTGGGTGGGGGGGGGGGAGAGAAACATGCAAAATATGAATTGGCGGCAACAAGAATAGTCTTGAAGAAATGAAGTTTAACTTACAGCAAAGTGTGGAGGAGGAGGGGGTGGCGGGGGGAGAGAAAACCCTGCAAAATATGGAAAGGCAGCATCAAGAAGTCTTAAATAAATGAAGACCAACTTATGCAACACATCATAGGATGTTAAATACAATAGAAATAAAATGCGACTGGACATTAGAACAAATCAGAAAGAGTACAGAGAAGATCCTCACCTCAAACCCCAATACTCTGATTTGTAACTAGATGAGCTTCAGTTCTGCACCCAGAAGATGCTTCAGTTCTGTACCCAAAAGATGCTTCAGTTCTGTACCCAGAAGATGCTTCAGTTCTGTACCCAGAAGATGCTTCAGATCTGTACCCAGAAGATGCTTCAGTTCTGTACCCAGAAGATGCTTCAGTTCTGTACCCAGAAGATGCTTCAGTTCTGTACCCAGAAGATGCTTCAGTTCTGTACCCCTCTGGCAACATCCAAGATCTCTAACTCTCGGCCAATTATGCAGCCACAAAAGGACAAATTCAGGGTTCTGAACTGCAATTTCCCTATGGTCAATCATTTATGGGAAAGACTGATAGCCAAGTAGGTTGCAGTGACTGGCTCTTAAATGAAAGATGACATTTTGGAGGTCTTAAGCGTTTACATGTAAAACAGTGGTTGCCAAGCTAAGTTGTGGTTTACAGCTAGGCTGTGATATCTGCACTTTTCAGCAAAAGTAATTTTATTTCAGCAAAGCCCTTTATTAGTCAACAACTACTACATGCTTGTTAAGGGCCAGAGGGTCTGATAACACCCCTCCCCTCCAATTTGGTTCCAGAACCCACATTGGAATTCAACAACACACACAATAAGCAACATACCTCTTTCTCGTGATGTTTCAGCGATGACACAACTTTGCCCTCTGCTAGGTCCCACAGACATACAGTATGGTCAGCAGAGGCACTTGCTAGCACATTCCTAGAATGATTGTTAAATCACCTGTATCCTTGTTTAACTAGTTATCTACCAAAACTATTCAACACACATTTGCTAATTTAAACTGCCATGATAAACTGTTCTGAAACTTTTAGGAACCACCCAGTTCTTACACTGGGCAGAAATTCTATTAAAAATATTTATTACTTCTTGGAATAGTTTATAGTGTATCTATTTGTTAAGAAAGAAGGAGATAGGCCTGCTCCATGCAAGCATATTTTCGAAGGTTCCTGACAGTTAGCTTTCTTTAGATATTTTCTCCAGGGCAAGCAAGAGTGTTTGGAAATGAACAGGCAGACAGATTAGCTGGTTCTGCACCAATGGGTGATGAACTTATGCAGGACAAACTAGAAATGGTTAAGGCCCTTTGGAAGCAACTAAACAATGTGGGTGCAAGAACATATTATAGTATGGAGAGAATGGTACCGCTGGGAGTAAGCAGGGGATCTGGTCGACAACTCTACACTCAGAGCAATGCCAAAATGGACATATAATCAAACTGCTAGGGGCACTATCAGAATTCTAATTCTTAACTGGTTGCTGAAGATAAGTACGGAGTGCTTGTGAGAATGTCCCATGTGACGTAAGTTCTAAGTTCAACATATGCTAGATAAGACAGGATAGAACAATAAACAATATGTTCTAGTCAGCATTTTCTAGGATCAACCCTGCCTTACAGATCTTTTATGTAAGGATACAGACAGGTCTTTTATTATACTGTTCTAGTTAGTCATACAGTCTTGTCTCCTATGGAGACATACGGTATTTGAAATCATATTCTATATTCTTTCCTTGTCTTTAAGTTGATTATTTTTATGACATGTTACACACGACAATAAATCAATTAAAATGGAAATCTTTACACAAGGGACATATCAGGCTGACAGGGTAGCATCCAGTGACTACGCCACCAAGAATCCCATTTAAAGAACTGACTATATTTTGAACATTCTTCTTTATCCTAACGTATACTGGCTGTAAACTCTGGTGAAAAATTACTATTGTTCACCCGCACCTGGACTTTGGTCTGGTTTAAGGAACTTGAGTTTGTGCACATGTGTTTTACAGATCTGGCTTTGTATGCAGATTATTGGTTTATTGCTTGGGGCAGATGTACTTCTGACTTCAAAGGAAACATTCACCAGAATTATTGGCTTTTAATGATATGCTTGTTAGGAATGGGGCATTGGACCTATTTTTTACCTACCTATAAATGAGGCACTGAAATATTATGGAACAATTCTTAGATTACCATGGAACAGTAAAGGACTTGCTGACTAATAAATGGGGTCCTGGAAGTCGCATAGGGGTAAAAATTCAGAGCAACAAACATTAAAACACATACCTGACATTCTTATTCCAGGAGAGGTCCAAGACAGAATCTGTGTGCCCGTCAACAAGTGCATCTTTCTGATGCAGACAGATGACAATTTGTATGAGTGAGTCGTACCCAAAATGGATTATTTGAACTGACAGATACAAACATGACAAACACACACAAAGCCTGCTTGAAATTCTGTCTACTTCTTGCTCACTTTCTGACTTCTTCAGCAATCTCTGGTCATGCAAATTTTCAAACGCAGGCCATAAACTGGGCTGACAGCCGAAGGTCTTTTAGGTTCTCCAAAGCTTAGCTGTCTGGCCTACTGGGTGTAGCCATGTGTTATTTCACAGCTTCTTTAGAAGAGAAGTCTAGGGTTTGTTCAACATGAAGACACTGGCAACAGAGTGGTTAGGCTCCCACAAAATTTATATGAATGTTGAATTTTGAATTGACATCCCAGCACTCAGGACATTTCCATAAACGCCGTCTCCCCATCTTCAGCAGCAAACATAGTTTCATTTCTGATGGCACGAGTAGCGATCAGACTGTATATCTGTCTTACCTTTCCCTTGATCGTTAAGCATCAGCCAGATGCACTGGTCATTCCTCGCAACGTCGTAATATTCTGTTTGTACCTCAGCACTGCTGACTCGCTACCCAAGGAAACTTAAAACATCTGGCTTCTTGTGCATCAGTTCAGCAACAAGTGCTGAATTTATATGAGTGTCTGTTGAGTATGCAATGTCCAGTGTGCATGATTTTGATCTGTTCTATAATGTTGTTTAAGGAAATCTTTATGGAAAATTTTATGGTTATAACCAATGTTGTTGACCTTTTGACAACTTTACCCTCTAGAATAAAGTTAACATTTAAAAGTGCCATAACTTTTAAAGTAACTTCATCTCCACGTGGGTTCCTAGACCCCATTGTGAGAGAAATAAGAATGGATTTGAGAGACAAGGAACTAACAGTCTGCATATAAACGAGCCAGATCTGCAAAACGGATGCACGCAAAACTCAAATACTGGAACAAGACTCAAGTCTATAGGTGGGCGAACAACCAAACTTTCCTTCAGCCGGTAAGCATGAAGAAAAATGTAACCTCATTCACATAATATTTGTGCCTACTGAGCGCTAAGCTTGTACTACACGTTTGTGGTAAGCTTTGACTTCACATTTGTGGTAAGCTTTGACTTCACATTTGTGGTGAGCTTTGATTTCACATTTGTGGTGAGCTTTGATTTCACATTTGTGGTAAGCTTTGATTTCACATTTGTGGTAAGCTTTGACTACACATTTGTGGTAAGCTTAGACTTCACATTTGTGCTAAGCTTTGACTTCACATTTGTGGTAAGCTTTGACTTCACATTTGTGGTAAGCTTTGATTTCACATTTGTGGTAAGCTTTGACTTCACATTTGTGGTAAGCTTTGATTTCACATTTGTGGTAAGCTTTGACTTTACATTTGTGGTAAGCTTTGATTTCACATTTGTGGTAAGCTTTGATTTCACATTTGTGGTAAGCTTTGATTTCACATTTGTGGTAAGCTTTGACTTCACATTTGTGGTAAGCTTTGACTTCACATTTGTGCTAAGCTTTAACTACACATTTGTGCTAAGCTTTAACTACACATTTGTGCTAAGCTTTAACTACACATTTGTGCTAAGCTTTAACTACACATTTGTGCTAAGCTTTGACTTCACATTTGTGCTAAGCTTTGACTACGCATTTGTACTAAGCTTTAACTAGACATTTGTACTAAGCTTTAACTACATATTTGTACTAAGCTTTAACTAGACATTTGTGCTAAGCTTTTACTACATATTTGTGCTAAGCTTTGACTACACATTTGTACTAAGCTTTAACTAGACATTTGTACTAAGCTTTAACTACACATTTGTGCTAAGCTTTTACTACATATTTGTGCTAAGCTTTTACTACATATTTGTACTAAGCTTTAACTACACATTTGTACTAAGCTTTAACTACACATTTGTACTAAGCTTTAACTACATATTTGTGCTAAGCTTTTACTACATATTTGTGCTAAGCTTTTACTACATATTTGTGCTAAGCTTTTACTACATATTTGTGCTAAGCTTTTACTACATATTTGTGCTAAGCTTTTACTACACATTTGTGCTAAGCTTTGACTACACATTTGTGCTAAGCTTTTACTACATATTTGTGCTAAGCTTTTACTACATATTTGTGCTAAGCTTTGACTACATATTTGTGCTAAGCTTTTACTACACATTTGTGCTAAGCTTTTATTACACATTTATCAACTTTACCTTTTTCAGCTTTTTCTTTTTGCTGTGTTTGGTTCCTGCAAGAACAGCAACCGGTTCCAAAGAATCAACAACATCCAGATCCCAGATTCCAATATCTGGCTCCATGGTACCCATAGCAACAAAATTACCTGGATGACAAACAACAGCACGTAATTTAAATATTGCACTTCAACTTCAAAGAAAACATCCTTGATTAGTAGCCTTGTAGGACATGCTTGTAAGGTGGGCAGCTGGTGTATTCTTGTTCCCTCCAAAATAGGGGTACCAGAACTAACATGTACCTGTGTCATACCCCCACCTTACTTGTTTTCAACTTTACTAGGGAATATCCGGGAAGAAAAGATTACAAGAAGTGAACTGGTCACATCACCTCATATGGTATAGCCTACAATATGTAATGGTCTAACGCCATTTTTTACATGTATAAGACGAGCACAAAATTAGCAAATTATACTTACAGTTCGTGTATAAGACAAACCCCACTTTTAAAAAAAAAATGTTGAGAAAACATGTCTTATATACAGAAAAATATGAGAAATTCCAGCTGCATTATCTGCTACTAACTACAAACATGTGGGTTCTAGAGCCTTATTTTGAGGGAAAACAAGAAGAGGCCCAGTGTGCCCCTTCATAATCATTTCATAATAAGTGACTAATTAAGTGTGTGTGAAATCAGGTATGCTTGGCAGAAAGGCACAGATATCGCAGCCTAGCTGTAAATCACAATATAATATGTCAACTGCCCTTTTAAGGGCAAACAAAGAAGAAGAAAGGCTAAATAAGTGTAAACAGAAAGATAGTGGTTGGTTAAAGCTGCCCTGATAACAAACAATTATATTTAATGTCAATGCACCCCCTCCCCCCACAAATGTTTGTTTTACTGTAATCCTGTAGTCTGCATCTGAAAAAGACAGCACAACACACCAGGAAAACAATGTCTTGGTTGCCCTTTGCAAGGCAGAACAAGAGATGAAATGATAAAATGACTATATCTATAGTTATACACCACTAATTGTTACCTTTCTGGCCATCAGCAATATCATAATCTAACCACTCCAGAACCAAGGGAATTGTGGGCAGAATGTAGTCATGATGTATGAACAGGTTGTTCATTTCTTCGTTATAAACTGTTGACAGAAATAAATACACTCAACTCTCCAGAATTATGTAATTCTTCACTGAAAATACACAATTATCTACAATAAGGTATCCAATCTTCACTAAAAATTCACTCAGTTATCTATATTTATGTATTCATTCTTCACAGAAAATATGCTCCGTAATCTCAAATTATATAATGAAAATACACATCATTGAGAATTGTATATCCATTCTTAACTGAAAATACACCCAGTTATCTAGAATTATGTATCCATTCTTTGTAGAAAATACTCAGTTTTCTAGAAATATGTATTCATTCTTCCCAACTCTTGTATAATGTCACCATGTTCTATTTCTGTCACCTTTCAGCACCAATGAAACAAAGGTCTCCAACTAATTCACACTAAACTCTGTATAAGCGTCTATCATTTACCCACATGGGAGCATAAGCCCTTACAACTCATCAAATTCTTTGCTATTGCTTGCAGTACACCACATGACCTCTTTGCATTTTTATCTTCACTCCAGCTTTGTATTCTTCTCAACAACAAAAAACAACACAATTTCGCTGCGAGTTGCAAAAAAAAATATTTTCAAACATATACTTAAAAACTTACTGTGAACTTCCAAAACTGCAGCCTCTTCTGTGACCTTTCCTATTGCTAACAAGTTATCTGTTGGCTTCAGAACAAAGTCTTCATCATCGCTGTCAATCTATAGAAATGAACAGTAGATCCATGAACAGTGGTCATAACAAAATGTTAATGTCTTTTTCGGGTTGCTGTTATCGCTCATAAGGATAAAGAAAGAAGACATAAAAACAAAGACACAAATGATAAAATGCACAAATTACTGTCTGGTATATTTTGCACACTACAGCAACAATTTAAAAAATGAATCCATTGTTTGTGTCTGCTTTATTTTTACATTTACAACTAGGAAACATTGCTTTAATTATAAGGATATATGTTAGGAAACATTGCTTTAATTATAAGGATATATGTTAGGAAACATTGCTTTAATTATAAGGATATATGTTAGGAAACATTGCTTTAATTATAAGGATATATGTTAGGAAACATTGCTTTAATTATAAGGATATATGTTAGGAAACATTGCTTTAATTATAAGGATATATGTTTGGGAGTTGGTGTTTAACTTGTTAACTGTAATGACATCAGTAATGTGACCTATCTGTGCTTAGTCCTCCAATACAGCAGGATCTCACTGTTTCCATACTCTCTGTACCCAGCAGACATTGACTGGCATTATATCTTCTTTCTGTATCCACAGCCGGTTTCTGCATACTTATTCATCACCTATAACTGAGGATTCTGCAACTTCCACAGACTCAGGCAGCCAGGGTTATAGATTACTCTTTTCCCCATGGGGGTTCCATGACCCCATTTTGCAAGCAGAAATACTAAGACCCAACCACCACCCCCCCCCTTTTCCAGCATACTGTAAAAGGCGACATTATGTTTTCTTCAAATTCAGAGTGCATATGTCTGAAATGCTAGGAACCTTACAAGGATCTGAAAAATGGGTGTGCACGTAACACTTAAGTTCTGGAAAAAGACCACAGTTCAGAAGAACAATCAGAATTTTCTACCAGAGTTCTACATAAATATCTGTTGAGGTCTATTACCTAAACCTTGATCCTAGAAAAAAAAAAAAAAAAACACTATACTACGAGAGCTGCTGTTACACAATAAAAGATTCAAGATACTCTTAAAGATTGCACTGTTATATGCTGCTTCTGACTTGCCAAGAATGTGACTGTACTACAATTCAAGATGGACTTGCTGATGTGAATATCCAGTGAATATATCATTATTAGACACTTCAATCTCTTACAAAATTACCTTTAATGGCTAGCTTAGTCAACAAATACCCTAAAGATGTGCCAGTTAAAAGACACAAATACTGCAACCTGCTGTAAGTATCAATCAGCCCAATGATAGTTTGAAACAAATACTGGACAAATGACAAAAAAGATATAACACTTACATCGTCCTTTAGCGTTATGTAGGGATCCTCATCATTGTGAGGCAAATGGGGTCAATCCCCCAATTCCTAGTGTAAGATCTGTTGCTGTAGTACAAGACAAAAGCAAGTGATAAATAATCTTTCAGAATTCATAAGATCTATTGCTGTAGTATAAGACAAAAGCAAGTGATAAATCATCTTTCAGAATTCATAAGATCTATTGCTGTAGTATAAGACAAAAGCAAGTGATAAATCATCTTTCAGAATTCATAAGATCTGTTGCTGTAGTACAAGACAAAAGCAAGTGATAAATCATCTTTCAGAATTCATAAGATCTATTGCTGTAGTATAAGACAAAAACATATGATAAACAATCTTTCACAATCTGCCGAATAGCAGAAAAATTTTGTAACACAATGGCTGTCGGCTTGCTCATCAACACAGTATTCACCAAGACACACATTTTTTAGACCAGCCTAATATGGGAACTAGAAAATGTTCTGTAAGTAAAAATAAATTGCTGACCACATCACAACTTGAGTACATACTGGTCTACAACAAGGCTATCACAACATACCCAATATGCCTGAAGTCACGGAAAAGAGTACTTGACTTGTTTTATCATCTATTACTACTGTCTGTAATTACCATTTTTAGAGCACTTCTGACATAGGGGAGTGCGGGTGTCCGTTAGCCTGAGGATTTAGGACCACATAACTAGTGCTGTTGCCACGGACTGTGCAGCATAGGATTGTTTACTTTTGCCCTTGTCAGAAAAGCACCGATCACAATAACAGGGTTCAAAATCGGGTCTTCCGCACGATAGCCTGATGTTGTAATACCTCGGCCAGCCGCTCCTCATTCTTAAAGCTCTGCTCCCACAAAATTAACTTTCAGTAGATGAGGTAATTGCTATCTAGGCAATGAGATGGCAAGAAACAAGTAAGGACAATGACACAAATGTATAACCTGTGAGCAAGAAAAACTTGACATGATATAAGTGAATGAAGACTACAAAAATACAATACTTCCACAAAGGAAAGACAAAGATAATGAGAATAAATCAGGCAAATAGCAATGTGACTTCTCTTAATGATATCCCACTCCAGGACGTGAAGTCATAAACCTATCTGAGCAGTAGTGTAGAATAAGGATAGGGGAACTGACAAAGATTAAACTATGAATGCAAAACTCAAGAGTGGCTTTCATAGCCCTAGGAAATTTTTGGAGGTCAAATCAGCACTGCTGTATGCAGCCGAAACATGAACAACCAAGGCAATAACTAATAAACTATAAACATTCCCTAACTGGTGACTGCATAGATTAAAGGGAATTAAATGGTATGATAGCATCACTGATGTAGAGCTTTGGGAGAGAACTAAACAAGTTCCAGTGGACCAAGAGGTTAAGAAAAAAAATGCTGGCGTTGGATAGGATACACGTTGAGAAAAACCTGAGAACAATATAAGTAGAATGTCTTTGCACTGAAACCCAGCGAGGCACAGAAATAATGTAAGACAAAAAAACCAAAAAAAACACGGAGATGAGAGCTAGACAGTGAAGTTAAAAAGATGGGGAGGACATGGGATCAGCCGTACGCAACAGCAAAGGATAGAATGATGTGGCATGAGTTGGCTGAGGGCCTTTGCTCCCTTGGGTGATAGAAATCAAAAGAAGAAGACTTACGCAAATCTTCATTATCATAATCGTCCAATCCATATTTCTTGACAATATCATCTTCCTGTTCATCATTTTCATCGATGTGTTTTCTTTTAACTGTTTGCTTTGCCTTCTTGTGTTTGATACTGGCAGCCATATTTTCTGCCTTCCTCATCGCTGATTCAAATTCGTCTTCACTATCCTGTGTGTTCCCATCCAAATCTCTGGCATTTTCTTCTTCTGATTCATCAGCCTTGTCATCCAATTCACTGCAATTAAAAAAATTTATACCGTGTTATTAAGAATAATGATTAATACTGGGTAGACAAGCATAAAGCGACTTAAAGATGCAGACATACAATCACAAATGTCCTTGCCAAAATCTTTCCCATAAAAGAAAAGACAAAACTGCAAGTATTCCTGTTTTCTGATTGCTGAAAAAGACTGGTGTCTTCTTCTTTTCGTTCAGTTTCGTATGTTCAGATCAGACCATTAGGTGGGTTGCTTCTACGAACTCACATGTCAGCAGCAGGTCCTTTGATCTCGCCTGGCAGTAATCTATAGGAGCAGCCCCATAACAGTAGTCCACAGGAGCAGCCCCATAACAGTAGTCCACAGGAGCAGCCTCATAACGTATCTAAGCATACTCATTAAACGTAGATTGCGTTGATGCCCGTTTCCATTTCTGGGTCCCAACGCCATTCAGTCCGACATGTCCGTCTTCAGTGGGGGAAGTTGGAGTCTTCCTATCCATGTCCTGGTTCATGCAAACACTGCCTGCCAGAAATCCGAGGCTGTGGGACTTTTCCTTCTCTGCCTTTGATTATCCAGGATGGGTTCCCTGGGTGTTACCTTGGTGGGGATCAGGACATGTCCATGCGCTGGTGGGCACAACATTGGCCGCACCTCACGGGGCGTCACACTTCGCCAAGGGTTTCTGTCTGGCTTACACCAGCCACAGCCTGGTATTTTACCCCTTCAGGCATTGCAGGTCCATTTTGTTAGCAATGGAGACTCACTATGCGCCAGAGCCATATCTGATACAACAAGCAACACCACATGTAGATACAGTTGGCTTAACTGGCAGAGGCTATGTGATCCACGCAAGGCATTTCCCATTTTTTTGGTCGCACCAGGAGAAACGATTCAATAGCTTTCACATGCAATGCCTAAGAAGAATACTTTGCATTAGGAGGAAGGACAAGATCACAAACACTGAATATTGGAAAGAGCACGTATCACAACGGTCTTCGAAGGCTCAGGTGGCTGGATCACATCTGGAGAATGGAGGAATCTCTAAGGACATCCTCTATGGTTGATTAAAGATGGATAGAAGATGTCGAGATTTAACTCTACTATGATATAAAGATGTGTGCAAGTGGGACATGAATGATACACATACTGAGGTGTACTCGTAGCAAGTTGCCACGGACTGTGTTGTGTGGAGGGCGCACATCAGGAATAGAATGAGAATGAAGGAAGAAATGACTGCAGAAATGAGAGCTGATCATCTGAGAAGAAACATTAAACATAATTGATTAAAACAACGGTCCTGAAAACCCATGCTATAACAGGAAGACTTCTTATTGCAGGCGGGTCTTGCTAGTCACACTCCCAATGAGTCCTATACCTCCTCATATCACAATATAACACTATCATCTGGAGAGACCGAAAGGCGCCAATCATATGTATAGTATAAAAATAACTCACTTTTGTGTTTTCTGTATAATTTTCTGCAGCTCTTCTTTATTCAGTGATACCTGCAATCAAGTATTAATTTTATCTATATGATTCCATATCTGTATATAAGGTGTGTTTGCTTAAATAACAGTTACAAACAAAATTGAATTTTCATGTTTAAATCAAAGAGTTTCCTCTAGATCTGAACAATCTATAAACAGAATTTGGTACAATGAAAAGTTCTCTATTTTCACCACCATAAATCAAATAAGAGTTTCCTCTAGATCTGAACAATCTATAAACAGAATTTGGTACAATGAAAAGTTCTCTATTTTCACCACCATAAATCAAATAAGAGTTTCCTCTAGATCTGAACAATCTATAAACAGAATTTGGTACAATGAAAAGTTCTCTATTTTCACCACCATAAATCAAATAAGAGTTTCCTCTAGATCTAAACAATAGCATTTGCCACACTGAAAAGGTCTTAATTGTAACCACTATTATTATTACCATGCAGAACAGTGGTTTTCAAAGGGTGGGGGAATGGCGCAAGGAAGTTTCAAAGGGGACATCAGGCAATACTGAAGCTGAATGCATTTGTACTTGTAAAAAGCTGTTATAGGAACTGTTTTCTTCCAGTTTAATTATAAATTAAAATGTTAAAACAATTAAAAACAAAACAAAGCTTGATGTGGAGAGTGAAAACTGTTGTGCTTTGTCCAACATCAGGCTTAGACCAAACAGTGTAAATCATCAACTGATATTTACCAACTGTTGATGACTGTTTCTTTTATTTTATTTGACATTTTGATTTATGTAGTTGTTTTTCTCAAAGTTCTTGGGTTTTTTCTTGTTACGTTCTTTTGCTTTTTTGAATCAGTTTTTTTTTTTTTGTTTAAAGATGTATGCTGGGGTCTTCCTATATATTCAAGGAGGTGCAATCTGCAAAATGCTGTGAAACACTGACGTAGAAGGCCCTTTGCAGATTACTGCTTTTGGCATAACATGTAGGAGGTCAATAGGTCCCTTGACACTATTCTTCATTTGGTAATTAAAGTTTGCGTTTATTCCAGTACGAGTCATAATATGTGCTTGGGGTCTTCACAGTTGCTCCAGTTTCTCTTTAAAGTAAGACCCTTTTGACTAGCAAAGTCTGAGCAATCATGTATTGTAAGACATGCTCTAGAGTTGGCTTTAGTGAACCACAACTGCATGCAACAGAGTTAGCAAGATCCATTCAATACAAGTGTGCTCAGTCCCTCGTGTTGCCTTGACAACTCTTGCCTCTCATGAAACCTCATAGCCTGGGCGTCCTGAATGTTCCATGTCCGGCTGGTTGACCCTATCTCTTCTATCAGGAACCATATGTTTCATACATATTCTTTTTAAATTATTATGACATTTAACATGAGCAAAGTATTTTAATTTCTGAGAACACCCACAAAACAGGGCTTCACATTTAACAAGTCTGCGCTTAAGAGGACTAATGTACTGGTATCATAAATAATACAATACATACCTGCTGGAAGCAAAATAAAATTGTGTTCGTATCAACTGCATATTTAAAATTCATCTTAAGGTAAGGCACTTAAGCAAGTTTGTGTTGCAGTTTTACTTGTACTCAGATGTAACTATTACAACTTTAACATTCATGATTATATTATTACACTGAGAATTAACATTTACATATACTATAGTCTTGTAATGACCCTGAGCCACATGGTCTCCATGCAGCAAGCAAACAAAGAAAACCCATGCAAGGGACCACGGCACAGGATATTCAGAGCCGGAGATATGAACTAGCTAAAACCTGAGGTTGACTCATAGTCAGTTGGAAACCACAGCTTGAAGAAGACAGTTAGATTGTTGTGATGTAGTAATTGAAATGTCTTGATGTTGTGTGGAAGATCATTGCGAATGCACTGTGGAAGTGGTGATGAAAAACTTTTGAGATGTGTGAAAATTTGGAAGAATAAATTGACAGAATGTGCATTTTAGAAACTGATTACTGTTGTGTGTTATTACCTGAAAAAAGTTGGGCTATCTTACGAATAACAGTCCCAAATTATCGAGGCAGAGAATATACCCTAACAGAGCCTCAGTCATGTGTCAATTACGCACTTCCGCTACCGCCGAGAGATGTGGGAATACTCTCGGCGGTGGAGGAAGTCCCCGGAAGTTCGCAATTCGGCGGTGGAGGCGGTAAAGTACGCAATTGACACGTGACTGAGGCCCTGTTAGGGTATATTTTCTGCCTCTATAACTTGGGACCTTTATTCAGAAGATAGCCGAAAGTTGTGTCTGTTCCCTAGCCCTAGAGAGCCAGCAATATTATAAGAGTGAACCAGCATTTACTACAAGTGAACCAGCTTTCTTAGTCTTTAATTCTATTAAATGGGTTACTGTTACTAACAGTAACTCAGCTTTATGAGGAACCCAGTGCAAGGCCCAACAGTAACACTAATAGTAACAGTGCTAGTGTTAGTGTTGGGCTTTGCACTGGGTTCCTCAGGATAGATTTTTCAAGTACTACTACACTGTGTTAAATGCTAAACTGTTAAGCTCGTAAGTAAAACATAAAACTCAAAAACAAACAACATGTGGTGATGACGAAAAGGTTTGCTAAGCTCTGAAGAGTAAAGAGATTCGACTGGCCACATTCTCGGAGATACTACTACTTGGTTGGCCTTGACTTCTGCAGTTAGAGTTAGTAGTAGAAGTATTTTTACTTACTTTATGTGTATCTAGTGACTACAGTTTCGGAAATTTGCGATCTTTTTGGCAATTTCCGTTACCATGGAAACCGTTTAAAACTTGTTTCGGAAATGTCGGCTGGGGTTTCGGGATGGGTCCTAATCTCTCATGAAATTTTGCGATTGGTGTGATTTTCACCCGCTATAAATGGCTGAAAAAGGCGGAAACGAACCCGATTAACAGCGCATGTCTACGACAGCCGGACGTCCTCTGTTTTTCTGTTACATCCGTTTCATTGAAAATAGCGGTAAGTATTCAAAGTTGGCTTTAGGCCTTAAACATTACCAGATATGGTAATGCTAGTTATAATTGAATTCGTCCAATTTTACATTTGTATATAAAATTTCGGCTCTCCTTGCAGATCCGGACGAGGGTTGGACGCGGGCTGGACGACTTAGTTCAGTTTAGTGGGAGTTCTCTCCCTTGGCCGCACTCGAAACAAGTAGCGGAAAGTCACGAATCAAACAAGACAGTGAGGTCGACATCAGGGTTGCCAATGCTTGGGTGTGTCCCCCAGATCTGGGTTTTTTTTTACACTGCGGGGATAGATGGATTTTGTTTTTGTTTTTTTTTTGTTTTGCCGATCTGTATGCTTTAATGACCGATAAATTTGCGTGGTTAAGGGTCGGGGTAGGGGTAGGATTAGGGTTAGCGTTAGGGTTGCCGTAAGGGTTAGGGGTAAGGTTACGGGTAAGGTTACGGGTAGGGTTAGGTTTAGCGTTAGATGTGACAATTTTTGGCGCCGTAGTTCCCTATAATCGCGCACAGTCACATACACACTCAAACAGTCGACGGACGGTGGATGCTACTGACACGGACAAGTCGCCACCGATTGGGCACCAGCCGCCCGCTATTGGCGTCATATTTGGCAGAATTTCAGTGGCGCCACTCCCACAAGCATCAGATTGTCGGCCACTATGTCGACCTCCTACGTGAAAATTCTCACACCTAACCCTAACCCCCTAATCCATAACCCTACCCCTAAGCCTACCCATAACCCCTAACCCTAACTTTACCCCTAACCCAAACTCTACGCAGCCATACACGCAACAGTATGATGACAACGCAACCCTTCAGGCAACCGTATGACGACTACGCAACCCTACACGCAACCGTATGATGACTACGCAACCATACGCAACCTTACACGCAACCGTATGATGATAGGTAAGTATGTCATTTGTTTTGTGGACTTTTCCGCTCACTGTTTCGAGTGCGGCCAAGGGAGAGAACTCCCACTAAACTGAACTAAGTCATCCAGCTGCGTCCAACCCTCGTCCGGATCTGCAAGGAGAGCCAAAATTTCTTTCCTGTTTATGGCTGTTTAGATTTACAGTGACATTTTTTAGGCAATCGCTATTATGTGGCTGTGTCTGAGAAAAATTGTCTGCCATCTTGTCCAATAAAAACAAAGCAAAAACGAAAGTTGCGCAGTTTGGTTGCGCAGAGAAAAACTTTTTTTTAGCAGCTGTTTTTTACATCTAATCACAAAAACCTACATATCTCAGCTCAGAAATGACATACAAGGCTAAATGAGATACCATTGGAAAGAGATTGTTTACAGCTATCTAACTGTGCTGGTTTTATTGGTGTTGAGGGCATTTTAAAAATTTGACTAAAGTAACAACGTATACTCGTATAGTCTAGTAATAGTGTTCTCTTATTCTCTACTTTTCCTTTTCCGTTTCAGTTTCAGTTTGTACTAATTACCTTTTTTCATGATAAATGTAACACATTCAGAATACATGTGAATTTTTTTTCACTATACTTTCGGTAACAAAATAGCGTGTTCTTACCTTGTCTGGATTTTGTTTAGCACATCCCTGTTGAACCCATACAAGACAGGGAACGATATTTTTCTTGCCACCACTTCCAGCCATGTTTCTTGGTTATTTACACGCGGAGCAAGAGACTGTCAGAGTAATTACCCCCTGGTCGACATAAAATGTTTCCTGTTTTGTTTCGTTATGTAATCATCATGTGCCGTGCTGTCCCTGAGCTTAGGCTTGCATGATTCACCACACAATCAAGGATCAGTTCAATGTTTATGTCTCGCCCCCTCCATCTGACCAGGCCATCCGAGTGTTAATCTGTTTGCCTTCTTCTTGTTTATTTCCATCAGTCTTGCCAGTTGTTAACCAAGTTCTGGAATGGTTAGCCCCCACCCAGGGCTGGATTTAGGCATAAGCCAGCTAAGCTACAGCTTAGGGCCTCACAATCTTCAAAGGCTCCGACAAAATCCTATTTTTACTACAAATAAAATTTGCTTGCAGTATTTACACACACAAAATTCCCTTTCAATTTTTAAATTTTTGTTAATATTGTCTTCTTTTTCTGGGCGTTCAATGGCTGTAAACTCCGGGGAAAGTTCTGGTTGTTCATCCCCCTCTGGATTTTGGACTTGTTCCAGAACCTGAGTTTTGCATGCATATCCTTTTCACAGATCTGACTTATTTGTATGTAGACTGTTGGTTTCTTGTCAATCAGGGAGATGTACCCCGACTTCGAAGGAAACCCCAAATAAGTCGACTCTTACGACATGCTTTTTGGGAAGGTTATGATTCTATTCTCGTTTTCCCCACACGAAGATTTATTAATTAATGCATATTTTATCAGGCTTTTATTTGTTACAACGTGTTATAGCCTATTTAAATTCAAATTGGGAAGAAAAAAAGAACAGACACAATACCTACACAAAAGCATGTCGTAAGAGTCGACTAATTGGGAGCTTCCTTCGAAGGCGGAGTGCATCTCCCTGAGAGGCAAGGAACCAGCAGTCTGCATACAAATGAGTCAGATCTGTAAAACTGATGCACACGCAACATTCAAGGTTCTAGACAGGTCTGCGGTCCAAAAGTGGATGAACATCCAGAACTTTCCGCCAGAATGTACAGCAGGTGAACATGAAGAAGAAGGACTTTTAAAAAATAAATCATCTTGATGTGTATCAACTTATATTACTTTTTTATATTTTAAAGTTGTCTAAGATAAATTAGGGTAATCTAAAACGGTAGGGTCTTCGGGGCTTTATATAGGGCCCTTGGTTAGTTGCGTATCTTTTTAACCAACCCCAACAGCTCCTGGCTGTTGTGTGATTTCTCTAGGCAAATTTACGTCCAGCCGTTTCCCATTGCCACTGGACGGTCGGCCCCCTGATACCACTGTCGAAACCAACGCAAGGCGCATGGCCCGCAGCTGGGATCGAACCAGGCACCCCGGCATTACGAAGCGTTCACATCCACTTAGCCACAGAGCTGACATAGGAGCTTATCAAACCTAAATCAGGCCTTGGTAGCTCTTCACTGGCTCTGGTCATTCTGAGTTGATGTATAATGTTTTTTTTTTTTTTTAAACACAAGACCACATTCTCTCTTGACGCCCTTGTGCTTCACTTCAGATATTTAAGGTGTGGCGTCTGTTTTGTTAGTTGTGGCTACATTCTAAAGAAATGACGTAATTATCTGATCTTGTGCTTCTCAAAGAATTTGGTGTATGGCGTTGATCGCACAACCCGCAGATGGTTTTATTTCTCACTTGGTCTTGGGTGGTTTAGCTGGCAACTTTTCTCGGGCATCTAAACTCATGAGTATTAATTTTATGTTAGCCTTTAAAAAGGTCCAAGCTGGACTAGAAGATGCATTAGTGTGCACCGAAGGTTCTTTTCCGTAGGTGAAAGATCTGGCTGGGAGTTTTCAGTTAGCGTGAACGGATGGCTCGTAGCAAAACAAAATTGCACTTTTTAAAATCTGGGTCTTCAAGCACGATGATGAAGGTGGAGGCAATAACTGCAGCTATGAAGTAGATAGCAAAAAAAAAAAAAAAAAATGGAGTAACCAGAGGAATTAAAGTGACTGTTTCTCAGTCGGTACTGTGAAAAGTTAAAAATGGACAAAAGTGGCAAGAGTGGATACCAAGCATCAGTTTGCCAAAATTGCACGGAATCGCATAGATATACTGCCTTGGATTATGCAGGAGTACAAGTGGATTTTCTGACTAAAAAATGCAATAGCTACAGGAACCCCCGTACTGGACAAAGAAGATATTCTGAAGACCATTTATGAACTAATGCTGTTAGAAAGCACGAGGTCAGATGAAATAAGATATGTAAGAATATGTGAAAAGGAAATTATGGAAGGAACAGGCCGGGAAGGGAGTGGGGGAGGGGGGTATGAGAGAGAAAGAGAACGACGAAGTTATAATCGTTGTTCTACAGGAACAGTTACTAGCTACATCTGAAGACTTTTGCTACGAAAGACGGGGCACCTAGGGGTATGTCTGGTGTGATCTAATGTCGATTCTTCAGTCAGTAAAATGTCCAAGTTTATCACCTGTAGCACCGTGTTATATAGAAATCTATGTGCTTTACTGTTTCTTTTTTGGTCCCTCCCAGGACTTCTTTCTGACGATATTCAACTGTACGCAGTACCGACACCTATTTAAGCATCACTTTGTCAGCATTTCTGTGATAGGCATTTTTAGAGAGCAGAGGCAATTTTTAAAGATACTTTTTGACGTAAATATCTGGATGGCTTAGCCATAGAGATAGAGCGAGTTAAGAGCACTGACTCGATTCATGGTTTTGGTGATCGTTTGAGATGGCACGGTACAACGCCATGATGATGCTAGTTAGGATTGGGGTGGTGGTGATAGTGAGAGAGAAGGTGACTGAGTGACTCTATTGCACAATATATCCATCTTTTACGTGGTCGGTCTTTTTCAATCAATGTCCTTTTGGCCTTTACTTGACAAACATTGCGTTGGCTAACCTCCCACCTCCCCCCCCCCCCCCCTTTTTTTGTGTGTTCTTCTAGAAAGCCGAACTATTGTACTGTTTGAAGAAATGCCAGATAAGTCTTCGCGTAAGAGGTGAAAATGGAGACACAGAAAATGTGTCTGTAAAACGCGTCGGCCCCTTTAAAATTATCATTTCTGTATTTTAAAACTAGTTAAATGGTATTAAATTTTACTTCTCCAGCTACCGAACAATCGTAAATTAGACTTCCATTACACTGCACGCGAATGTAAAACTTTATGATGTTGTCTGGGTAATATATACGCGATCTCTACCAATCCTGGGAAAAGCCTTTGAAGAAATAACCACTACACGACACAACTTTTTGACAGTTCCTCTTTACACATCAAAAATGAAGTGTCTTGTGATGATTTTCGCTGTGTGTATGTTTTATTCCGGTAAGAATATAGACTATGATCATGTTCTTGTTCGTGTTGTTTGTGAGAACGGTGTTAAAAATAACAACGGAGACATGAAAACACCGCTGTACTGAGACCAGGAGGTGCGACCGTCAATTTTTAATTTAGTGGCCAACTTTGATCAGGTCTCCCCCTCCTCCTTTTTGTTTGTTTGTTTGAGCATATGGCACGATCCCCGGAAACTTCACCTCACATACAAGTTATCTTAAGGCCGCCCTGACGTTTAACATGACCAGAATACCTCCGTTTTCGGGACAGGATGCTGTGTGTGAGAACGTTCTTCCCGATGTTCATTCCTATAAATAAACAGAGGGAGAACCTTTAAGGCCGTTAACTAGTTGACCATGTTCTTAGTGCACCTGTATCCATGGCGAGGCGCAGACGCCGCCTGGAGGTGACAGGTTCAATTGCCGGCACGGTAACTATCTTTCCATTTTTATGTTGTCTAGTGTGTTCTTCTATCTTTCTACTTCTTTCTATGAGTGCCGATCAATACACTTTCTGTTACTTGATTAATTCCCCGATGTTCATAGTGGGCATTATGTCGGTGTTTTTCTTCTTTTTGGTCCATGGCGTTGTTAGAATTTGTGTGTGTGTGTGTGTGTGTGTGTGTGTGTGTGTGTGTGTGTGTGTGTGTGTGTGTGTGTGAGTGGTAGCAGTTTAATTCTAAAGCTCAGATTTTTTTCTCTGTAAAGAGCACTCCGAGAAGTAGTAATAATAATGTTTAACAGGGGCAGTAAAAGCATTAGAATCAGCAACAGCAGCAGTAGTAGCGGTAGTAGTAGCCGCAGCGGCAGCAGCATCAGCAGCAGCAGTAGTAGTAATAGTTGTTGTTATTGTTGTTCACTTTCGTGTAATACTGTAATAATAAAAAAGTAGCAGCAGCAGCAGCAGCACCATTTACAAAAACATAAGCAGCAGTATTAGTAGTAGTAGTAGTAGTAGTAGTAGTAGTAGTAGTAGTAGTAGTAGTAGTAGTAGTAGTAGTAGTAGTAGTAGTAGTAGTAGTAGTAGTAGTAGTAGTAGTAGTAGTAGTAGTAGTAGTTGTAGAAGAAGTAGTAGTAGAAAATTAATAAGTAGGGATGACAATTGCAACAATATATGCTGTTTGCATAGAAAATGTGTATGAGTGATTGTGCGTGCGCGTGTGTTTGTGTGTGTGTGTGTAAAAACAGCACTAGGGAGGGGGAGGGGGTGGTGATGTGCAACTTTGCACCCGGAGTACCAACTGATCTTCTAATGCTATTGTTGCCCAAAAAGATGCATACACAAGTTAGGAGTTTACCCCCAGTAAGAGTGAGAGGAATGAGTGATTCATACGTATCTAAGCGGATTTATACGGAAAAGGTTAGAAAAGGAAATGTGGTAATAAAGCTAAACAACCTGAAAGCGCATGCGTTTAAGACAGAAACTTCACATGGTTTAAAATAAGAACAAAAAATCTACTTAAGAGAAAAGATATGCGTTGTTTCAAATGCAATCACATATTTAAATAATTGAAATAGATACCGTTTGATTCTCAATTAAGAGGATAATTTATTTTTCATTTGAACTTTCTCAAATATATTGTTTTTCTTGAAGCAATTAATTATATTAACTGCGATACACCTTTGTTTCAGGGAACTCCGTATTTCATGGTACAAGTCACGAGATGGACAAGTCAATAGAG